GATAACGGTAGCACGTATCGTGACGGGGGAGGGCTTATTTTTTTCGTTATGACATAGGGACGAAGCCAGAAAAATTCATTTATCGATAAACGTAACGTTTTTTTTTTCTATTTAAGAAAAAAATTTTTTTTTTTGCATTGTTTGTTTGAGATACCCGATAAAGCTGAGAGGCGCTTTCGTTTCGCTTTCGTAATTAGAAAGATGATATTAATATTTTCAAATTATTTTTAAGTTAAAAAAAAGTATGAGGAAGCTACTTGCCAATACATTGGCAGCGGTTTTTATTCGCGATCGATGCGATTTTTTTCACATTTTGATCCTTAAAAAGACTTTGCCCATACATAGTTTTATGTAAAAGTCTGTACCCATTTAGAATCATGGCTCAAATTGAAGTTTTAATGCTTCGTTAGGAAAACATGGTTGTTAAAAAAATTTGGGAGATTTCCTTGATCAATTGCAAGACTTTTTTTGGGGAAGTACTTGGTTTTTGAAGGACAAAAAATTGCTCCAAGAAATAGTTGCTAAATAAGAATTTTAAATTATTTCAAATATTGTAAGTATAAACAGATAATTCGGTAACTTTATTGTAAACAAATTGATTATAAATGATTTAATTCGCGTCGTATATTTTGAAAAGTTCGCGGATTATCTGATCCCTGTTGACGAACCAGCGTCTGGTCGCGAGATGCACCGGTGTGGTGCGTCGCAACAGTGGTTTGTTTCCCGTCGTCATCGATCTCAGGCACGTTCTTGTAGCCCATCGCGATTACAAAGTCGATGAATCGTTTCGCTTGACAATAATTATCTCTCATGATTTTAATGCAATCTAAGAGAAGAAACTCGATTTCCTCGTGCCATTCAAAGATGTCTCCGAGATCAGGAGGTGGGCAATCCCAACCGTTGATCAAAGGGTCCAGCCGACGAAGAAATTCAACTCGCTCATTCTCGAACTTCCAATTGATATTTCCTCGTGACTTCTTCAATGTTTCCAATTTTCGTTGATTCATGTATTTGTTGAATAACGCGTTGTAGCTGTCCATTTTTTGCACAGTTTTACACAAAAATCTGTTGTAATAAAAGATACAATTTTTTTCGTCGCGGAAATAACTCCTTTACGCGATCTTGGTAGGTGTGCACACGACGACTTGCTTTTACAGCCGACGACGGGTAGCTCAGACAAACTGCCACATAGACTTCGTGCTCCACAGGATTGAAATTTTGGTTTTTGAAATAGGGTAAATGTGGGTGTTACTGCGGTTTTTTTTTTAGGTTGTCTTCCAACCTTCGATATTAAACGTTGTAAAAAGATTTACCTAATAATTTTTTTTTTTACATTATTGTTCAGGATCTGGGCTAAACAATTTAAATATTAAAAATTGTTTAATTTCAATTTAATATCATTAAACAGTAATTTAAAAAATAAAAATGGATGCATGTATTACTGCTGTACATGTATGCATTACTGTGCATTTATTACTGCGGATATCCCATGATGCTTTTACTGTAAGTCTATTATTCAATAAACATTGATATTGGCGAACTGCGAAGTCATAGATCTAAGATTATTTGGTTATGTTACCGCAGTAATATGTGCAGCGCTACCGCAGTAATATACTCATTTCAAGAAAATGATGTACCTAACATTGTATCAATGAAAAAAAATAGATAAAAATTTTAAATCAATATAAAAGTTAATTGAATATTTTCTGCATCACTTATGCTTACTGATAAAATTATCACTTTTCTTTCCGAGTCGATGCAATTAATTAAATCAACTACAACAAAATGTGTCTAAACACGGAAATTTTCACCTTTTTTTGCTCGATTTCGAGAATCACATTTTAAGAATGCTTTAACTATAATTAACTTCATTGTTATCTATTAATTTTCAACTCATAGGATAAAAAAAACTTACTTTAAATACTGATATAGTTAAGTTACAGTCATATACATTTAGAAAATCATAATATTAGTTTATTCTTCTCCCGCATTAATAGGTGCACCCGCAGTAATACCCACATTTACCCTACACTTCATAAAACAAAAACAAGTAATTTTTCTTAAAAAAGTTTTAAACTATAACTACTTCCCTGCCGCTGCGTAAAGCGGGAAGAGCGATTTTCGGGTTACTGTGTATGAAAAATATTATACAGGCCTATGCCGCCAAAAACAGAAAAGTCCCAGAGTACGTGTAATTACTGCCTAGGTCAGTAATATACTAATATTTTTTTTTAAGACTAAAAGCATTATAAATGAAGATACATGTCTCAAAATGTATAAGGAAACTATTTTCGTTCTTGAAAATTGAATTGATACATTTATCTAGAAATTATCAAAATTTATGGAAGGTGGCCGAATACTAGATGGCTTTTTTATTGAATAGTCCAGTATTCCATCAGGGTCGACCAGGGTAAAGTACCACATGAACAAAACAGTTGAAGATTTAAAACTGCAACTATAATTTTTTATTGCATGAAAAAAGTTTCATTGCATCATCATTTTATGATAATTACCTTTTATTCAAATAATAGCTCATAGTGGTTGGTTACTAGAAGGTGGTCGAGCACTGGTAGTATTACCTCATTGTACATTTTATTATATCTCAAAATAAATTGGAATTTCTAGTCATATAAAATATTTAGAAAATTATATAACTTTTTGATAAAATTTTTTCAATTTTTGCAGTGATTCACGTCTCAAATTCGAGTTACATGACTTTTAAACTTTTCCTTTGCTTCTCTAGAAAACGAAGATGTACATCGACCGCATGAACAATTATCTGGAGCAGTGGCGTACGCACGTGCTGAACGAGGTGAGCGGCGGCGCGTCCAAGTGTCGACCTCTCTGGGACATTCTGCAAGGCGTCAAGTATCTGCTCTGCAGCCACATACTCGGACCGCTGGTAAAACGAATACATATGATAATTAATTTTTCATTTTACAAATTTTATCTCTCTCTCTCTCTCTCTCTCTCTCTCTCTCTCTCTCTCTCTCTCTCAATTTTCAATAATTTTTCTGTATAATTTTGGAAAATCAGAACGGCTTCTGGTTCGCCACGCTGATCTGCGCCACGACGATGATGTTCAGCACACCGACGGCGCACAAGCTCGCCTGCTCCTACTGCCATCATCATTACGGCGGAGGCGGTGGCGGTGGCGGCGGTGGTCTAGGCAGCCGCAAAGGATCGATACTCTTGCCGAGATCGAGGCAGTGAGTTTTACACGTTATATTATCACTTACCTTATACCGATCACCATATCATGCTCGCACGATAATACGCGTTGTGTTTTTGAAAAAATTCGCAGAGGCAGCCCGGATACCGTGATCATGGAGCGCGAGACTTGGCGGACGCCCGAGTGAGTATATTTTATTTTTATATTCTTTGTAAAAAAAAAATCATAGCAGCCGAATATATTTTTTTAATAAATTTTTTTTTTTTCTCTCTGCAGTCCCCCGCCTTCGATGGACAGCTGGTGAAATGCGAGACGAGCTTTGTTGTCACGAACGTCTTGTTGTATACACGCACTCGACATCATAACATAAACACGCGGATCGTATCACGATCAGAGAGAGAGAAAGAGGTGTACCCATGAAATACGAAGCGAGGAGAGACAGAGCATCCAAGAAGATAAAGAAGAATAATGAAAGTATACATATAAATATCGGTTAATTCACTCAACGTATGATAGATATTCTAATTAATTTAGAGATAATATTGAAAGCATAAGATCCATTTGTAGATCACACAAATACATACATTAGCCACGAAATCTTTCGAATTGTTGCAGCCAAAAAGATTATGTTATTTTAGGCGTCTAATACCTGTAATGACCTTTTTCTATATGCGTATGTTATCACGATCATTGCTAAACGCAGTTATAACTATTATCATTATTATTATTGTTATTATTATTATTACGTAATGAGGAGAGATGTTGTTACTACTCGTTATGCTCGAATTTTTTTGTATACGATATTTGAGTTTTATTTACATAATAAAAAAGGAGAAAAAACATTTTAGTTTACAAAAAAAGAAAAAGAAGAGAAAAAGCTCTCGGAATTTCAGCTTATTAAAATAGCCTCTCACTACATCTTATATATCTTGTAAATCTTGTAAAAAAATATTGACGATGGACCAGGCGCTGGCCAGGCCGAGCGAATTGTTGGCGATGCAGTGATAGACGCCGATGTGCTGCGCGCCCACGTTGTCCAGTACCAGCCAGGTGGCTCGCACCAGACTGTCTTCCGGGTCTTCCTCCTCCGCGCCGTCGCTCGATCGGCTCGTTCTCGTATCAGGCCCGGCGCGATCTTCGGCTATATACGAAAAAAGTTATAAAAAAAAATTAATTTCCATTGTTCGAATTTTAGTTTTATCTATTTTTGGACTTGATGTTTTTAATCAAATATGACATTTATCAAATTTTGATTTTGGTGCCCTGGTAGAGTTAGCGAACGGTTAAATGTTCAGCCCAAAATAATAAAAAAGAAGCTAGCTACAGCAATTTTTCACAAGCTATGTAAAAAAAATCCGGTGGACACCGTCACTCAAAATTTACAGGCCCGATCCACTTAATACTTTATACACTATTTCAGTAGATAATATATGAGGTAATGACGTCGAGATAATTCAACTTTTTGTTTTTTAAAATGAATTTTACCTTCAGATACGATGACTTTTTACCTTCCTTTTTGCAAAAAAGTCAATTTTTTCACTTCAAAATGATTTAAAAATCTCAAAAATCATTTTAAACAAAATATCTCGACGAAATTACCTCATATTTTATGTAGTTAAATAGTGTAGTTAAATCGTAGATTTTCAGGTACAGTGTCCACGGCAATCGATATTTTTTTTTTCAGTTGTTTGAAAAAATTTGCTGTAGTTAGCTTATTATAATAATATAACTATTTATAATGGATATATTTTATAGATAAATTCATTTTACTATGTGCTCAAAAGAAATTAAATTAAATAAAATTAAAATGAAGCTCGAAAACCATCAAACTGACCGATCTGTTTTAAATGCTAAATCAAGAAACATGAAAACTATATTGAAGATTTTTGTTTTTAATATAAAATTATCTTTTTACGATTTTTTTTACATCAGAAAATATGTCTCTAGTACCTTTAATTATTTAAATTTGTCTAAGATTCATCTGGCTTGAAATACCAAAGTTTTGTGCTGCATGAATCTGAATGCAATTTTGACTAATTTAAGCCCTTGAGGTCTTAAAAGCTTTGTAATAACATTGGTCAAAAATTGCATTCAAATGCATGCAACCCAGGACTTTGGAATCATAAGTCACTAAATCGTGCGTTAATTTAAATAATTGAAGGTATAAGAAACATATTTTCTAATGTAAAAAGATTTTTAAAAACATTACACGAAAACTAAAAATTTCAATATTGACTTATGATTTTCTTGTTTGTGAATGTACAGGATTTAACACAAGTGTCTCGCCTTAAATAAGAGCAAAAATACGCACAAAAAAGGCAGTCTCTATCGCCCGGGGATCGCGAAGTCATAGAGAAAATATTAATAAAATTTTTCTCTTCCTACGAACACCAATATCAAAATTATATAAACTTCATATTCGTATAATTAACCATTGATTCATCTGTTTTATCTTATCATCGTAATTTATCTCACTCTCGTAACGCAGCACACGTCTGCCGTCGGCCGAGTGAAACTCCCAGAAGATGTCGGGCAGCGGCACTCCTCTGGCCTCGCAATTGAGCGCCACCCGCTGGCCGAGTCGGGCGTCGGCGACGCTCTCCGGGGCCGAGTAGATTCTGGGCCGGGTCGGGCAGGGCCCCTCGTGGGCCAGCCACAGCCCCAAGCTCGGGCCGTTGTTGGCGGCGATGCGCAGCGCCGTCTCGCGCAGGGTGCAAGCGTTGGCGTAGGTGCGATTGTCGCTGCCGCAGACTCGGCGCGACTCCCGACACGAGCACACGGCCTCGGGCTCGTCCTGAGAATATATCATCAGGCACGCATATATACAGATACGACGACAGAAATTGAGAAAGAGACGAACGAACGCCGTTTATTTAGTTGTCGCGGAATTACGCGCTATTAGATAGCTAATAAGTAGAATGGGCCGGAGGTGCGTTTTAGGAAATTTTCGCGCTGGAGAAATTGCGGCCACCGGGAGCATTAATGCGTTTCAACTATAAGAGTGGACGTGGCGGCTTGATCTCAGCGATATCTACGTGAAAAGCGCGTGGGAGCTTTTATATTGTGGCTTACGATTATAGAGACGAGTATAAGAATTTTTCGTTCTTTATACATCTTATTCGTAGAGTTCATACTTATATATTAAAATAAATAATCGCAAATTAATTGTTTGAAATTCTTTAGATGCTAAAAATTATTTTCAAGCTTACTATGCAAATTGTTGTTTTTTTCTATGTTTTTCAATTAACGTTCCTAAACAACTGCCTGGTAATTGATTTCAGGACAATACAAGGATTAGAACGATATAATACGTCTTCTATGAGTTTTTTTAATCAAAGTCAAATTTTTATTACGATGCCAAAAGCGGCTGTTTCATGACATCGACCTATGCTTAACACGTTAAATAATTGATTTTTAAAGATTAATATCTTCGATAAAAATTGATTTAAATTTAAAGAATCGATAGAGATAAATTTTTTTACATTCTTAAAAAATCGAAAAATCGCTTTTACATCCTGAAAAGTGCGGGTTTAAAGTTGCGCGTTTTGAATGTCTTGAATCACGATTAAATGATTCATAAAAGCTCTCGCCGTTTTATGTACGTTTTTTTCTTCACATCAACTCTGAATCGTTTCATACTTTCGATAATAAACTCGATGCAAAAAGTTAGAGATATAATGAGAATAAAAGCATACCCCATCCTCGAGATCGTGTCTCAGTCTGCAGCTGTAGTCGCCGGCGCAGCGGCCGGCGTTCCTAGCCGCGGCCGGCAGCAGCTCGCGGAGCTTCTCGTCCCAGCAGGTCTCGCCCTCGAGGCGTGCGCACACGCCGCTGGTCGGACAGCAGCCGCAGGCGTCCGGCACGGTGCCCAGCAAGCAGTCGGTCGCCGGATCGGTAGGGCATCGTTCTCTGCACGATAGTGCATTATGAATTTTATTTTTTTCCCTCTCTCTCTCTCTCTCTCTCTCTCTCTGACAGTCAAAAAAAGGCTAAAAAGGCGAAATCGTCACCTGGACGAGGTGCTGCACGGTCTACAGCCATCGGCGTAAGGCGTCTCCGTGACACCAACGTTGTTCTTGTTGTTGTTGTTGTTGCTGTTGGCCGCGTCTAGAGTAGTCGGCGGCGGCGCGGCTTGGCATCGCGACGCGATCAGAGCCAAGAACAACAAAGATAACGAAAACGACGACGACGACGACGACGACCACGTCCGCATCGGTATCATCTCAACGCACGACTGGATTGTACACACGCTACTTCGAGAGCCGGATAAATATATATTATAGTCACGCAGCTGCTGTAGCTCGTATAGACACTGACTACTGCAATGTGCGTCCGGCTGGCTCTCGCCTCGTATCTCGCGAGCTCGAATGCGCTTCGTTGTGCGCGGAATATACTGCATATAGTAGTGTATAACGCGCGGCGGAGTATTTTATGTACGCGTACACGTAAGTAGCAAAAGCTCTCGAGATTGAGACGCGCGCACTTGGCCGCAGCAATTGCCGCTGCATATTATATATGCCGAGCTTGGCGCGCGCGGGCGCGATTATTTTTGATGTTCGCGATCGCGAGACGCAGCGACGACGAACCATGCCACTGATGAGAATTATTACTTTTTTTTCTGAGAAAATTAATTTAAATTGAGAGGCGCAGACATAGATTTGTGTATAGAATGATAGAATCGTGAGTATTAAATCGTGGTGCTTTCAATCGTGAAATAAGAAAAAAAAATAATCCGTACAAAATTATGTACTTTTGCTTTTTGCATATGCTTTTTTTGAGAAATACTTTGCAGAAACTATGAACTTATCTCTATACTTTCCATAATAATAAAAAAAGTTTTTATGGACTTTGCAATCTGAGCCGGCGTCTACACCTGTATCTAAAAAAGGACTGTAAAGTACACACACAAGACTTTGATGTAATACTTAGACTCTCGCAAGCTCTCAAATAGATATCTAAATTGCAATAAATTTTATAGCAATATGTTATTGATATCAATGAATAGTGCAAGTTCTGTCATACATTTATGGGTGTGTGAAGAAGATAAAATTAATTGCGTCATTTATTTATTATTCATTACATAGAAGATTCCGTTTATAACACAATAACTTTATTTTGTTACTTTCATACTGGTCTATAGAAATTTCAAATCTTCATGAGTAAATATTATTATATTCGATTTAAGTTGGTTTGAAATTTGATGTTAGTACAGAAAGATCAGTATCTAACTGATTTCTGAGTGGAAAACATGGAATCGTACGGTGTATTCAACTGTACCGCTAGGTAATTTTCATTCTGTAAATGAAAGCATAAAATATTTTTGCACAATGCCTTATTTGAACTGGTTTGTTTTAGAATAAAGCAGGAGTCTGCTGACGAGTCATTTATAGAAAATGATGAACATGGAGTAATTTGCCAGATATCTGGTATGGAAAATTTTCAGTCTTCGAGATTTGAGCAGGAGAATTCGGTAAGAGTTGACAATTTTACATAATTAGCATTGTAATTTTTATCATGAACATTTTATAAAACTTGAATTCTTCGACAGATCCGTAGGATTCAAGAACGTGAACAAAATCGTAAAATTCATCATGACGATGTGGAAATTGAGTTCGAGTGTAGAGACCAGAAGCCAGTGTTGAATTCCTTGGTGAAAATTGAAGATGATTCTCAAAATTATTCGCAGGATGTAAAATACAGTAGAGATTGGGCAACTACAAACGGTATTAAACGAGAAATTGTGGACAAAGTGAAAAAAGAATTTTTTGAAGATGATGCAAAAAACTTGGCTACAAATGTTGATTGCGAATTAACAAAGCCGAAGGAGTTGAAAACGAACAATGATATGGTGCTTAAAGTTGTTACTTTTCCGTGTCATACTTGCAAAAAGACATTTAGAAATAAAAAAAATCTCAAAGCTCATATCGAATCAGCGCATGAAGGTATTAGACATCCATGCGACACATGCGGAAAGAATTTCTCGACAAAGAGTAGTCTTAAAATTCATATCGATTCTGTTCATAATAAAATCGCACATAAATGCGATAAGTGCAGAAAATCATTCAGTACAAAAAGTAATCTCATACAACATATTAAAGGGGTACATAATGGTATCACTCACGGATGTGATACATGTGGAAAGAAGTTCTTAACAAAATATAAAATAAAAGTCCATGTCAAATCAGCGCATGAAGGTATCAAACATGCATGTGACGTATGCAGGAAGAAATTCACACGAAAGACTAATCTCAAAAGACACATAGATTCGGCGCATAATAAAATCTCTCATAAATGTGATACATGCAGAAAGAAATTCACACAAAATAGTCATCTGAAAGTCCACATCGATCAGGTGCATAATAAAATCACCCACAAATGCGATGTATGCGAAAAGAAATTCGCAAGCAAATATAATCTCAAAGTCCACGTCGATAGGGTTCATAATAAAATCGCCCATGGATGAGATATGCGCGGAAAGAAATACTCAAAGAAAAGTCATCGCAAACACCACATTGTTTCGATACATGATGATGTTGAAAATGGATGTGATTTTTTCATTTGGAAAAGCAAGTTTCAAATCAATATGGATTCAGAACCAAACAACTTTGACTGTTAGGTAGTTTATTAAAATATCAAACCGATTTCATGAAAAAATTGCACATTTCAACAAATGTATCGATACAGTGTTGCTGGAACTGACGACAGTTTTTTGGATTTTTTTATGACTTTAGAAAAAAACCTTAGATTAAAGACAGACTTAAACGTCAAACGAACACAGCTTGTAATTGTAAGCTTCATTAATTTTATATGTATATTGAACCATGTACGAAATTTTCAATTGTCGATCTTCGTAATAGATTGTTTGTATTCTTCTATTTTCAAAGAACTGATTTTCATTTATATTTGCTTTAATTTTTTACCAATAAATCATGATTTATCAAGTATGCTCCTAAAATATAAAAAAAAAAATGTATGGTAAATAAAACGAACTGCATTGCATGTACATTTTAAAGAAAAGTAAGAGTACTACTGCTTCAAGAACCACTGCAAACCTCCTCTATCAGAAAAGCGATAGGTATGTAGTTGTGCGAAGATACTTTTCGGAGCTTTCGATTACTCTACATATACTCGTGACGTCAAGTGCTCTTTATACCTACTCTGAAAAGATGATAGCTTGTAAGCCTGTATGCGAGAATCGCATCTATTTATGCGCGACTAATTTCGCACTAAAGTCCTTTTACCTCCGTTTAGGTTAGTGTCATCTGCAAGACCTCGTGCATATGTGCACACGTCGCAACGTGAAAAATAGTTGCAGTCGAACGATAGATGTTTCATGAAAATTTCAAGTGATAAAGATGGAACCAAGTCATAAGTTGAATTGTGCTCTCCGGTAATTTTGAATTTCTTGAAAATGAAATTATAAAAACACATATAGCAAAATACTCGATCTTGTTGAGGTTATTTCAGAATCAAAGAGGAGCCCAGTGATGCGCCGCTTGTTGAAAATAATTGGGAAATGATGGACGAGAAGCCCGATCTTGAACATTTTCAACTCTTGCCATTTTTACGAGAAAACTCAGTAAGTGTTAATAACTGTTATAGCTCGCATTTAAGTGGTTTAGTAAAGAAAATTCTCACGCATCTTTTTCTTTCAACAGACTCATACCCTTCAAAAATGTGGCATGAAACTTGAAAATGTACTCGAAGACGAAGTGAAAATAATCGTTGAATGTGAAGATGTCAAGCCTAATGTGGGTTTATTGGCAGTTGGGAAAAATGAGAATTACTCTCCGAATCACTTGCAGAATATCAAACATAGTAAAGATTATAAACTTCAAAATATGATGAAAGTAGAAACCGCAGGCGAAGTGCAACAAGAAAATATTGACAATGTTACAGAAGAATTGAGTTTGAATCTCGATTGTGGAGTTGTCAAACAGAATAAGAAAAAAAGAATTACAAAAAGGTTTAAAAACGAACTTAACCTCAATACACACATCACAGTGCATAATGATACAAGCCACGCATGTGATGCATGCGAAAAAAAATTATCATGCAAAAGTAAACTCAAAATCCACATCGAATCAGTGCATAAAAAAATTGCTCATGGATGCGATAATTGTCGAAAGCAATTCTCAACAAAGAGTAATCTCAAAACCCACATTAGTACAGTGCACAATAATGTGAAATATCCATGTGAAATATGCGGAAAGAAATTTACAGACCGATCTAATCTCAATAGGCATGTCAAATCATTACATAATTATACTACCCATTCATGTGCTATATGCGAAGAAAAATTCACTAGAAAGGATTATCTCCAAAATCATGTCGAAACTGTTCATAATGGTGTCACCCATACATGTGACATTTGCGGCAAGCCTTTTTCACAAAAAGGACATCTTAAAATTCACGTTGACTCAGTGCATATGGGTAACAAACATGCATGTGATGTATGTGGAAAGAATTTCGCAAACAAGTGCAATCTCAATAAACACGTCGATGGAGTACATGATTGTATCACACACGAATGCGACATATGCAAAAAGACATTTACACGAAAGGACAGTCTCCAAACCCACATCGATACGGTGCACGATGGCGTTGTAAAATACTCATGTGGTATGTGCGGAAAGAAATCTTCAACTAAGAGTAATCTCAAAACTCACATCAATGCGATTCATAATGGTGTCACACGTGCACATCACAACAAAAATTTAAATTATGCAAGAAATTCTAAAGTAAAAGTTGCCTTAACGTCAGAATAAAGTAATCACTCACATCTTAAAAAGCCAATTCATTTGGTGCATCACTCCCGCATTACATGAACTACACAATTGAATATACTTGCTATGAAGACTAATTTTGAAATGTGCATGTACAGATACCATGAGTTCCTCCGATGTTATCTCATTATGTAAAAACAATGTTTAAAATTAGTATAATCAATAAATTTTTGAATGAAAATAAAGAATATTTTTATTTTTAATGTTAATAAGAAACTTAAACGTAGAGCTAGGAAAAAAAATAAACCAGTACAACATTTTTTTGATAACTAAATAATAGTACTCCTAAATACAATCGATTTTTGTTACCCGGCGACATTAGTTCCGATGTAAACAAAATTTCAACGACGAAATCTCATAGTTCAATGTATACATGAGATCCGAAATAAAAACAGTAGAAAAATAGTCGTACAAGCTACAAGCTGACAGATAGTATAATTTGAACGTAAAAGTCAGAGAAATTTTTACAATGGAAACTTTGGAAATGTCAAAATTTGAAAATAAAAATGGCAAATCACGACACAAATGCATTGACCGCGGTAAGATTTTCATGACTCAGAGAAATTTAGAGAGTCACGTAAATTTAGTTCATTTGAGAATCAAAAATTTTCAAACACGTGAAGCACATGAAAAGTCTGTCGCTTACAAAAAAGACTCGGACTCACACATTGCCACGGTCCATGAAAAAATTAAAGATCTCCAATGCAAAGAGTGTAGTAAGACTTTTGCACGAAACTCTCATTTGATGCAGCACATAAATACAGTTCATTTGAAACTCAAAGAGCACAAGTGCGAAGAGTGCGGCAAGTCTTATGGTTGTAAAAGTTCTTTAAATAGACACATTGCGTCAGTTCATGAAAAAATCCAGAATCATAAGTGCGTGGAGTGTGGCAAGTTATTTGCACATAAAGTAGTTTTGATGAAGCACCTAGATGTAGTTCATTTGAAACTCAAAGACCACGAGTGCAAAGAATGTGGCAAACTTTTCGGACAAAAATGTAATCTTATGCAGCACATAGATCAAGTTCATTTGGAACTCAAACAGCACAAATGCGAAGAGTGCGGCAAGTCTTTTGGACAAAAATCTAATCTTCAGAGGCATATCAAACTAGTTCATCTACAACTCAAAGATCACGAGTGCAAAGAATGTGGCAAATTTTTTGGGGGAAAGGATAATTTGTTGAAGCATATAGATCTAGTTCATTTAAACCTTAAAGAACACATATGTAAACAATGTGGAAAAGTTTTCAGTCGGAAAGGTGATTTAACTAGACACATGGGCACGGTCCATGAAAAAATCAAAGATCACAAATGCGAAGAGTGTGGCAAACTTTTCGGACTAAGAAAAAGCCTTATGAATCACGTAGATCAAGTTCATTTAAAACTCAAAAATTATCAATGCAAAGAGTGTGGCAAACTTTTCGGACTAAAAAGTAACCTTATGCAGCACGTAGATGTAGTTCATTTGAAAATCAAAGAACACGAATGCGAAGAGTGTGGCAAGTCTTTTGGTTCCAAGCGAAACTTGAACAGACACATCTCTACAGTACATGAAATAATTTAAGATCAAAAATAAGAAGAATATGGATGAGATTTTAGTCGCAATGATTTTTTGAATAAACACATTAACGCAAACCACCGTATATCGTTGAAGATTATGTTGAAAATGACGATCTAGGTGATTTTGAAAAATTAATCTAAAGTTTAGTAAATAATAGACCAATTTTGGTACTCTATTTTATTTTTTTCAAGGGTCTTCAAATTACCCTCAAATAGACTCCGCGTTTAGATTCAGCGATCTCGATAACGTTGAACCATTGTAAACCGCAAATTGTAAATAGTTTTATTTTGCGTATACATTTTTTTTTGTATTGACTTTTATTAGTTTAAAAATATGATACAATAACTAATTTTTTCAAGTGTAGTTATAATATTTTTGTTTTTCTAATAATAATAATGATGAACCCCATCGATGGTTTAATTTTTCTTCTTTTTCTTTCGAATGCAATCGTTTTATTTAGTTCTTTTAAAAAAGGCTTTTTGAAATTTGACCTTAATGGTAGTTATGAAAAAATTAATGTTTATTTTAAAAAATAATCTCATGGTAAAGCAATTAAAAAAAGGTTGAGTAAACATTTATTGCTTTTATTTTTTTTAGATAATTCAAAAAATGTCTGCTATTGCTTGAATTTTGTTTACCATCGGTCGTTAATTACGATTCCAATACACGCGGTGACACTATGACATACGATTTACTCGCAGAGTATTTTCATCCCGCAATGCTTTACGCATCGCTCACCAGATGGCTTGGCCGCTTTGCATCGCAACCCACAAGCGAAGCATGGGTCAGCGTGTACTTAGAGGGGAGCGAAAGCAGCTTCGAGCATACTTACCTGGCGCAGAGGCTACCGTGATCACGAAGGCGGTTCCTCCAGGGCGAGACCCTCTCATTGCACTACGATTGGGTTGACCCTTGCGAATATCCCTAATGCGGATATCTCGGGCGTATAATTTTTGTTAGCCGGGACTGCGTTCGCGCTATCCCGATTGATCAATCCAAAAATAATTTTTCGCCTCGAGAAGAGCGAGCAGCTATGTAGTAAGCATCGCATCGATGTCAGCTGAATGTAGCTCGGAGATGATGCGGTGTGACTGTCGAGCGTGTGTAATTGTAAAGGATGTAATGGTAAAAATGATTTTGTCTAATGAAAAATATAGTAAGGTTCGTATAGTCAAGTTTGTATAGTAGGTTTTGTAGGGCTTATCAAGATTATGTTTTCTTTTTACAACACAAATCTATGAAAATCCTGCAAAAGCGTTTGTACACAGCGACTCATCATTTTATTAATGAGATGATATATTTATAATACATTTGCATACTCGTGAAGTGTTTTCTTCGTCCCACGACACACTGATGATGTTTATAGTGAAAATAAATTAGTTTGAATGTTTGATTCCCTCATGAAACCAGCTATCATAAATTTTACTCATTCAATTTCTGTTGCACAAAATTGAACACCAGTTGTATAGTTCAGAAACTGAAATGGATAAAAGTGAGAAGAAATCCGAGAAAGTTATCTCGGAATATTTACACTTGAATCGAGCATGATAATACATCAAAACACAATTCACAATGGTCACGCCAATGGTGTCATGGCGTCGGTGGTAGATTTTATAATAAATATCCAATTTTACTATGAGACTTAAGCCGTCCAAAACCAAGAGACCCTGAATTTGACTTATTTTTCTACGCGTTATTTTTTTATAAAAGTAATGTCAAATTAGAGTGAAAATACTAATATTCTAGGGTTTTTATTGCTCTTTCCCCAAATCTGTCGTCAAATTTACGATTTATGAAACCGTTTTCAAAATACATTTGTTTAAACAAACAAACATGGTTTTTTAACATTTTTCTTCAAAATGATCGTATTTTTCATTACGATTACGCTTTTGGATCAGGTTAAAACTCTGCATCTGGTGTCATACAGGCCTATACTAAAAGTAAGCGACGTTTGTTCATCCAGATTCAAGATGACAGCCACCAAAACAGCTGATTGTAGTGGAAAATTTAAAAAAAGGCTTTGGTATTTTTTTACTCGGTAAGAATGGACTCTGCGTAAAAAAATTATACTACTAACAAAAAAAGCTTAGAATTGATCAAGAAACACGCATGAATTTTTTCATAATTTTTTGAATGTTTTGGATATTTTTTGATACAGCCATTTTATAAATGTTTTGACTTACTTGAACATGTCTTATTTTTAGATTCATTGAAAGTTTTTCAAAACTTTATTTTTCATGCTTTCTTTTTAATTTTTCAAAACTTTTCTACTTCAGATAATTAATTTTAGAGACGTTTTACATCTGATAGATGTCGTAAACAATTAACTTAATTAACTTAATATTTAACTTAAATAAATTAACTGGATTCCCAAAAAAAGTTTCGATTCGAATTTGGAAACGGTTTATGCGCACATCGACGTTTCCATTGCAGCTAGCACGCAGTCGCAGTCGATACAAGTTTTTTTGGTGAAAGTAGACTACACGTGTGCAACAGCCGGATGTATCTCAGTCGTTTTTTCTTTCTCGTGGTGTGCGTTCGTTGGTGTCGGCTCTGCCACTGTCAATTAGAACCTCGTGTTCGTACGGTCTAGCCACGTGTTTTTTACTCGTTCTATAAAGAATACGTATATCGTCCCGGTTCAGTGCACATTACGACGTCGCAGCGACGATAATAAGTGATTTTTAAAAGTAAAAAATATCTGTATCTGTGTGTGTAAACGTGAAAAAAGATGTCTACGCCAGAAGACCAACCACTAATGGAAATATTAAAAGACTTACGAAAAAAGGTTAATTGGAGTATCGTAAAAGAGCGATGTAATTTTCTCCTTCAACTCTATCTACTCAAAAATATCGGTAATGAAATTCCTGCACTTCATCTCTTTTTGCGCCCCGAAGAGATTCAGTGTCTTCTCTGGGACTCCATTAATTACATGGAAAAAAAGCTTTTTTATAATCCAAGCGACTTGTTCATTGAGATGGCTGCCGCAGATGCTTACAAAGACAAACCGGAAGTTGATGAGAATGGAATCATATCGCCACGTCGCACGACACTAATACATCATGCGGTTAAAAAAAACGAAGAGTGTCGCCACTGGACTTACGTTTTTCCTCTCCTTTTCGATATATGCGGCAGGTTTGATGTGAATTACACCGACGAGTCAGGCTACACGCACTTTCACGCGGCCTGCCGGTTTAACTGCCCCGAAATCGTCCGAGGGTTCCTCGAACACGGACAGGATCCCAATTGTATCTGGCCAGAAACAGGTGATTCAGCACTACACATTGCCTTAAAATACGCAGGATTGGGCAGTGATATAATGGAGATACTGCTGAGAGGAGGAGCCGATATAAATTTAGCCAACGAGGAAGGTTTGACACCTTTGCATATTATAGCCGAAATAGATTTTGATTGTCAGAAATTAGAGCTATTCTTCCAAATCAACGACGAATTGAATCAGCTGGTGCAGATTAACGCCCGTGATAAATTGGGTAATACACCGATTCACTATGTTTTGGAAGACAGCATTGAGAAAAAGTTGATGGAGATAATGCTGAGAAGAGGAGCCAGTCCAAATGTATCCAACAACGAGGGATCGACTCCTTTGCATATTATTTGCAAAAGAGTTATGTTTTACTGCGATGACTTTGCGGAATATTTTTTCAAAATCAACGAGGAGCTCAAACAGCGGGTACAAGTCGACGCCCGCGACAAGTTGGGTAGGACACCCCTTCAATTGGCAGTGGTGAATTGCTTGCCCTACGCAGTCGAGAGTTTACTGAATCATGGCGCCGATTTGTCGAGCTTCGTATTTCCCACTTCGAGACAGTTCGACGATTGCTTCGAGTCAGATCGCTACGAACATATTCTATCTAAATTGAGATTAGCATTTGACCTTATAGCCGTCATCGAGTGCCTAGAGAAAAAAGGATACGAGCTGGGCCGAAGCGAAGTCCTGATAATTATGAAATTATTCGACAAGTACAAATTGTTCGAGGAGATGGAGGATCTTGACGAAAGTTGGTTTGACGACGAGGAGTTTGCAAACGAAGCGAGAGAGACAATAATAAAACCAGACTTGTTGCTTTACGATCTAATCCATTTACGACCCCAAGAGGCCGCGAAACGACTGACGTATATGGACTGGTACAAGAAATTAGATATAAATGAGGCTGGTCGTTGGTATTTGTGCGAGATAATGTTGAGCAAATTTTTCCGGAGTTGGGCGTTGGAACCTTTCTGGAAATTGATTCATTATCGGCTGCCGCTTGAGTGCTGCGAATTAATCCTTCAGAACTTGCAGAACAAAGATTTATATCACATTTTCTTGGCAATTTCGATGTAAACAATCATTCAACGGCCGAATACGAAAGTTTAGAGTATACATGAGATCTGAAATAATAACAGGAGAGAAATAGTAGTGCCGGTAGATAGATTATACAATATACAAGTGAAAAGTCGAGAGATTTTTACAATGTCAGCTTCGGAAGATCATAGATTGGAAAATAAAAATGACAAAGTCCGTCACAAATGCGATGAGTGCGGCAAAATTTTCGGAGTTAAAAGTAAATTAATGCAGCACATCGATGGAGTTCACTTAAAACTCAGAGAACACAGGTGCAAAAAATGTGAAAAGACATTTCGTTATAAAAGTGACTTGAATAGACACATTGCGTTAGTTCATGAAAAAATCGAAGATCACAAATGCGAAGAGTGTGGCAAGTCTTTTGGACAAAAATCTAATCTTAAGAAGCACATCGATCTAGTTCATTTACAACTCAAAGATCACGAGTGCAAAGAATGTGGCAAATTTTTCAGGGGAAAGGATAATTTGTTGAAGCATATAGATCAAGTTCATTTGCAAATTAAAGAACATATGTGCAAAGAGTGTGGTAAGTCTTTCTTTTCTAAGACTAACTTGAATAGACACTTTTCCACGGTTCATGAAAATTCAAAGATCACAAATGCGAAGAGTGTGGAAAATTTTTTGCAGAAAAAGTGGTTTTGATGAGGCACTTAGATGTAGTTCATTTGAAACTCAAAGACCACGAGTGCAAAGAATGTGGCAAACTTTTCGGAAAAAAATGTAATCTTATGCAGCACATAGATCAAGTTCATTTGGAACTCAAACAGCACAAATGCGAAGAGTGCGGCAAGTCTTTTGGACAAAAATCTAATCTTCAGAGGCATATCAATCTAGTTCATCTACAACTCAAAGATCACGAGTGCAAAGAATGTGGCAAATTTTTTGGGGGAAAGGATAATTTGTTGAAGCATATAGATCTAGTTCATTTGCAAATTAAAGAACACGAACGCAAAGAGTGTGGCAAATCTTTTGGAGAAAAGAGTAAGTTAAAGAAGCACATCAATGAAGTACACTTAAATCTTATAAAACACATATGCGAAGAATGTGGCAAATTTTTTGGGGGGAAGGATAATTTGTTGAAGCATATAGATCTAGTTCATTTAAACCTTAAAGAACACATGTGCGAGGAATGTGGAAAGTCCTTTAGTCAAAAGAGTGACTTAAATAAACACATTAATACAGTTCATAAAAATATGAAAGATCACAAATGCGAAGAGTGTGGCAAACTTTTCGGACTAAGAAGTAACCTTATGAAGCACGTAGATGTAATTCATTTGCAACTAAAAGAGCACAATTGCGAAGAGTGCGGCAAGTCTTTCAGTTATAAACATATCTTGAATAGACACATTTTCACAGAACATGGAAAAATCAAGGATCACATGTGTGAAGAATGAGGCAAATCTTTCAGAGACAAAAGTGACGTGACAAAACATCTTTCCTCGGTCTTTTTTTATTTATGAATAAAAGATCATAAATACGAAGAGTGTGGCAAGTTTTTTTGCACAAAAAGGGGTTTTGATGAGGCTCATTGATGAAGTGCATTTAAAACTCAAAGAGCACATGTGCCGTCCGCGTGGAAAAGCTTCCAGTTGGAATATTCAATTGCAGAAATACATAAAAAAAGTCCATCGAAAAATTGAAAATAAAAATTCCGAAAAATGCTTTCTTACTCTAGCGCAATTTCACCAGCAGATTACGATTGAAAAAATGAGGTATTTTGATAAATAAGTACATCAAAATTTTTAAAGCAAGGCAATGTGAATATTAAGAAAGCTTCGGCGAAACATTTTACTTCTGAGTGGCAATTGAGTTCAAAAACGCAAATACTATAATTTCTGAAAATGAATGGAACATTTTTTGTAAATGATTTACTTTTTTTGACTTTGAATATTGTTTTTCTCGTAATTTCATATTTAAACCTTTTAAAATCACTAAAAAATTGACCCCGCATACGGACTCAGCGTCTCGAATAGACCATCGTAGTCCGCAAATGCTAAACTTTTTTAATAATTTTCTTATAAATTCTTTTCTCATTGAATTATATCTTTTCAAAGTATACAAAACTGAACAATTTTTATTTATAATAGAAATATTTTCATTTCTATAAGTAAATGATCAATGCTATTTAGTAAATAAATTCTTCTGACACATAAACTGTAGAGCTCATTGACAATAAAATGATTATGTCTTATGATTTAAAAAAAAATACAAAATTTACATAATATTTCCATTTTCATTCGGGCGTATACACGTTTTTATTACACATGTAATATTATTTTTCTAAGCAAAAAAAATTTGTAAATTTGACCGAATTCTATATTTTAAATTAAGATGTGTAAAATTTATTCAATGAAAACTTGCATTTTTTTTTTTTTTTGAAAATCACCCATATGTAGATTTCCAAGTACAGATTCAAAGCAAGTGAGCAAGAGAGGTAGAGAAACTTGGCACGACGAAGCTTGCGAATTCGCGACGCGCAGGCTTATAACTCAATGCGGCTCGCGCAATTATTCTTCGGCGAATCCAGACCACGCACGCGTTTGGCCGCGCTTTTTCTCGTCTGCACTTGCGAGCTCGCGCGGTCAAAGCGGGAGGAGGAGAGGGAGGCGAAACTCTAAAGCATCAACGACTCGCGCGTGATTCATCGAAATCGAAAATACACAATGTAAAAGCTTTTCGAGGCTTTTTCTACGATACGCGCCCGAATCTGCGATGCGCTCCTAATGGCTATTCGGCGAGGCGCATCGCCGAAATAGCTTCTCGAGCGAGCGCGTCGTTCAACGAGCGTCGCCGGCGGCACAGTGGCGCTAAATGAACGACGGCAAAAATTAATGAAGAGGCAGAGCGACAATCATAATGAACAAGAGAAAGAGAGAGAAGAAAAAAAGAAGCGACCGTTTATTTATAACTTGTGACAGAAACGTATATAACACAACGAAAATTCGATGAATTAGCCGTATCGTTGCGTGTCTGATTTCTTAATGAAAAATGAATTTATATTTCGGGAGCTATACATTCTGTGTTTCTGTGCCTGCGCGCGACACTTCGATACAGTACTCATTTGTACCTGCTAGTCGCGACAGCTAACTTTGGCACGAATTCCACCCGTCAACAACAAAAAACGACAACGCGACACGTTTTGTCGCAAGCCGCCCGCCGTTGATTGATGGGATTTACAAGACGAACAACTTTGCTGAAACGATGATCATGCATGTACAAATCTTATTATTATATGGCATCGCTCATATACGCAGAGATGATTCATCTATTATATTTTTGGCATTTTCTCGCTCGCGAAATTCAACGATAATAACGTATCGCATCGTGAACGCATCACCAGAAGCTGTGATGATCATTAGTCTTGATAATTTGTACGAGGCGAAAAACGTCGAAGACGCGAAGAAGTTCAATAGAAAAATTTTAAGTAGACGTCATGCTCCACATTCCTAAAATCCCGATGGTCAAAAAATGATCGTTCAAATTTTTTAAAAATATGTTATCATTTAATGACTTATTTTTGCTAATTTTTGTATTTCAATTATCTTACAAATGCTACGCACATTTCAAATGACCTGAATACTTTAATTTAATTTGTTCAACAATTTTAGACCAGCCTCTTCGATTACAATAACACGTCAACCTTCTCCCGCTAGATGGCGAGTACCTGTAAATCTGTAAATCCGCAAGTGGAAATGTAAAAATAATTGTATAAGTCAGAGTACTTGAAAATCATTCATGTTTTCATGTCATTCAAAATTTAAATTTTGATATGGTATAGGTTTCGATACGCGATATTTAATCCCTGTTTTCTTTTTATTTATTTTTGGTGACAAGTTTGGCACATACTTAGAAGTAAGCTTATTAGTTCACGCGTGACATTAGTGCAAGGTGTGTCTTTTTTGTCATAAGATTTTAAACTTTTAATTTGGTCGCAGGGATTTTGTATACTTCACCGATAATGTATAAAAAGTAAAGTTAAAGTAAACTTAACTAAAAGTTAATTTAAAGTAAACTTAACTTTACTTATGGCCCTAACTTAACTTCACTTGCCAGGCCGTCTTTATCAAATTTTATACGAACCTTACAATATCACGTAGTCTATGATTTTCACAAATTTTTTTGGGATACACAGCTAAATGTTTTCATTTAAGATCAATAACTTTATTTTTATACCATTATTTGGATCATGAAAATAGGAGATGTTTGAGAAAATTTGATTTAAAATTATACGAATGATAAACATCTAGCCATTTTTGCTACAATTCATAAAAGCGTATTTTAATTAACGTTCCCAAACCAAGGTGGCTTCAGAATGTTTTTTTATAATATACAACAAGTTCGACGAGTCAAAAATGTTCACGAGGCTACGAGTTGCTGTTCCGTCGCCGTCTTCGGGAACTTCCTCTCAAAAACATTGAGGATCGAATGCTGGAGCCACGATAGAAATGTGAAACTTCTATTATGATCTGACGACTTTTTGGCCATCTTCGAAAATTATGTTACAAATATCTAGCACGTGTTGTACATGGGTGGAAAAAGGACAATTGAATATTTTCTGAATTGAAACTAATTTTCAGCAAGTTTAAGTATACGATAATACTACTTTGAGACTTCACCGATAGATGGCGAATAACTTTAACTGGAAACCTGCAAGTGGCAAAGTAAGTACACAGTTATATAACCTAGAACCGTACAAATGTTGCATTTCGAACAATCGAGTAGTGACATACGTTTTTCGTTGGTACACGAGCATTTCTACCGGGGAGACAGTAAAATAAATAGAAATAATAACGAGTGTTGGTCAGTAGGTCACAATCTTCTTCTCATCTCGCTTTGTATATCTGCGATGTGTTTACAATTTACAATTATTGCTTGCAGTAGCTCGGCTTGACTAGTCTCGATCTTTTATTTGTCAGTCTCGCGATCCACGTCGTTCAGATCACGCGCAAATCGCAATCACATATTATACAAATCGTAAAAAATGTTTAAAATTGTGCGAGAAGAGGCACGCCTCGTCAACATCAATATCCGAGACAATACCAATTCCCATGGCACAGATGAAGCGGCCAAATTGTTGCTGCGAGAAGACGCCGACCCGAATAATTCGGCCAACGAGGACGGTTCGACTCCTCTGCACGTCTTTTGCAAGAGAGACGACGGGGATGAATTCGTAAGGCTATTCTTCGAGAGCGCCGACGAAAAACATCAGTTGGTGCGAGTCGACGCGAAGGACGAGTTGGGCCGGACTCCGCTTCAATGGGCCGTGGCGAATCTCCTGTTGGGGGCGGTCGATTTGCTCTTGGAACACGGTGCCGATGCGTCGAGCTTCGTTTTCCCCACCGAGGATTACTTCGACGCGAATTTCGATTCGAGCGATTGCGGCTATCAGTACAGATTGAAGCGAGCGTCTCGAGTTCTGAGCGTCGTCGAGCGCCTGGAGAAAGGAGGATACGAGCCGGACCGAGACGCCGTTTTAACGATCATGAAATTTTTCTCCAAGCACGGATTGTTCGAGATGTCGGCGAAACTCCACGGACGAACGCGATATCTCGTGAAATTGTTGCAGGAGGACGAGGCGTTCGCGAACATGGCGAGAGAATTGACGATCGAGCCGAGCCTCACCTTCTACGATTTGATTTCGTTGCCGACCGGACGGGCGAAAAGATTGCTCACCTACGCGGACTGCGCGAGGCTCGCGAGCTCGAACAAATGGTTCGAGCTGTCCATGAATCATATCCTGGCTTGTCTTGGATACCTGTGCGAGACGATGTTGGGCAAATTTTGTCAGCGATGGTTCCTGGATTCTTTCGCGGAGTTGACGCGCCATCGGCTGCCGATTCTCTGCTCCGATATCGTCGTCGAGCAGCTTTCGAACGAGGATTTGTTCAATGTATGCCTGGCGGTCAGTGATTGAAACTATAAATACTAGAACAACTTACCAAAGTCTTTGTCGTAAACATCGAGAGTTTTCGAGATCGAAGTAAAGGCATTATGTTTAAAATTGTTAATAGTTAATTACTAAGTTAATTGTTAAAAGTTATAAATAAAGTTCAAAATCAAACTTTTGTTGCTGAAATTAATCTTTTCATTCATTGTTCTGCAGAACGTAACACTAATAAAAAAATTATTAAATATGAGAAGACTAATTAAAAAATTATCAATCGAGGAAAATCTGCACATGTATTCATTCAAAAAGGTCAAATAAATCGTACTTTCATTTAAACAAAAGATACAAATAAAATACCAAGGCTACTCGAGGTTTTGATTCAGCATACAAGATTACGTTTTCGAATGCAACGCGTGCCAACGCATTGGTTTCCCCAATAACTTTTGTTCCAACATAAAAAAAATTTTTAACTCGGCACACGCGGTTTTGTTACATCTCAAGTACAGGAGCTAACGCATAAATAACATTTGATCTAATAACAAAGGGCAAAAATTTTTCAAGTCGCACGTAGATACGTCTCGCCCAAAGTTCGTATATCAAAAGTCTATCTCATCTCTTTTTCCACGAGGTTTTATACTCGCTGACTTTGTTCCCGCCTAGCAAGGCGTTATCTATGCAAAGTGAACGTTCGGCACATGTCAAATGCCTACGTGACGAAATAAAAATTTTCTAAGTCGCGATCTCTTACAAACTCTTCGCTACCTTATCGCTATCGAGATGTGTTTTCTTTTGGAAAAATGTAATGGTTTATATTTTATTGAAAATTAAATGGATAATGCTTCTTTTATGAGGAGACGACAAATTAAAAATTAAGATTTGGCCCATCGTGTATCTAGCGCTTGATTTCCGTTACTCGATGTTTTTCTCAGTATTTCGGCCCGTAAAATACACACGCGCGCGCGCGTGCACACACACGAGGGGACCCAATTGAATTTAAGACCTACTCTCCTACTACTCCTCTCTCGGGCTCCTTCACTCTCTCTTATACAATCTTCGAATCATATACATGTATCTATACATTTTCTAAAATGTACAGATCAGTACACGTCAGGACGCCGCAACGCGAACATCTACGAAGATCGTATCGTGTGATTTTCGTAATAAAAAAAAAATTTATTTTGTAATGAAGACTTAGTGTTTCTGTAGTTGATGCTGAGCGCAGCAAAGTCGTACACATTCGATATTGCTAATTTTCGATGTTTTACTCTAACTGCGATAACTCATGCAGGGATAAACCAATCAATCTGAAAATTTTACATAGCATTGTTTTGGTGCTGATGGAGTGCTGTATACTTTTTTAGCGACATCCGTATATCCTAATATACAAAAAATGCCTTTTTATGCAATTTTGAGTTTTGCACCTAACGACATCTCCACTTCGAAAAAACGTAATTTTTGTTTGCGATCGGTCTTACTTGTGTATCGGTATTTAACATTGTACTTATGATAAGTATATTATATGTCGTGTTTCAGTTAACATTGTACCGATAACAATTATAATATATGTCGTGTTTTGAGTATCACTACTGAGTAAAAATTTATGATATGTTTATTTATTATATGATAATAAATAAATATATGTTAATTTATGATATGTTAATTTATTTATTTGTCTCGATGTTTCATCAATTTGCGCGGTTATTGATAGGTACGTTTTAAGATCTTTTGTATTGATCTCGTGCTTGGGTATTGCCTTCATGCACACTTTTGACGTGTCTGCATAAATATTTTCTATGTTTAAATTTTTTTCCTCATAAAACACAAGCGTGATCAATGTCTTCGTGCTGCGTTTTAATGTGAGTTATAAGACGATCCTTTTGAGAAAATGTCTTGCCGCACTTATTACAATAAGTGGTCTTATTATGCATCAAATTCATGTGTTTTTTAAGATTACCCTTTAGTGTGAATGTCTTTCCGCACACTTCGCAAGTATGTGCCACACCTTTATGCATCGCATCGATGTGAATCTTGAGATAATATTTTTGTGTGAATGTCTTTTCACATATACCACACGCATGTTTAACACCATTATGTACTCCATCGGTGTGGATCTTGAGTTTAGCCTTGGTTGAGAATTTCTTTCCGCACACTTCGCAAGTAGGGGTCATACCATTATGCATCGCATCGATGTGAATTTTGAGATTTCCTTTATGTGCGAATATCTTTGCACATATACCACACGAATGTTTAACACCATTATGTCCCTCGATATGCCTCTTGAGATCTCCTTTTTGTGTGAATGTCTTTTCACATTTACCACACGCATGTTTAACACCATTATGTACTCCATCGATATGGATCTTGAGTGCAGCTTCAGTTAAGAATTTCTTCCCGCATACTTCGCAAGTAGGTGCCATACCATTATGCATCGCATCTATGTGAATTTTGAGATAACATTTTTGTGCGAAAGACTTTCCACATATACCACACGCATGTTTAACACCATTATGTACTGAATCGATGTGGACCTTAAGACTATTTTTTCGTGCAAATTTTTTACTGCATATATTACATGGATATTTGGTACGATTGTGTTCCTTATCAGTTTGGGTTTTGCGTTGACTATTTTGAGCAAATGTTTTTCCATTTGCATCAAATGCATCACTGAGTTCACCATCCAAATTCAATTCCTCTTTTACTTCGTCAACAATTTCTTCTTTAATTTTCTTTTGAGTCTGATAATCGCAACTATTTTTCATACGCTGCCATTGATCTGGATAATCGTCCTCGATTTTCTTGACTACTAATAAGTTAATGCCGAGCTTCTCGTCCTTACATTCGAATTCTATTTCCAAATCGTTATTAGGTCCAGAATTTTTATCATTTTCACGAAGCCCATAAATCTGGAAATGATATTAGTAAAAATACTTGATCAAAATATTGACTAAACAGTCCCACATCAACACTTACTAAATTTTCTCGACAAAAACTCGAGAATTCGTCGTTTTTAGCATCGCATGCATTGTCAATTATCTTATAATCTTCATTTTTAATTGGGGAAACATCATCTGGTTCCTTCTTCAGTCTGCAATATTCCCAATAATATAAAGTATTATGCCATTTTTTTTTAAATTTCATTCTCACGAAACAAAAATTACCTGACATCAGAGTTATATACATCACTGAAGTCCATGTTTATCACTCGGAACTTGATTAACGACTAATTGTTTTGTAATGATGTTACACATCGAGCTAGGTAACATAAGTGTAATAATATTTACAAATCGTGAAATAAAAGTTTGAGAAAATGTATGTCAACAGAGACACTCTAAACTTATCATTTATTATTGGAGAAATTATTCTATTGATCTCGTAATAAACAATTAGCCATTTTCTTTGAATTGTATCTTATTACAAAGAAATTATAAATTATTGAACACTTCATGAATCGAGCTTATGATGTGTCCTATACTCCTTTTCGCATAATTTTTTTCGACGCGCAAAATATGAAACAAAGTTAACGTGAGCGAATGAAGGGTTTAAATGAGCGAATATCGTAGATCTATGTAATCTATGTGTGATAAATATGCATGGTTAGTCGTGTAGTCAAATATATATCTGTATATATTGTCACGTGGGCACACCGGGACAGCTTAACGCGTACATACAGCTCTATATGTTTTGGCATGCCATGTGCCAATTCCTTTGGTCGCAACGTTGTCAATACAAGCTGAGCACAAAACATCGATAAGTGAAATCTATTTCGTACGTGCGAATTACGAAAACCTGTATTCATATATACCTATACATTAGACTGACAATATTTTTTTTTTTTTTTTTTTTAAATCGACGGGACGCCCCCTCAAAAGTTTCAAACCCCCAAAAAAATGACCTCTACCAAGTTTCAGCTCATATGGTGAAAAAAAACACGTGCCACAAGACGGGTGTAGATTTACATTAAATTAACTAAAAATCGAGAAAAGTGCATTTGTTTCTTCAAAAAACGGCTCAGCAAGATCACCTATTGAAAAAATGTGAATGCATTGTTTGATAGGTTTTTGTCTCGCCTTTCCAACGCCGTATTCAGATTTTAAAACGGCCTTAATTTCCTCGAGATACAGCTGTTTTTGTGGGATGCGTTTTTGTAGCTGAAAATTCAGTAATTCGGCTTCGGGTCCTCGAAAAATCCCGTTTTTCCTCACACTTTACAACATTCTGAGAAATCTATAGGAGCTACCAAAACGAAATTTAAACCAAAATTTTGCAAAAATTTGGTTGGCTACAAGGACGAGCCCGAGGACCTCGACGATGACGGCAAGCCGACGTCGCGTCGCGCCACGCTGCTGCATCTCGCACACAGGCGCAAGGCGTCGTGCGCGATCCGCCATCTGTTGAAAGTGTACGATTGATACGACGTGAATTACACGGACGAGTCCGGGCTCACGCATTTTCGGATCGCCTGCGAGGCCGGCTGCGCCGAAGCCATTGAAAAATATCCTCGAGCACGACCCGCGCCTGGATCTCAACGGGCCGATCGGCGATCCGCCGCTGCATCGGGCGCTGAGCAATCGCGATGCCTGGGCGGTCGGAACTCTTCTGAGACTCGGGGCCGATCCGACATTGGCCGACGAGGAGGGCCTGACTCCTCTGCACGTCGCCTGCAGAGACTGCCCCGACAGAGACTACTTGCTGGAGACGTTGTGCTGGCGGGATAAATGTCTGGCCGTGCGGCTCGACGCCCGGAACAGGTTGGGCAATAACACCGCTGCACTTCGCTCTGGCCAGTCCCGTGTACACAGTGATCGAGTATCTGCTGAGATGGGGCGCCGATCCCGACCTGGCCAACGCGAGAGGCGAGACGCCTCTGCACGTCGTTTGCAGCAGAGTCCACCGGGACGACCGGACGGTGGATACATTTTTGTCGATCAACGAGGTAAAAAAACGAACTCTGCGAATCGACGCCCGGGACGAGCTGGGCAACGCTCCGCTGCACCTCGCTCTGGCCGCGGGTGCCGGCAAAAAAGGACGATCGAGTGGCTGCTGAGACGAGGCGCCGACGCGAACTCGATCAACGAGGCTGGCACGACTCCTCTGCATGTTATTTGCGATAGAAGTAGCGACGACGACACGATCGATACGTTCTTCAAAATCGTCGACGAGGTAAAGCAAACGGTGCAGATCGACGCTCGGGACATTTTGGCCAGGACACCTCTTCAATGCGCCGTGGCGAATATTTTGCCGTCCGCGGTCGATGCGCTCTTGAAGGGAGGTGCCGATCTGTCGAGCTTCGTTTTTTCTACCGAGAGTCACTTCGCCGAGAGCTTTAAAACGAGAGACGATGAGTCCAACTTCCGGTTCAGACTGGCATCGGGCCTGATGGCTATCCTCGAGCGTTTGGAGAAAGAAGGATACGAATCGGAGCCAAGCGACGCCCTCACGATCATGAACTTGTTCGCCAATTACGGCTTGTTCGAGAAAGAGAAGAGACTCGTTCGATGTTTGCTCAACGACAAGGAGTTCTCGTACAGGGCGCAATGGATAAAGACGATTCCGGGCTTGTCGTTCTACGACCTGCTCCAGTTACGGCCCGACGAGGCGGCGAAACAGATGGCGTTCGCGGATTACTTTGAATTCTCGGACGGAGTGTGTCGCCAACTGGCCAAAAACAATTACGAGATTTGCGTCCTGCATCTAGCCGAGAGACTGTCGAGAAAATTTTTCTTGAGCCGGACATTGGATCCTTTCTGGAAACTGATACACTATCGGCTGCCCCTGGAGATGTATGAGATGATACTGGAGCATCTGACGAACAAAGATTTGTATCATATTTGCTTGGCGGCGACTGCCCAAAATTAGTGACGATAATGAGCATATCTTTTTTGTAATTTTCTTTTTTTAAGACCAGTGTTATTGAGTGTTATAGATTTTCTGTATGATTGTTATTCCAATAAATAAATAGTAAAAATTGAGTTGCGATTCTTTTTATTAATAAACGTACAATCATTAATTGATGTAAAAAATTTAAACAGTCGCATCAGTGCGCATCATTTCGATAGACTTTCGGATCACGAAATAGCTGTCGCGTAGCTAATTCGACGGTGCTTACAGATGTCTTCCGCAGTGTTCACACTTTCACCGACGCGAGAAAACGACACCACAGCCGCCAGCGCCACGAGCTCGTAATTTCTTTAGCCGATGCAGGTCATCCGTCCGCCGATCGACTGCGGCGATGTTTCAAGAACTATGTTATTCGATTCTTATTTTCTCTCGCATCTCTCACCGAGGACGTAACACGAGCATAATTTATTTTTCATTTTACGTTTTGCTTCCTCATAAAGAATGCTATGTGATGAAAAATGAGATTTGGAACTGGACGTCGTAGGAAAATTTGGTTAATGTATTTGGAAACTACATTGAAATGTTTGCGGCACGCGCTCCTCGATGCAATGGTCATTAAAGTTAATAATTATGTTCTCTTCATTCGGTGTGAGATAATGTCATTCAGATTGCAATTGTTATATTGATTTAGTTGAACCCAAGCGTCATGTGCCTGTTACATACTCCGTATAGTCGGAATTATAACAGAAAACCTTTTATTTATTTATTGTAACTTGTTGCGTAGGGGTAAGGTAAAAGGCAGTATAATGTCAGAGAGATATATAATAATAAACTTACAGTTCTTTATTTGAATCGCCGATGATGATGGTGTGGCACAAACACAAACACAGTACAATGGATTTACACAGTTATTATGAAGCTAGTTGAATTAGTACAATTGATTTACAAAGTTATGACGTTACTCGAATTATATGCATACAATGCATTTACAAATATAAACGATATATTTTATAAACTTTGATTATTGAGTTGAATGATTACAAGCTTCGACACGTAGTGTGCGATTTCGTAGATATTAAGGAGGACTGATCCTCTTTAACCGTAGCTTATATACGACTAAATTTGCCTCCGCCCTAGCGGTGCAGCGTACGTAGTCAGCTCGATATGTGTCAATAATTCACACATATCTTGCATGCGCGTGTACCTTAAAAAACCCCAGGGCCACGCTCTTCCCGAAATCGGTGGAGCCGCGGCCACCGCAGTTTTATAGGTTTTCTACGACATTCATTCATCTCGCGGCAGCACTTGTACATTTCTTTGTTTTGCGAATTGTATTTTCGCAAGAGTTTTACAAACGTTTAATTTAACAGAGACCTCATAAATAGGTGATGGTTTTAGGCCGCTCAATTCGGCATTGTACACGCTGGCTGCGCGTGTCCGAAATGATGTTACTTTTTTAACTGTCGTGTGTGTCATCGGAGTTATGCATAGAAAATGCGTGAGATATATTATATTGTAATTCATGCGTAACCGCACGCTAGCTGCTTCTCGCAGTCTTATTAATTTCTTTTTCATTGAAAAAGGTTACATCGTAGACTGTAACATACCTGTGGTGGCAAAAAACAAAAGTAAATATTGTAATTACTCGAGATTTTAAAAAGAACTATCACCCGGGTAGTTGATAGGGAATTTCGCACGATCTTCGCCGCACTAAAAGTCGTAATAATCTTAATTTCGCCTACGAGTGCCTAACGAAGCGTTGTATCGCTCGAATGCTGACAAAGGGGAAAATCACCGCAGCTATACTGTTCAATTACAATGCCTTGGAAAATGACATAGTCAATCAGCCAAACGCAGAGGGAACGTACTCTGCGCCGGGTGCAGCAGGCGAAGAAGGACCAGTGCAACTCGATGCCGGACTCCGAGTGCGGTGGCTTCGTCGAGACGCGTCTCGCGAAAATCGATCCCTGGGGCCGAGATCGTCCGCTGATTCGAGCCATCGGGGCTCCTGTGGGGGCCAGAGCCACGAGCTCGGTTTCGTTAAACTTTTCCAAGACGAACGGCGCAATCATTGCCCGAACGCCGCCTGCGTACAAAAACGTGCCAGGGCTTACGAATTGAGCTGGAGTCACGCGAGATTAAGAACGATATTATGCTTCGAGCCAGAGGACTTGACGAGAGTATCGTGTACGCGAGTATCGGTCATTTACTGGAAATATTTTCTGGAAGTAGTCATTAACTGACGATTTCGAGGTGATTCATGAAATCGTCATTTTTAATAACATTAACGATGTTAAAATAATTTTTTAATATTTTTAATCTATAGAACATTCAATTACCTACGCGACGATCCATTTTGTTTTTATTTAATTGCAATCATTAAATTTTCCTACATAATTAAACATTGAAAAAAAAACACAATTCGGCCATTCACTGGACGGTTTATTCTATGAGAGTTTTCTCCATAAATATATGCTCGCGACGGATTACATAAAGTCTCCAACTTTACACCACCACCTCTTATCAGTAAATTATTAGATTACTGCTCTCGATTATATACAGCATTCCCTCCGTATACGCGGGGGTTACGTTCCAAAAAAGCACCGCGTACGAGGAAACCGCGTATACTGAAACCAAGCTCTTATGGGATTTCAGGAGTTGCGTTCCTAGGAATCTCAAAATTTAGGAAAAATGTTTGTTTTTGACAGCAGCATCTGAGTGTGGTGTGTAAAATTGGAGATTGACAACCTACGCAAGCATGATCTCTTATATAGTACTCGAGAGAAAGCCACTTGCGGAAACCTCGATGTATCGCTAAATAGACATCTAGCGTCGGGAAAGTTAAATGCGGCGACGAAATTGTCGTGCACAACATTTTCTCTGGGCGTGGTTTTATCATTTTATTTTACAATTATTATTATTTTTATTAATATAATTAATAATATTTTTATTGATAATAATGTATATTCTGACACATTATATCTATATTTCATATTTTGGCGCTGCTATGCCAACTTAATAATAGTAAACTATCTCTACAATTATGTTGTCACTCTTAGTCGCAACTCTCGCCGCAATAATCACTTGCCTCTGCGCTCATGTATAGCTCGCACACGACTTACAATAAATCTATTATTTTGTACACTAATCTTTATTTTGCAATCCTGCCCAATTAACAATTCTTCAATTTTTCAGCAAATCTGGCTTTGAAGGTTTTTTTTCATCAAATACCGCTGAAAAGAGCATAAAAAATTTTCATGTCTAATCTAAATTTATTTTTTACATCAATCTTTATTCGATTATGGGAAAATGTTTTTATCTCAATTTTTATTTGGCTTCAAACAACGATGTGAGTATTATATCCGATGAATTCATATTTAATGATTATTAAAGGTCTCGCGTTTTGCATAATTCATTTTGGGGGATTCTCATTGGGATAATAAAGAAGAAAATTTGCAATTGTTTTATATTGTTTATTTTTCCTTACAAGAAAAAAACTTACAAGAAAGAGTAATAATGTCAGTTAAAACTATTGTATCAAGTTATAAAATGTACTACATTTTATTACACTTTTTTACATTTTTTTACGTCATATTTTGTGCCCTCAGATCTCATCGATTGCAGCAAGCCATTGTCGTGAAAAATTATTGTATCAAGTTATAAAATGTACTACATTTTATTACACTTTTTTACATTTTCTTACGTCATATTTTGTGCCCGCAGATCTCATCGATTGCAGCAAGCCATTGTCGTGAAAAATTGTTAACAATTTATTGATTTTTCAAAACAATCTATATAGATTCACCTCAGTACTTTTCAGTACGTCTATGACAATGCATTAAAATCCTCTCTGCTTCGTTGGAATGAGATAACTTGGCATCAGCATACTTACAATTAATATTCGTGTATTTACAACAGTAGTATTTTCAAAATTCCTTAATAATAATTTAATTATCTTAAACATTAAATTTTCTTACTTACGAGTTCGTTAAAGTTTATCTACTTTGTCATCGGAAAAAATTCCATCATTGTGAAATACATCGTCATAAAAATGACAACGAATAGCAATATCGCTAACGTGCACGATGTAAAAAGGTAAGCACGCGAACGCGATCGACAGCCAGTACGAGCCAAAAAAGTCCATGGCCGCTTCGCAAACGCGCCAAAGACCCTCGTAGATCGGCAGCTCGACGCTCGCGATTTCCCAGCCGAAAATCGACGGCTCGAGCTTCAACTCCCAGTAAGGCTGATCCAATCCCCATCGCTGGAAAAATCCTCTCGACATCTTCTCGCACAGATGCGAGACGCACGACTCACCGAACTTGTCCGGCAGCGCGAGCAGCTCCTTCGATCGCGCGAACTCGTAGTAGTCCCTGGGCGTGAGCAACGTCGCCTCCTCGTCGCGTCTCATCGAGACCAAGTCGCGCAGCGACAGGTACCGTTTCACCATGATCTCTTTGGCTTTGTCGTCGAATTCGTCGTCGTTGTACCAGCGCCTCTCGAACTCCGCCGTTGTCCTCTCGAACAGTCCGTGCTCGGCGAACAGCTTGGCGATCTTGGACGCGTCTCCACGCTCCATCCGGTAGCCCGCGTTCTCCAGGCTCTCGACGCAGGCCAGAGCACCGGCCGCGAGTAACAATCGAAACTCCCGCTGATCGTTCTTGAATTCCCTGCCGAGGAAACTCGACTCGGAAAAAACGAAGTTGGACGTATCGGCGCCGCGTTCCAGGAGCAAATCGACGATACTCGCGGACTCGAGATTCGCCACGGCCCACTGCAGCGGCGTCCGGCCCTTGGCGTCTCGCGCGTCGAGCTCCACCACCGGCCGCCCCAAGACCTCCTCGCTGATCCGCAGCAACGATCCGGCCACTGCGGCGCCCCGATGAAACTCGGACCTGCGACAGGCGACGTGCAGCGGAGTCACTCCTCGCCGCGTGGCCAAATTCGGATCGGCACCTCCTCTCAGCAGTAATTCGACCAAGCGACGATTCCGGCGGATCAGTGCGAAGTGCAGCGGCGTCCAGCCTCTCTCGTCCTGCGCGTCGACCCGCAACCGCTCGCCGACTTTTTCCGTCGCGTCGAACAACAGCTTGGCCAAGTCGTCGTCGTCGCTGCCGCTTTGTTTCTTGCAGATGACGTGCAGAGGAGTCTCGCCCGAGACGCGATCGGCTCGATTGGGATCGGCGCCGTGTCTCAGCAGCAGCTCCACCACCTCCTCTCTTTCCCAGTTGAGAGCCACGCGTAGCGCGGAATCGAGACAGTCGATACTTTGCTTCCGTTCGAGGAATTTTTCCACGATCCTCTCGTAACCGAACTTGCAGGCCACGAGAAAATGCGTCGTCGCGCCGTCCTCCTCGTCGACGTAGTTCGCCTCGCAATCGTCGTAAATGGCGAAGAGCTCGCGGACCTTGGCGTCGCCCAGACTACCGGGAAAGACGCAGCGCTTGGCGGCCAGATGTAGGGCGGTGGTGCGACGCAACGAGGCGAATTCGGCCGGATCGTTTCTGTAGCCGCTTCGAGCCACGAATCGTATGAACTCGTGGGCCGGATAGTGCTCGAGGTACCTGAGATTCACGGCGTCCGTGAGCAGACGCTCGATGGCTTCGGCTCGACAAAAGTCGCGCAGATTCGGATAGGCGCCCTCCCAATCGAGGCAGAACAGGGGATGAAGTTTCCAGAGAAGTTGCTGTCGCGCCTCTTCGTTGTCCCAGTCGACGTTGCCTCGTATGTCTTGCCACACGATCAACATGTGTCGGTGAAGATCCTCCACGCGTTCGAGCAAGAATTCACTCGCGTCGGATCCGTCGTCGGAAGACATGGTCTATATTCTTTTGGGCACTCGCGCACAACAACAACAACAACACGCACGATCGCTTACGCGATTTAAGATATTTTTCGAGATACTATTTATAGCAAAGAATCACTCGCTATATGCAGTCGATGCGGTTTCTTACAGATGCACACGCTGTCAATTATATTTTCGGAATTGTTGCAAACGTAATCTCCTTCCTGTTCGTAATCTCTTTGTACAATTGGGTTATTGTGCCGAATCATTATTGATTTTTTTTCTGAATATCTTCCGAAATATTACATAAACGTAGTCTACGTTGGCTAAACAACAGTGTTGTACTTGTTTTATCTATTTGCGATAAATCTAATTCCATTTACCGTTGAATTTGAATTGCTAAAATTTATTCGTGGATATTATTTAGTGTATAACGTATACGAGCAAATCTCGTACTGATTCGATTGTCAATTAAAATTGTTCGCTACTAGAAATACGATGTCAACATTTCCGATCAAAATTATTTACAGTAACACATCGATTTCTCTATTTATATATTGCTCAAATGCCTTTTAATAATCTTCTATGATTTGTAAACAAATCTTCATGGTCCTTGTTTTGTTCAGATTAAAAATTTATTCTTTTAATTTTTATTGTTTCAAATAAATTAATAAATTAGGCCAAAACTGCGCTGTCGTCTGGAATTTTTTCATTCATGTTTCCCTTGAGTCCCCATGTAAAATCACCGAATGAACATGAATTTATAAGTTGCATCTTAAATTTTAAAAAATCCACCTGATCATAGAGGCAAATAACTCTAGGGATCTCTAGAAACCAAAAATATCTAGCTGTAAGAATTCTCCCTGAACAGATACTTTGATTTCATTATTATTTTATTTGATTGAAATTTTTGCCATGCTGAACCGTATTAAGCACATGCGCAATGTGTATCGAAAGAAATTCTCAAGCAAGTCTAATTTCATATATTAAATGGATAAAATCCCCAGTTGTATTGCACCTATACATTATACAAGTGATAGGATGGTTGTATAAATGAATGACTCTTTTGGGAAAATATATTATCAAAAACAATTTAAAATTAATTTTTTTTATTTGTTTCAAAATTAGATGAAGTAAATCTACTTCAAAGTGGAGAATAGTTTGAAACAAATTTTCTTCCAAATCAAATCGAACAACTCAATTGCATGCACACGATTCATATTTATCATTACTTTCTATCTCTTATTTTGAAATATCTTTAAAATCACTCGGTTCGAAGCACTTGGAGTGCAATTTCACATAAAAATTCTTCATCTCGTTGTCGTAAGCTTTCATAAGCTCTTCCACATTATCCGGGTCAGTCGCACCGTCTACGAGACGCTTCACGCAGACGGTACTCAGGCAATAGTCGCCCCGCTCGTCTTCGAAGATCTGCAGCTGGCCGGTCTCCTGGACGCCCTTGGACACGTAACCGCACCTCATGTCGGGCTCCAGGAACTGCTTGGCCTCGCCGTCCAGGTCGATCTTCCACAGGTATTTCTCGCCTATGATATCGAGAAGGGCTTTTTCCAGGCCCTCGTTGTCGCGCGAGTAAGTCAGAAATCCCTGGCCTCGCGGCAAATTGTGCACGATTCGTCCCTCCCATCGGAGTTTCTCGGCGATGTTGCGGCCCGCCAAAAACCAGCCGATCTGATCTGTTTTGTCGAACAGCTCGAACTGCGCGCACGTCAACCCGACGCGATCCTGAGCGCATATCCCGATCAATCCATTGGCCGTAGAGACCGAAGGATAAAGCGCGCCTTCTGCGCGAGTCAGGTATCGCTTTTGACCTGAAAATTCGACAAAAAATGTCTTATTAGTATTGATTAAACGATTAACGCTCAAAGTGACGAATTTTTCGTTCGCAATATCGACGCGATTTTTTTCTAGTTTGCCTTGAAAAGACTTTGCTCGTACATAGATTTATATAAAATTTAATTTTATATTTGATGCTTCGTTAAAAAAATCGAATTTGAGAACTTTTTTAACAAAATGGCAATCATAAAGTAAAATGTTCATGCATATGATCGAGCAAAAAAAATGCATGTATGGGTGAGAATGTATAATTCTGTACTCGAAAACCATCGAGTTTGGAGAAAAAGTTTATAGAACAAAAAAGTTTTATAATTGATCAAGGAACATTCTCAACTTTTTTCAGAATTTTTCGAGATCTGAAATGGGAAAATCAAGCTCGAAAAATTCTGAAAAAATTGAATTGAAATTATAAATGTATCGTTATCTATTACCGTTCGGCTGGATATGAAATACTGCAATTGAAGTTTCATGGGGCCAAGAGTAGGCCTCGATTAACAAATAGCCCTTGCGGTCTGCCAGTGGATATATATGTGGCGTGTAACCTTGGCTTTGATAAGCAACCAACGTATCGATCTTCGAGGTAATTACTCCTTCGGCATCGATCGTTAATCTGGAAAATCTCGGCCCGTCCAGCGTAGCGACTTCGAAATCGCCGTCTCCTTTCGCGTACTCGTTGATCAGCGAGTAGACGCGTCGTTGGCTTTCCGGCAACTTGGTCGTTTTCACTCGACAGTCGGAAAAATCGACGACGCTGAATCGCGGCCGATACCTCCTCGTGTCGTCCTCGAGCTTGCTCTCCTCCTCGTGCCAACGCACGACGGCTCGATCTCGACTCAGAGAATCGATACGGATGCGATCCGTGTCGATCCAGCCGGCCTCGGAGTCGCAGAGCAGAGTGATGTTGCACTCGTCCTCTATCGGGTTCACGTCCGGGGAGAAGCTCGCCTGCACTCGACGGATCGAGCATTCCCTGAGCCAGTCGGGGTCGTCGTCTGTGAACCTGTCGCACGAGCCGTAATAAACGGTGGTGATATTTTCCACGGAATTTGGGCTGTTGTAGAGCAGATCTTTCGGGCCGATGTCGCGTCGCAACGACAAGGACCGCGAGGCGCTCGAGACGACGATTATGCCGTTCAGGGCTGTGACTATCACGAAAAACCACGTCGCGAGATTTGGCATCGTTGCTGATATTCAGTGTGCTGTTGCTGCTGCTGCTTCTCTTAGCTCGTCAAACCCGACACTGAGCTCCGAATTCTTTTTTGTCTTTATTTTATATATTAGTTAAACGAGGCAAAAAAAACAACTAAACGCGCGTTTAACTGTAGTAGCGATTCGTGAGTGGAACAATTAGCATACGCGACAGTCGATCGTTTTTAGCTATTACTGATTTTTTGCATTGAAAAGGAAAAACAACAACCGAGCTGTAAATTATGAATATGTGAAAGGGAAGAGACGTGTAGTCAGTTTTTGGTCTGTCGATTTGCGTACTAAATAGCTGCCCACTTGATGATCTATATCCTTGAAATTAGGAATAAAGTTACGAAACTTCTTTGTATCTTAGGAGAGCTATTGAATCGTGTAAAAACCCAGGGCATAATGAGTATGCAAAAAAATGATGTATAACTACGTTTCATCTAAAAAAAGGTATTATAAAACATTTTTATGGTTCTTAGTGACCAACAGCAACAAAATTATATCAAAAACAATTGTTGTAATTGTTTTGCTAAAACCCCATATTTGCACTCTTTGCGAAATTACTATTTTAATAACATTAACGATGCTAAAATAATTTTCCTGTATTTTTAATCGGTTTAACATTTAATTTGCTACGAGGTGATCTATTTAGTTTTTTTTATAAACGCAATAATTTATTTTTTCTACTTTTTCTAACGCTGGAAAACAACAATTATGTCATTAACTGGGTAGTTTACCACTGGTATTCAATTTTGTGCTACAGAAATTAAAGAAGTAAAATTTATGATAGCTGGTTTTACGGGGGAAGAAAACAGTCAAACTTATTTATTTTTATTGTAAAGTATTATAAAAATAATATCTTCTCATAAATAAAATGTCAAGTAGCTTTGTACAGACACTTTTGCAGGCTTTTCATTTTTGTTGTAAAAAGAAAACATAATATTCGTGAGCCCTACGAAACCTACTATACAAACCCTACTATATTTAGCATTAGACAAAATCATTTTAACATAACCATGCCACAATCTGAAAAATTTGTTATTTCATATCATCAAAACGTTTAGTTTTCTAGTTCGACTGTGCTAGAGAACATCAAAGTCGATTGACTACAATTACACACGATCGACAGTCGCACCGCATCATCTCCGAGCTACATTCAGCTGACATCGATGCGATGCTTACAGTTGCTCGAGGCGAGAAATTATTTTTGGATTGATCAATCGGGATAGCGCGAACGCAGTCCCGGCTAACAAAAATTATACGCCCGAGATATCCGCATTAGGGATATTCGCAAGGGTCAACCCAATCGTAGTGCAATGAGAGGGTCTCGCCCTGGAGGAACCGCCTTGGTGATCACGGTAGCCTCTGCGCCAGGTAAGTATGCTCGAGGCTGCTTTCGCTCCCCTTTAAGTACACGCTGACCCATGCTTCGCTTGTGGGTTGCGATTCAAAGCGGCCGATCCATCTGGTGAGCGATACGTAAACTATTGCGAGATGAAAATACTCTGCGAGTAAATCGTATGTCATAGCGTCACCGAATGTATTGGAATCGTAATAAATGACCGATAGTAAACAAAGTATAAGCAATAACATACATTTTTTGAATTATCTAAAAAAAAAAATAAAAATAAAAGCAATAAATTTTTAATCAATCTTTGTTAAGGAAAGGATCAGTTTCAGGAAAGGATCGAGGGCCCATCGCCGGAAAAATCCTATCAATAGTGTCTCGCATAGATGCAAAAAACAAAGCATTATTTGCATTTTGCCCAAAAAAGAAAGAGATGAAAACAAATTATAATCAAAAATATTAGCAACATAATAGTCATCAATTTGTACATAAAATATTGTTGACTGAAATATGACTAAAGTTTATTTCAAAATTTCTTAAACACAGGATACGAAATCGATTTACACTTTGAATTTAGCAAAATAACAATTATGAACGAGCGGACGTAACTCAGATATTCAGCAAATATTAACTTCGAGTCGAGACATCGACAATTGATTCATACATATCCATTTCAATACTGGAGACTCTCGGCCTGCGTAAACGAGTCGTCGAGCATCGCAAAAAATCGCCATCATGTTTTGCGGTCTCAGAAGTGAAGGCGGGGCTTCGACGAAGATAACGATTTCATTCAATAACGACGCGATGGCGATGTCGTTCAAAATGATGCAGGATTTTTTATGTCTTTGATTTTCTTAAAAATTATACAAGGCATAAGAAACATTTCCAGAATGCTACATCATCGTGGCTCTACTGTACGCGTAATTTCGATAATGCTGGCCACTTTTTAGCCTGTTTAGCTACAAACCCAATCTTGCGAGTGTAATTTGTGCTCGTGACTGCCGATAAGGAGTATATCGCGGTCATAAATCGTGGTATAAATATCTAAAATTTTCATCTTTTTATTTTATATTCAATATTTTGTCAGTCTTTATCAGTAATTTAAACATTATCAATTCAAATAGTTGATAAAAACTAATCAAAGGTAAATGCTGAAAATATCAATAAATTATTTGATACGTTTCTTAATAAATCTTACAGTTAATCTTAATAATTATTAATTTAAAATTTATTTAAAATAAACATTATTTATTCAAAATACATTTCTGAAATCTTCTGATGTAAATTTATCTAATCTCAAATAGATTAACAATGATTAGGGATAGGGGTATCGATGCACAACGGTTAAAAATCGTCGTCAGTTATCAATAACTTGTTCATACAATGACACCTTCAAGAACCATAGGTTTGACGGTCGCTTGCATATTGTGCATCTGTAATGGTAAGTCATTTCATTTCGTTCTAAAAATCCAATTCCAAAATCGATTTCTGGAAATTATGTCCTAAAAACTTATATTTAAATTTTTATCAGTTGAAAACCAGTGAAATAACGGGTGAAAAATACGTGAAGTATATTTTCAACATAATATTATGAACATATTATAATCATCGTAGTTTTAGTGCTATACCAGCATTCATCTTATAAGTATCATCTTAATAATGCAAAAAAGTTTTACGCGAAAAATCAAAAATATACACTATGTTAGGTAATCGTTAAAAAAAAGTTGAAAAGCAACTTAATTAAAATTTCTCAACCAAGAATTAATTTTTTTAAAGCTTTTACAAATAATTTTTAGCAAATAATTACTTTTATAAATTTCTTTGTAAAGGCTTTTTTTGTGAAAATACGAATAATCGAAATTGAATTCAATCACTATTTATTTCATATGTATTATTTCTGAAAAATACACTGTAATGATTTGGATTCAAAAAAGTGAAGGGTATTTCCGTTATCTTAATTTGAGAATTATGAATACTTTTCAATGTTGAGAGCATGATTTCACCTATTATTGTAATGTACTTAATCGGAAGTTTACAAGTGTATTGTACAACAAATTCCTGAAATTAAGATAAAAATCATGCGATACGTCGCATCTATACATGCGGTTAATGGAAATTACATAACAACGAATTAATAAAATAAAAACAGAAATTCAACTAAAATAATTTCAAAAATAGTATGCCAATGAATTATTATTAAGTTCAAGCTAAGCGAGGCGTTGGTTACAACACGCAAGACTGGGGTTACGCCGAGGTTCGCCCCGGAGCCCATATGTTCTGGTGGCTGTATTACGCTAATGTAACAACAGACTTTGCTGAAAAACCTCTGGTCATTTGGCTTCAGGGAGGTCCCGGGGCTTCGTCAACGGGCTATGGTAATTTTATGGAACTTGGGCCTTTAGATGTAGATCTTAATCCTCGTAATCATACCTGGGTAAGGAATTATACTTATAAAATTCATTTAGAATTTTTCTTTATCAACTCGTGTCTAATTATAATCTTGATTTCGTCAAAACGACGAGTCATGTTTTCACAAATTCTAATTGAAATTACAATTAAGAAAATGAATTATTTATTACTTCATCGTCAAATTATGATAAAAATTATATATTATCTGTAAGATAACGTTTATTTTCATCTATCATCATATTCAATCAGACATTAATTATATTTAATAAGTTAATTAATTTTATAATACAAAACCAATTCTGTAATAGGTAAGAGATTACAACGTTTTGTTTATTGATAACCCGGTGGGATCAGGCTTCAGTTATGTTACATCGTCGGCGGAATTCGCGAGGACCAATTCTCAGATTGCCGACGATTTGGTGGAATGCATGCGAGCTTTTTACAAGCAGGTTCCACAGTTCAAAAATGTACCAGTTTATATTACATCGGAATCTTACGGGGGTAAGATGGCAGCTGAATTTGCATTTAATTGGTACAAGGTATTTTTGTAGTATTTTTTTGTATATAACTCGAACGCAAAAAATTAATTTAATTCAATGCCTACTCTTTTGTTTAGGCTGAAAAAGCAGGATCTATTGAGAGCAACCTAAAGGGCGTAGGTCTCGGTGATGCTTGGATCTCGCCCGAAGATAGTGTGATGACTTATGCTCCATACCTTTTGCAAACTGTACAGGATAAGCAATTGAAAGCATTGTTTACCCCTAACATTTATTCCGGATTTAATTGATGTATGTTTTTCAATAGGGCATGATTGATACCAGTGGATATTTTAAAATACAAAGAGCAGCTAATAGAACGAGATATGCTATAAAAAAAATCAGTGGTCACTCGCAACAGACCTTTGGGCTTATACAGGAGATATTATTATACGATTAACCAGAAATATTAATTTTTATAACATTCTTACAAAAGTCAAAACTAGTCAGGCGATGCGAGTTTCTCGAGATAATAAAGAGAGTTCTAAAAGTAAATTGAATTAATGAATAAACTCATTGAAAGTTTTACTAATTTTCTAAATTTATTTACTTTAAAGGGTTGGTTCGAGAAACTTTATTACGTGACGGTCAAGGACTAAGTATGTTGATGAATACAAAGGTCAAAGATACGTTGAAATTGCCATCAATCTGGGGTGCTCAAAGTGATGAAGTAAGAATTTCGCTCTATGCTGATTTCATGAAGCCTGTAACTCAAATAGGTAAGTTAGTGATCATATTCGATAATTAATTAAAATATATAATTTTTCTAATTCTAAAATGAAATTCAAACCATGCATACATTTTCACATCAATAAAATTAATTTTATAATACATATGTCAGTTCAGCGTTTACTAGATGAAACAAGTCTAAAAGTTTTTGTCTATAATGGTCAACTAGATCTAATAGTGGACACACCAGGTATATTTTACTGTTTTTATTCTCACATTAAAATTACCTTAAGATATTTCGAAAGTTTAAAAATTGAAAGTATTTTATCATAAATAGGCACTCTACTTTGGGTTGAAAAAATGAGATGGGCAAGGTATTTAGAATGGAAAACAGCGCCACGTTTGCCAGTCGTCGTTGATGGAGTTATCGAAGGCTACCAGAAGAGCAGCGGTAACTTTGCTTTCTATTGGATCAATCGAGCGGGTCACATGGTGCGTAAAACAATATACTTCTTATAGTTAATATTGATAGCCAATCATCTATAAAATCGACGAGTAGAAGCCTTTTTTTAAGTAGAAACTTTCTATTTAGTCCAAAGGTTGTAGAAAATTTCAGGAGTACTACTGACATGAAAAACACGCTCATCTAGCTGAAGAATTTTATCTGTGTCAAAATTCCTCGATTTAAATTATGTGATAAGATTTTTTTGTTCCTTTTCCATTGCATTTTTCAAAATTTCAAAATTTTAATTATTCACTGAGATAAAGCTGTTTATGTGAACCTTTTTTGTATACTTTTGGTGTTAAATTTTTTCTTTTCTTGCGTTTTCTAGCGTTGTGTATTACGGTATCAGAATCGCTTACACTTCTTCAGAACATCAATAGTTACGGTCGCAACCTCGGACGAGGTGATCCAACCCATAAGTCACCCTGCACTAATACTTGAGCACATTTTGTTTCATTTCACGTTTTTTTTTGTTATCTCCATCATGAATCTGCTGATTGAAAGTGACCTATGAGTTAGATCACCTCGCACTAGGTTGTGACCGTAACCATTGATGTTCTGAAGTAGTGTACGCGACCCTGGTGCTGTAACTCAATCGGTACGCTCTGAACGTTACGACAACTGAGGTGCGTTTTGTAAAAACGTAAAACGCCAGAAAACGCAACAGAAGAAAAAATTTAACACGCAAAGTATAAAAAAAAAGGTCACGGAAACAGCTTTATCTCAGCGAAAAATAAAGAAAATATTTTTTTTAGCTGTTAGCCCTTCAGAAACTTAAACCTTTCAAAGTTATTTAACTGGCCATTTATCTAAAACTATTGCTTTTTTACTTTAACAGGTTCCTGCCGATAATCCTGCTGGAATGTCCGCTTTACTAGCAGATTTGACTCAAAATTGATACGGTAGAAATTACCCTATAGTCCAAAAAGTAAAGCAACTTCACACAAATACATATAACTGAGTTTCAAATATGTAACACTGATTTATGAATGAATAATAAATATTTTTGAATAAAATAAGAAAGAAAATTATTTATGCTCTTTACTTTTTATTGCACTTTAACCTAAAAATCGCAACTTTGTCGCTACGCATTAGCTAATTAGCTATAATAGTAGATAATAGAGGACAAGGTAAAAGTACGGTACCCTAAAAGTACTCTTCGCATAACAGACACTGAAAATGAAATAAAGACGAGTTAGAAATACACACATATGCATTTCATCTGCTTTACTGAGAAAATCAATCATAAATAGAACAAAAACTTACTTACTTGAATGCAATCAATCCAAAAAATATAAATAAAACAAAAAACATAAACTCACTTACTGCATTAAAATCGCTAAATAAGAGAAAACAAGTTATAAAATTTTACTTACTTGATCAACGTCGCGAAAGGTAAAAATCCGGTAAACTAGCAGTACTCTCCGCATAAAAGCCACTGAAAAAAAGCAAGGACAAGTTAGAAATACACACAGATGCATTTCATCTGCGTTTTTGAGAACATGAATTATAAATAGATTAAAAACTCACTTACTTGATTGCAATCAGTCTAATAAAGATAAATAAAACAAGAAACATACACTCACTTACTGCATTGATTTCTACATAAGAGAAAACAAATGAAAAACTTTTACTTACTCGATTAACGTCGCGGAAGGTCAAATCCCGGTAACCTATCAGTACTCTCCGCATAACAGCCACTGAAAAAAAGGAAGGACAAGTTAAAAAAACACACATATGCATATGTCATACTTATCCAAGTTCACACAGTGATTGTTCCGTCGAAAATTTAGAATTAATCTGAATTTTCGTAATTCAATTTGTAAGGGGTTTGATAAAATAAAACACGCGTTTTTAAGAGGAAAAAATGTACAAAAAACCTCTCTTTATTAAAATCGATTGAAATTGAATAGATGGATTCGATGTGGTGTGACCTTCTCTACGATGCCTAGTTTCCACTGCATGCAAGGGATGTTTTTGTCGATGATAATGACGACGTCATTTGGTTTCAATTCTCCAGAGTTTGAATGCCACTTCTGGCGCTTTTGAAGCTCACTTAGGTATTCCAGGTGCCATCGACTCCAAAAGTGTTGTCGAACTCGAGAAATGAATTTCCAGACTGTCAGCCGATTTTCAGGTACAGATTCCAAATTTTGTTCTGGTAAAGTTGTCAAAGGGCGCCCAACTAATAAATGAGCAGGAGTAAGTGCCGATGGATCGTTTGGATCAGAAGATAATGAACATAATGGTCTAGAATTGAGGATAGCCTCGATCTCAATTGCAAAGGTGTTCATTTCTTCAAAAGAAAGTAGTTTAAATGATTTTACGGCGGCCTCCCAAATGCCGCCGAAATGTGGAGACAGTGGTGGATTAAAATGCCAGGTGATATTCTCTTGAGGAGAAAAAATCTTGATCTAGTTATGAAATTGCTCCGAGTTGAGTAGACAGTGAAGTTCTCGCAACTGGTTATTTGCACCAACAAAATTAGTGCCATTATCTGAATAAATATGTGCGGGGCGAGCTCTTCGACCGATAAAACGTCTAAGAGCTCCTAAAAATCCATCCGGTGTCAGATCGCTAACGATTTCTATGTGAACGGCCTTTGTGGCCATACAAATGAATACGCATCCATAGGCTTTCACTCGAGTTCGATTACGACATTTTTTCTCCTTCATGAAAATAGGTCCAAAGTAATCGACTCCAGTATGCTCAAAAGCATATGCTTCTCGCACTCTTGATGAAGGTAAATTACCCATTTTACCTTGAATGGGCACAGGGTGATGACGAATGCATGTCACACATCGGCGAATGATCTTCCGTACTTGATTCTTCCCATCAAGTAACCAGAACCGGTGACGAATATTGGTCAACGTGGTTTGAATACCCGCATGATGAAGTCGAAGGTGATAATTACGTATGATTATATCCGTTACATGATGATAAGATGGTAATAATATAGGATGCCTATGCTCTTCCTCGATTGTTGCGTTCTGTAGTCTTCCTCCTACACGTAATAATCCGTACTCGTCGATAAACGGATTCAATGCTGCGAGTCGAGAGCGCTTGATTTGCTTGCATTTTAATAAATTTTCTATTTCTTCTCCAAAACAGTCACCTTGTATAATTTTAATGATCTTCCGTTCTGTTGCATTTTTCTCTTCTGTTCCGATATTTATACCTGTATTATAGGAAGTAGGGAGAAAACGCAAGCAATATGATATAGTATGTAGAAGCTTAGAGTATGTTGAAAACCGTTGAAACAGGCTACTGCTGTCGTTTTGCGTGATCAAACATTTATCGCTGCGCAAGCCTGGTAGATCTGACAAATCTTCTTCATTTGTTTTCTCTGGCCATTCACTATTTTCTTTTTGTAACCAAAATGGACCGTTGAACCACAATTGATTATGTAATAACTCTGATGGATATTGACCACGTGAGAGAGCGTCTGCAGGCACAAGGCACAAGGGTGTCACACATGCATGTGATATATTCAAATATACATGCGATATGTACCGAAAGCCATTTTCACAAAAGTCTTATCTAAAATCCCACGTCGATACGGTACACAATAAAATAAAATATTCATGTGATGAATGCGGAAAAAAATTCAAAACAAAGGTTTATCTCAAAACTCACATCAATAATGCGCATAATAAAATAACTCATACTTGTGATATTTGCAGAAAAAAGTTCTCAATGAAGGGTAATCTCCGAAAGCATATTGAGGCAGTACACATGAAAACTAAACATTCATGTAGTGTATGTGAAAAGACATTCACACAAAAGGACAATCTCAAAACCCACATCGATAAGGTGCCCAATTTTAATAAAAACAATAGATACGCGTAAAAACATTCACAAAAAAGTGACCCACTTGACATTTGCACCAAGTCGCACACATAAAGTTGTGCAAAATATCGATCGCGTCACGATAACATCGTCGTATACGATTATAATCAAAAGAGTAATTAATAAAAATTTGATTTACAATACTATTATAAATTCTTTATAATGTCATCATACAATGAAAAGACAATGTTTTTATTGCATCGAATAAATTGCATGGTCACATGGTCTATTACTAATAGTCTCTACTTCAAATATTCTGAATTAAAAATTTTACTTAGATCCGAAGAGAGAAATCGTACTCATATTCTATCGTCAACCCAAAACATCGAACCTCGCAACATTGAACACCTTGAATTTCGCGACTTTTGTTATTATTCTGCATACGTATCCCGAGTTGAATGAGCTCTTGCGTGAATCAGAATTTCTACGCTCTCTACAACTTTTTAATTTTCACCCTTATCTCTTTACCGACGCGTAATTTTGACGTGTGATTAGAATCGTTTTGTTGTCGTTCGAAATCACGATCATCGGATATTTCAGGCATTATAAAAGCGCGACGACGACGGGACCAAAGTCACGTGCCCGCGTCGAGCCTACTACGTATGCCATTATCTTTGTCAATCCGCGATATGTTTAATTTTCTTTTTATTTCAGAAAAGCTTTTCTCATACAATAAATAAACTCGAGCTCGTTAAGGTATATTTTAGGATTCGTATATACATTTTTTTGTGTGTCGTTTTTGAATAAGCGCGACGCACACGCGTATAAAAACTAAAAATATTTACACGCGAGCGCGCGAAACAACTGCGGACTCGTTGAGAGCGAGATTAGATCTTCTTTTTCTTTTTGGCACTCCGTGCAGCCTGAAGGTGAGAGATATCTACTGGTCGGGTCGAAGACCCCCGAGAGTCGCGAAATAATCGCTCACACGAGGCACGTGGAAGAATTGATAAAAATAAATAAATAAAGCTCTCTCTATGTATTAAATGTATATATCGCCGTTGCTTACGAGTAAAAACACAGTGAAAAACGCTACGAAAAAAAACACAGCTCATTGGATGCCGCGAAAAAAACACAGCAGAATAAAAACGCAACAAATTTCGATTCGGTGTGTTTTTTTTTCGCGGCATCCAGTGAGCTGTGTTTTTTTTCGCGGCATCCAATGTGCTGTGTTTTTTTTCATGGCATTCTATGAGGTGTGTTTTTTTTCGCAGCGCTCCGATTAGGTGTGTTTTTTTTCGCAGCGTTCCAAAGAGGTGTGTTTTTTTTCATGGTATCCAAAGAGGTGTGTTTTTTTTCACGGCGCTTCGATGATGTGTGTTTTTACTCGTAAGCAACGGCGATATATGCTATATCACGTGTCCACCGTGATAGTCAAAAAATGAAATTGAAACAAAAAATATGATTTCCTATCTGTCTCTGTAGTGGTGACGCGAATTATAATATACACGATAATCCAAGAAATTAATTCTGGCGAGCGATGCGTGACACAATTAATGCAATTTGGCAATTATTTTCCTGGCTGCGGTGCAGACCGACGTCGTCGTCGTCGCACCGACCGATGTAATATGCTAATTCTAAAATATTATGAATTAGCGGACAGAGAGCCAGAGCGCGAGAAATTTAATAATGTGCCACAATCGACCGATTGTGTGGTGTCTCGGCACGACTCCATTCGTAATTCACGTCCAAAAGAGAGAGAGAGAGAGAGAGAAGAAATTCACCCCCCTTCCCTGACGCTCGATCTATATTATTTGCGAAGCACGTGTGTTGCGTTATTTATTAACATTATTAATAAATGCCTATGCGTTCGCGATTTTCGAGCCAATACGGAGTGTTATTCAGATCCGATACTTACAGCAGCAGAAAATTGAAATTAACTCGCGTAATATTTGTATTTTTAGCTCTTTATATCGACAAAACCGCGAAACTTCATACTATATACTCACCGATACGTATCGCGCTGGTCTTCTAATTGTTGCACGATCCGACTCGACTGCTCTTTACGTTTCGACAACGTTTTTTTTCATTTTCATCTTTTTATAAATCACCTCTGCAACCATGTATAAGCGATGCGACGTAATTTTTTATATATTTTATTCCAGTCCGGCGCGTCGAGTTATCATTGATTCCTTTTTTTTCTCTTTCTCTCTGGAAAAATATCGATCGTCGATGCAATCGAATCTCCGCGCGGTGTAATTAAATCGCTCAATGAGACGTATCGGTCACGTTCGCACATCGCGACCTTGTGGCGAATTAATTTTTATCGTTGACCCAGTAATTATCGACTATATTACTCTCGGCCGAACGAAGAAGCAAAAGAAAATAACAACATCGTGACTAGACTCGATACTCGTTTTTGGCCGAAATTTCGATGCCCGCGTACTTGCTCAATCTTATATTGTCAATCAATCTTTATGAGATTTCAACCGCGAGTGGCTTAGAATATCTTTTACACATTATTTCACCCACTTATTGTTGAGACAAAAAGTAACGATAGTAAAATGAACAAAATCTGATTTTCGTATTTTTTAGAAATCATTTGAAAAATTGAACGTAATAAAATATGAATTTAATGAAATATTCAAGGTACCCCTTACAGAAATGAAATTTCGAAAATCCGACCTTTAGCGGCAATCGACTCGATTTTTTGGGATTTTTGCGCGCGTAAATAGTACTTTCAAAAAGATCTACACGGTGTAAAAATTATCGTAAAGAGCTCTATTTGTTGTAAATTACTCGTTGAAGAGAGTACTTTGCGATGGTATGTGTTAGATTTTGATCAACTAATTACTGTAGTCCATGGACATGTTTAAACAATCAATTTTTTTCATTATTGTTCAGTGTTGCGATTAAATACTACTGCTAACTCGATATTGACTCGAACCCATACATAATACATAGATAATACATAGATTTAAGGAAGACAAACTTTTCAAGAGACCAAAAAAAATTTTCGTTCCGATACGATAAAAATAGACCAAGATACAAGCATATGAAAATTGACCAAATTGCGATGAAATTTTTTGTTGCGATAATTTTTTTAAGTCGTGTATTATATAGATCACTGCAACCTAATTCTCGTGAGAATACAATCAATTAATTTTTTTCTCAAGAAATTAAGTTATCCTTTCAATATCCGATCGAGGGTCCTAAGTCTACCGTAACGAAATACTGTGAAAAAAAACACATCTCATTGGATGCCGCGAAGAAAAACACACCTAATTGAAACGCTGTGAAAAAAATCACACCTCATTGAAACGCCGAGAAGAAAAACACACCTCTATGAAAAACTAAGATATTTTCGACGTGATTCGTTAAATCGTGATTCGATGTGTTTTTCTTCACGGCATTTCGATGAGGTGTTTTTCTTCACGGCGGTTAAACGAGGTATGTTTTTATTCTTAACGTTTCAATGAGGTGTGTTTTTCTTCACGGCATCCGACAATGTGTGTTTTTTTTTCATGGCATTTTATAAAAAGGTTTTTTTTCATAGCGTTTTTTACTGTGTTTTTACTCATAAGCAACGGCGAATATTGTTGGTACTGTGATTTTTCGGAGCTCGGAAGTAACGATTTTCGATCCGATATCATGGATCACAAGAAGATATAAATGAAAAAACGAAATTGATTTTACAAAAATCAATCAGTAGCTACTTAAGAACAAGCTGCTCAAAAGCCAATCAGCAAATGAAATTAAAAATCAATAATCTCAGAAAAAAATTTTCTGAAAAGGTAAAGTCATTCGAATTTTCACTTCCGTTAATTTATTTTTGATACAATTTTTTGTATCGCATTAAAATGGGTGTGTCCATTTCATTCGACGTAATTATGCTGAGCGAAGCGAAGTCATTCCTGCATGAACTCCCGTGATTTTGCGAGGGTTTTTTATAGACGCGGTACCATGAGTACTGCTGGATCGATCTTTTTGAAAATTTAGGGAGTTGATAAGGGATGCTAGACAAAGATCTAATGACATTCATAATCTCGATTGCTCAACCCTTTATGCACTTTTATGCATTTTAAATGCATTTTTTCAAAATTATGGGAATTTGCCCAAATTTGATGGGATTTTTTTGATTAATCTGTCGGGGGCCTTAAATATGATTGTCGTTGCATTGTTTTTTTCGTTTATGCATTAGAATGCACTTTTAGGCACTTTATATGCATTTTTCTTAAATCATAAGAATTTGATCACATTTGACGGGATTTTTTTGAATAATCGGTCGGGGACCTTAAATATGATTGTCGTTGCATTGTTTTATTTGTCTATGCATTAAAATGAACTTTTATGCAGTTTTAATGCATTTTTTTTATAACTTGTTAGAATTATATCAAATCTGATGGGGATTTTTTTATAATCCGTTTGAAAGCTTAAATATGATTCTTGTCGCAAAAAATAGTATATTACGTGACAAGGGACGAAAGTCGAACTTCTTCTCCGCAAATTTATGCTGGTCGACGGCGGGCTTTGCAACAAATATCATCAATAATAATGTTAATAGTACTTAACTAAAATTATTAGTAAATAATTGTAAAAGATAGATAACTATCGCGTAAAGTACAAACGATCCCGTAAAGTATAAGCATGAAAGTATTAGTACCATATGTTTTCTTCTTGTGTCCCATCCTATATATTTTTAATTAAATTGAGAATATTACTCGATTTAAAGTTGCATTCAAATAAATATTTATTTTGTAAAATTTTGAAAATTTGAATTAAGTAATTTACTCAATCTAAGTAGACGAGTAAAAACTTGAGTGACCAAGAATAACGTTTAAAATTGAAAGAATTTATTAAAATATATTATAAAAATGTAATGAAATGTGTACATCAAATTATGGTACTACAATAATTAATCAATCTGGCATAAGCACGTCATAAAATAAATCAATACAATTCATCTATTGCATAGTAGAAACCAAACGATAATTAAAATGTAGGTTGCCGTAGAATCAGTCTTCGTTGAAGTATGAAAATGAAGAAAAATGCCTCGCGCACGTACTCGAGAGAGAACGAATTCCTAAAATTGCGCAAAAAAAATATCGGCGCAAGCGGGTAAATTTAAAAATAATCGAAAATTATCAGCGAGTTTGATAATCGAGCGAGTCGCGCGGCCGCCGAAATCGCGCCCGGTGGCGACGGCAGCGGCATTATTCGCGGGGCGGCGTATCTGCCAACCGTCGGTAGTTTCGCTATATAGATCGTCGGTCGGTCGGTCCCCGGCACATCGCACCCACACACACACACACACACACACACGACGTATCAAATCATAATACACAAGTGTATATTTAACACACAGGCGCGCGAGAGATCGCCGTGTCGTGCGTGGGAGTTGTGTTATGCGGCGGCGGCGGCACCCGCTATACAACGCACACACACACAAACTCACGGATATTACTCATATATAAGAAAGAGCATCAAAAGTAGTTCTTTTAAACGGCACACACACACACACACACACTGGGTGTGCATGTACAGCAGCAACCAACGACGACTATACGAGCAGAGAGTGTGTGAAAAAAGTGTGTGCGCCGAGTTGTCGTCGTCGTCGTGTGGTCGTTTACATTTATTACGCATACATATATAATACCGCGGCTGCGGCTGCGGCTGCTGCTGTTACTCGTGTGCTAGTGTAGTGTAGTGTTGCTCGTGTGTTTGTGCGTGTGCCTGCTAGCTCCGATCGTCGCTGTGTATTGTGTATACATATGTATCACCGAGAGTTAGTTGGAGGAACCTAACCTCGAAGACGTGTGTGTGTGTGAGTGCGGTACTTCTGAATCACCGACTGCACATCGCCCTGAGTTTTTTAAAACTCCGAGTTCCGACTGTGATTTTGTTGTACATACAAAGTACCTCGACGCATGATCCGCAACATGTCCAACGAGTCCTCTGCGCGTACCTCGAAATCGACGACGACGATGTGCTTGTGCTCGTGCCGATAGCATTGAGAGCGCATCAAGGGAGGAAGCATAACACAACGCACGGCCCAGAGGTACGTGAATCAGTAGATGAAATGAGTTTCGAACGCTTTCAATTCCTCTTCCTCTCTCCGGTGCATTAGCTTAAACGTATCGAAGCTCTCGTTGCATTGTGTTTTACCGGACGAGCATCGCGCACGGAGCACACGTTGTTCTCTCTCTCTCTTTCTCTCTCTTTTTTTTCGACAAGTGGGACGATGACAGCACGAAACATTTTTCCGAGTATACATAGCGCAAACGTTTGCTCGTCGTGCTTACGTGCATATTTACAAAAAAAAAAACTCCACACCCACGCGTAACAGATTTCTCTCTCTCTCTCTCTCTCTCTCTCTCTCTCTCTCTCATGAATACATTATCGAGCGCCTTCTTCTATGAGTAATTTCGTTTTGTTTATTCATCTATATACTTGTATTAATGCGCACTGCGATCGAGTACCGACTCTGACTAAGAATCGAGCTCTCCTCGTATACGTATATGATACTACTAATGTAATTGCGATACAATACAAAAAAAAGACATAAATCGAGACTCGAGATCGACGACGCAGTTCGATGTGTTGCATGTTTGGTATAGCGTATGAATGATGCGTGAATCAAGATCGACGATACATGCATCGATACATACATGCATACACGCATGTATAGCATAATATACACATCGTCGTCGTCGTCGTCGTCGTGTGTCGCCTTTAAAACATGATACTCTTCGGGCGCGATTATAAAGTCGTTCTGGCAACATTAGCACTCTGCGCCTGAAAAACACGCACACAGACACAGAAAGACGGCGGCGCGCACAGGAAGGAGTGCGACAACGACGAGTGCAAGAGAGAGAGAAAAATATCGTCGTCGTCGCTTTGATACGCGAATTATAACAATTCCGCGGGATCGCGATTAAATATTTTTGTCATAATAACGGCATTGCGAATTATTCGGCCATTCATCGATGATTTACAAGCCCCCTTATACGAAAAAGAAGTGCTCGAACCAGGCCAGCCAACCAGCCAGCCGCTCGTGGACAGCAGCAGCGGTGTCGAAATTTCTGCTGTTGCTGTGTTACTTTTTCCTCTCTCTCTCTCTCTTGCTCGCACGCACGTACGAACACACACGCAGAGCCATATAACATACGAAACCTAACTTACTCGATATCTATATAGGCACACACCAACAGTCTGTTTCTCATCGTGGACCGAATAGTTGTAGTAGTAGTAGTAGTAGTATTCAGCCGAAAGAGAGTTCGTAAAGGCGCAGAGAAATCGTATTAGAGAGAGAGAGAGAGAGAGAGACTAGAGGTGCATTGCAGCTGCAGGAGAAAGAGAGCGTCAAAGAAATGCCGCTGTTGTTAATGAGCTGTCATAATCATCGGGCTACTGCTGCTCGTAGTCTTCACAGCGGCCAGAGCTGAGAGTGCGTGACGTTTTTTTTTCTTTCTTTCTTCGTTTTGGCCTTTTTTTCGTTTCGGTTTTTCGCGTCTTTTTTTATCTCATATAATACGTTGTATGCGTGCCGCGAGTGTGTGACCATTAAGTATATAATATCTCTGGCTTGTGTATTTCTTATAATAAAAATATGTGTATACGCGAGTGAGTGTGTCTGTGTAACATCGATGTAGGCCCCCGTATATCATCGTATAGTGTCCGTGTATAGAAAGAGAGAGAGAGAGAGAGGCAACGTGGTGTGGTGCTGCTGCTCGGCGCGCGTGTGAGTGAGTGTCAATATAAATATTTCGACTTCGTACCAAGAATCTCGCTTATACTGCATGATTCGAGAGAAAGAAAGAGAGAGAGAGAGAAAGAAAAAAAAAACGACGAGCCGTTGTAAATAGTTTATATACACACACATACACGCTCGTTAAAGGCTAACTAACGAGAGGTGAGTCGTCAACCGAGCGGAGAGAGGTTATTTAACAGTTTTGTTATGAACAGCTTTCTCTCTCTGTCTATCTTATTTTGGTGTGGGTGGACTGCTGCATGTATTATACACCTATCTTTATGTGCGGTGAATTTTCGGCCTCTCGTTAAAGTCAGAGAGAAAGAGAGAGAGAGAGTGAGAGATAAGCATAATTCAAAGCAGCTGATCTTTGACTACTGATGAGGTCTCTTTATCTTAGTGAAATAGATTTGAAGATATTTGATAATTTTCACCTGTATCAATCAACTCCTGTGTGCTAGTACAGGTTTGATTTATTGCCTAGTGGAGACTGTTTGGTTTGAACCAGAGAAAATTGGAATTCGATACTGTGATTGACAAGTGAAACAAGCAACTTATTCATATTTATCGTGCGCATCAAAAAATTTCTCAGGTTGACATATTTGAATAATAACGTTAAGTTTGACTTTATTGCCCCTCTGTTTTATCATAATAAAAGCCTTTGGTCATAATCGCTTAATCGAAATGAGCTAACTCGTATGAACATTATCCAAATTGTTTGCATTTGTTATCATCGCTGTTAAAGATTTGAATAATTTAAAAGTCTTCTTTTGATTGCAAAGCATTGATTAATAATTAATTCCAATGTGTGTTCTTTTGTTTTTTTTTCTTATTAAACGTGTAAATATGATGAGACTAGCTTGTGATAAATTTTCTCAAGCAAAAGTGAAATTTGTATGAAAGCTCAAGTTGCTGATGCATAAGTGAGGTTAAGTTCTTCTACAATCACTAGTATTTAAAGACTAGAAATAAATTCAGTTACGTATCTAGTAGATTTTCAAATGCATTGCCAATAAATAGATACTATAATTGAGCTTATCCTCTTTAATTGACTCTAATGTTGTTAATTTACCAATTGGTGCGCATTTTAAATTTGATTGAATAATTTTTGTGGTTTTCCCTACTCAAAGACAAGCTCGCGATACTTGTATTATTACCTAGTTGATCTTGTTTCTTTCATCATATATTTAGCCTTGACATTTGTTCATTACCAATTATAGTTTGAATAGATAAAAGAATCAAATAGTTTTCACTTGAACTCACTTACTTCTTGCCTGGATAATTATTATCTACAATGAAGCTTCAAGTTAATGATTCAATTGGTTTGAATAGTTATGTAAATTACTTAAAACTTATGATTCATATGGTAATAAAATGATTAAGGTGCTGCTGATTGAATAATAGCAATCTCAAGATCCACAATGTTTCTTGAAAAGTTATACGTCTAGAGATAGAATTCATGTGTCAAAACATTGATTATTTTCATTAGATATATCTGCTTTGAAGAATGTCTAATTGAACTCATTAATTTTTACAGGTGCTGGATTTTGAAACTTAACTGCTCTCTCTACGAATAGAATCTTGTTGGAACTGCAATGCTGTGTCAACCACAAAGCGCTTCGACTTTTCATTTCCACGGTGTTAATCAAAGGCAACAGCAACAACAACGAATTGCTAAGAAAAGCAACGGTAGCAGTAGCAGCGGGCAGATGTTCGCCAGGATATCATCGATAAAGAATTGCTAATCGAAGGTCACTCCAGACGACGATACCCATCGCAGCAGCAATTATGGCAGATCACAACAATATCATACGCAAGCCCGCCACCACCACGTCCCTGAGCCAGATCGCTAAGCAGCACGGGGGGGCGACCACGACGACCAGCGTGACGATGGGTCATCATCATCACGGAGGAGGACCTGCGGGACAGGTCCCCGTGAGAAAGATCTCGGCGCCGGTGCATCGTACCACCTCGGAGACCATGAGGCTCGGCGAGCCCGTTGAAAATTCTGGTACGTAATTAAACCCTTTTTAAGATCTTGGACCTTGGGGGGGCGAGTATCGTCGAACTTACATAATCTCGCGCGCGTCGTAATGAAAAATCAATCGGCATTAATAGCTCTCTAACTGAATTTATCCATCGCCTATAAACACAGATTGCGTCAAAGTACTTTGGTCGTTCGCGTACGCAAGTCATTGAGTTAAAAGTATAAGCAGCTGCTGTTAGTTGCGCTATTGTGTTGCGATCGACCAGCAAAAAAATTTTCCGAAATTTCACATACACAATATTATTAAAGTATATAACATCGCGGACGGTAGCGGACGGCGAGAGAGCGGGGAGAGAGAGAGAGAGAGAGAGAGGCGTAGACAACGTCGCGGCAGCGGCACACGTGCATATGTTTAATCGATCGCTCTCTCATCTATTTATACATTATGAAAAAGATATTCCGAGTCGTGCACGCACGCAAAGGTGGATATTGCAAAGAGAGATTCGCGAGTGGTCTGTCTGTCTGTGTGTCTGCGTCTGTATATTATGTGTCCGCGCGCCGAGAGTTTATACTAATATTCGGTGTCGAGAGCAGCGTGTACGTGTGCGCGTTGTGTGTAGCATTTTATATTGAAGGAAGTCGGTAATCAGCATGAAGCCCATCGTCGTCGGACGGAGAGAGATGCTATTGAGTAATGTTTCAAGCGGCTAGTAGCAGCTATTTTATATTTCATAATTCGCCTTTTATTTATATCGCGCGCGCGGCTCTATATATGTAATAATATAATAATATTTAAGCGAGAGAGCTCTCCTCTCCGTGCGCGCCTCTCTTTTTATCTCCCGAATTCTTTCGAGTACACTGCAGTCAAGGTCGTGCACGGGATATGTGCGTTGCCGGCGATCGCGCGCGCACACACGAGGCGGTAAATTTGAATCTCCGAATCACACGCTCTTCTGTCTTTTCATTGCAGGCAGAAATCAGCAGCAGCAGCAGCAGCAACGCCTTCATCATACTGCACAGTATCAGCATCATCAGCAGCAGCATCAACAGCATCCTCAGCAGCATCAACAACATCAACATCAACAACATCAACAGCAGCAGCAGCAGCAGCAGCAGCACCATCCGCAGCACCACCATCATCCGCATCATCACCGCAGCAGCCTCGTGGAGACCATGCTACCGTCGCATCAGCATCCGCACCATCACCAGCAGAGCCTACTCGCCGGCACGTTAATAACGGCGACGACGACGACCTCGACGGGCACGACCACGGCGACCACGGTACAGAGCGGCAGTGGCAGCAGTAACAACAATGTCCTCGTCAACAACAGCAGCGGTAGCAGCCAAAGCCAAAGTCAACAGCAACAGCAGCAGCAACAGAACCTCGCCGCCTCGAGCGGTAGCAGCACCGGCAGCCCGCAGCAGCGCACCAAGAAGACGTCCTCGTTTCAGATAACCAGCGTGACGGTGGGCTGCCGCATGAGCAACGACGCCGGCGAGGACTCGAACGACGACCTCGACGAGTCGCACACGGACGACAACACGAGCTGCGAGCAGAACTCCACGCGGCTGGGCGGCAACGGAGGCGACACGACGACGGACACGGAGCGCACCACCCCGACGACGAGCTACTCCGAGGACACGTTCTCCAAGGACGACGTGTTCTTCAACACGAGCAACTCGGCGCTGAGCACGGCGCCCGTCATACCGACCAGCTCGCAGTACGGCCTGGCCATAGTGCCCTCGTCCGAGGCGAGCGGCTGCCTGCACCCGGGCAACTCCACGACGATCAACGCCAACGACATCAACGCCCTGGAGATGGTCACCGCCGTGACGGACAACAACATCATCAATCTGCTGTCGGCCAGTACCAAGCAAGACGCCGACCTGCGCGAAGTACACTCGCACGGTACGACGAGAGGCACCACAGCCGCTCCTCTCTTTCTCTCTTTATTATCTCTTTTCTGCGTTTCATTCATTCTCTGGAGTCGAGTCGTGTGCGTGTGCGTGTGCGTGTGCGGCTAATTAGATTGACACAGGAACGAAACGCGCGCGCGCCTGTACATAAAAAGATCGTTCGTCTCTCTCTCTATAGTAGAGGAGAGGAGGTCCCCTATTACAATGTTCTCTCGGTCACCCGTCGTCGGACTGAAATTGCCCACGCACGAGAGACGACGACGACAAGTGTGTGTAGCCGCCGAAGGGGGACTTGCGCAACATATAAAAATGACGTGTCGGCTCAGATAAGAGAACGTGTGTGTAACTCGCGGACGGACGAACGGACGGACGAGCGTCGATTCGCGCGCGCGTTACACCGAATATTAAGCATTCGCGCGAGTGCGCGCGTGCAAGACGAGACACGCGTCGCATCGCGTTGTTATTACTTCTTTTTCGTTGCTGCACCGATAGAGAGACACACGCTCCGCTGCGGTGTGTGCGCGCCGATCGACTTCATAAATGATAAGATGTAGGACAGGATCCAATTTAACTTGATAACGTAATTGATTATTCTTTTGTGTGATTCTCCATTCACAGGGAGGAACGAGCGATTCAAGGTCGTCAAAATCGAGAGCACGGATCCGTACAAGCGCGGCCGATGGACCTGCATGGATTACCTGGACCAGGCCTCGGTCAATCCGGGCGGCGGCGGCGGCGTGACCGTGACGAAAAATTCCACGGATCCAAACGAGGTATGCATCTCGTACGGTGTCCTGGAGTCGGGAAAGATCATTCCCGACAAGCAGCAGCAGCAAATGAGTATGGACGAAAACAGCGTCGGCGCCGGTGGTGTGACGGTGGACGCGAACGGTACCATGCATCAAACGATGCAACAGATGCAGCAGCAGCAACAGGTGCCGCAGCAGCAATATTACCAGTCGTCTAATGCGCAACAGCAGCAACAACCTCAGCAGCAGCAACACCAACCGAGTCAGGGTGCGACGTTACCAAATAATTTGCAATTAACGCACACGGCTCCGAGCTTAGTACAGCCGCAGCCACCGCAGAGTATGCCCCCAGGAAGCATTCCTATTCTGAATCAGCAGGGAGTGTAAGTCGATTTTTCGAATATTGTAAATTGAACTTAATCAATGTTCCTTTCTTCCATATTTTTTATACTTTTGTACTTTTGTAGGTCTGTTGCGCAAGCCAGTAATAACGTTTCAGCTCAACAACAACAAGCACCTCAACAGCAGCAACAGCAGCAGCAGCAGCAGCAACAACAACCGCAACAGCAACAACAGCAGACCTTACCGCCTCATCCCAATGACGAAACGTCGTTCGTCCACGTGAACTCGCAAGGTCAAAATATGATGCAGGCACCAAATGTTGCCGCCAGCTCTCCGTCTCAAAGTTCCCAGACCAATATGTTGTTGACGCAGCAGCAACAGCAGCAGCCGTCGACGTCGCCGGCGCAACAGATGCAAGACCCCATGCAGACTGCGATGCAGAATATGGCGTGTTTACATAAAGTTCCTCAATCGGGTTCGTCTCCCAACCAACAGCAGCAGCAGCAGCAACCCCAGCCCCAGCAAATGCAACAGCACTCGCAAGTACGTCCTGAAGTCCAATTGCAAATCATTGACAAAAAATAATCATTAATCTGTTTTCAATTCTTACGATTTGTAATTTTTACCCTCTAGGTGATGGGACAAATTGCTCAACCACAGCAACAGCAGCAGCACGTGCATGACATGAGCTCGGCGCCTAGCTCAGCGGGAGCTTCTCAAGTGCAAATGGTCGGTGGCTTACAGCAAAGTAATATGCAGTATCATCAACCACCGCCACCACAGCAGCAGCAACAACAGCAACAACAGCAGCAACAGCAACAGCAGCAACATCAACAGCAAACCGATGCCGAGCAGGACTCTTTGGCAACGGGTATAATAATTCCCAATTCGGCTGTAGAAGCTGCACTGCTGGAGTCGCTGGCTGAAGTTAATAAAATTAACGACGGGGGCGAGCCAGCCAAGGAGGACAATGAAAGGTTTGTTGACCGCGTTCAGGTATTTTCGTAACGTTAGGCAGAAGAAAAATTATTAACGTGAAATTTTTCTTTGCAGCTTATCTGGTACGGGAGCAGTTGCGATTGACAATAAAATAGAACAAGCCATGGATCTTGTGAAAAGTCATTTAATGTTCGCTGTGCGAGAGGAAGTTGAAGTGCTCAAAGAAAAAATTGCCGAACTGATGGATAGGATAAATCAATTGGAAGCCGAAAATATGTTGTTGAAAGCTCATGCGTCGCCTGATGTCTTGTCTCAATTGAGCCAAGTGCTTGCGAAACAGCAACAGGCACAACAAGCGCAACAACAGCAACAACAGCAGCCACAGCAGGCTCCGCAGCAACAACAACCGTCCCAACCACAGCAGCAGCAATCACCGCAACAACAGCAGCAACAGCAGCAGCAGCAACAACAACAACAACAACAACAACAACAACAACAACAACAACAACAACCACCGCCGCAACAGCAACAGCAACAGCAACAGTTGCAACAACAGCAACCGCCTCAGACACAGCAACAGTTAAATATGAACAATACTCAAGGCAGTGGTCAGTAGTAAATGACAGACAATTCCGTGTAAATAACACTTCCGCGTAAAAAAACTGTTTTTCATCGAAGACAATGTATAACTATACCGCTGTTGAACAATATAAAGAGATCAGTTAACACCATCATGTGAAGCTACTGAACCTCTCCGTGCTGTTATCCGCCGTCTAACGTATAATGGTGATATAATTATTGTATATAACTTAACGATTTTTAGAAATGTATAAATAATGAGATTTATTATATTAAATATACATAATGATAGTGCGTTTAGTAAGTTTTCATTCTGTTTTTATGATTTCTGTCTGTCTCTTTTTCTTGTATTTCTTTCTTGCTTTTTTTTCTTTTTTTCGAATTCTGTACAAAGGAAAAAAAGGAAACAAAGAATGGAGCACTATTAAAAGTAGTTCGACTGAAATATAACCACGAGAAGAGTGATACAGAGTGCGTAGATAATTTTATATAATATATTACATGAATTGTTTATTTCGTTTTAATGTTTTATAAACGGCATGGTTCGATGAATTTATGCATACAATACGTAATTCGACAAAATTGAATACAAAACTGAATTCTATCTTGTCATTTATGAATAATATAAATAATTTATATTTTAACGTTTTTTAATTTCGATACACGAATTTTATTTCGATACATACAGCATATATTTTTTGGACTTGACAAAACGAACGATTTACGCTGCGAGTCAGCATATAAACCCGACAAAAAACATAAGTAAATTTAATTATAAGGGAGGAATTGCGAATTACAAAATAAGTGGAAGTGCTTTGCTTTTTTTACTGTAAAAAAAATAGCTGTATACAAACGAAAAAATAAGTGATAAAAATTTTTGCATACGGATGATAATTGTAAACTAATGGATAATGATAATTATATATAATAAATAACCCATTGGGCAGCTAGAGGCCAAAATCCACTTTTAATCACGTATTATCGAATCCATCTAACGAATTTAACATTGGCTGCCATATATGAATTATTACGATCGGTTAAAGTAAAAGATAATAGTTAAAGAACTTCTGTTGAATGAGGAAAAAAATACCAAAGCCACTTACTCGCTAGTAGAAAACAAAACATGAACAACCTGTCAATGGAATCAAAGTTACAATGCTTCAAAGTTGATATCTCCAAAGAAAATGCGTATGTAATATTGTGAAGATTATATAAAAATAATATCTAAATTAACCTATTATAGTCAAGTGATTCGATACTTCGCTTAACATTTTAATTAGTTGTTGCATTAAAAGTCATGCATTTAATTGAAATTCCAATGACCGTCTCGTAATTTATAGAGCTACACCGACGCTTGTTTAGAACAATTTTTTCTTTTATAAGCTGGTGCGTAACACACAAGTGAATGACGAAAATTAATGATAATAATTTCAATTGTGAGAGCTGGACAAGCTCGAGTTTATATCAAGCATGCGCGAGCCATTTTTTGAAAAAATTTTTTACGAATTCGCATTCTAGAGAAAGATTATGTTACATTATTTCAAGCCTAATAAAAAATTTATAATTTTAAAACTTTTATACTACTTATTTTTATTTTTACTCCCAAGATTACATTTTGGATAAGAAGAAAGATAAATAGAACAAATAAGAGGAAAATCATTTTCTTTATTTGGTTTCCAACTAAAGATCTACATTTTTTATAGTACAATATTAAAGCCTACATATGTTTAACTTATTCTTTGCTAAAATATAAAACGAAACAATAAAAATGATTTGTGGTTTGTTAATTAACCCTAGAAAGTTCATTTTCGAACATAAATCAATGTTTTTTTTTTAAAAAATCAAAAATTTAACCAAGTTATGAAAATGATGATTTACTTAAATCCGAATTAACATTTTTAAATTAAATTAAACTAGAGGCATTGCCATTTGCAAATTAAGATATAACTTTTACTGATACGCTTTAACCGCAATTACGTGTAATGACTTAACATTTCTTTATAATTACTCAAAATGATTCACCCAGAGATGAAAATATAATTATATACGTCAACTTTAGCACACAATTAAGATCTACAATTTAATGCTAATATTTTTCATTATGTTTCTTGAGACTTTAAAAAACTTAAAATTAATCAAAGCTTGTGGAAGCCCTGCCACAATTTTTTTCATATAATTTCATTATAAAAATTCAATTGTTGATTTTCATATTTACAAAGAAAAAATGCGTAAGAAAAGTCATGTTACAAGTTTTTTCACATTTGAATCTATTGTGATGATGAATCAAATCATTTTAGCTCTTTGCAAATATACCTTGGTAGTAAATATTTTTTTTTGATTTTGGCGAAAGTTAATAACTCGAGTTTACTATATATATTTAATATTGTATTAGCTAAATATGACACTTCTTTCAACGTAATTACGCATCGTGATGAACCAAAAGTAATTAAGCTAAAACTGTAATAAATGTATACAGTTAAGAATTTTTCGTAGTACGATTACATAATTTGTGATAATTACATTTTAAGATTTTATTAGCGTATCTTTTAACTTTTTTGCTAAAGAACACTTTTTCAAAAATGATAACAACGATAATGTACTTATGTCATTACACTTTATATAGAATATATATAACCCCATCACATGTACGTTTATAATTTATGTATAGTTATTATATAGATGTAGCAGCAGGGAACTCACATCCAAAAATTTTAGCACTCTAACAATCTTTACACCTAAACTCTGGTTAATTTCATGTAGTTTTGTCCTAAAAGTATACAAAAATTTCGATTGAAACATGATTTTATATCTCTTACAAGCAAATTAAAATGTCATTGTTTTATTCGTAAAAAGTTATGAACATACGTTTCACGTTTTATTCACTTTTATTAATAATTACAATTTCACACAAGCACCCCCTTTTACATCTATCGTTGATAAAACAAAATAAAAGTATAATGAATGCAGTAAAAAATCGGTTTTAGTTATCGAGTGTGGCTAAATATTGCTCTCGTTTTTTTTTAATGCGATTATTACGATGTGTGTACGGGTGTGCGTGCGGAGAAAATGTTTGTTTATTATTATTCAAAAATTTAACCAGCTCAAACGAAGCCGAAATTTTTGGTTTTAATGGCGAGTAAGAGTTTGTGTCTTAGAACATGACGCGAGCTATACAAGGGCACATAGAGACGAGATATGCAAGTGTTCGCCGTTGGTAGATGAGCATCATCAGCCGGCCTTATTGTTACGCTGGGCATAGGCTGGAAACCGTCCTCACTAGCTGGCAGAGCTGGTGAGCCCGTCCAAAAGTAAACCTACGAAAAGAAAAAATGTCCATGATCATCTCAATGAATATTAAACTTTAATTATTAATGTAGGACCGTCTTACCAAATCTTGCCTTTCGATATGTGTCATTTTTTCAACGATCGACCATAACCACCTTTTGAACTTAACAAGTCTGTCGGTCGATTCGCCAGATTCGTCGTTAAAGGATGTGTATGATATGAGGACAGATACATTGATGTCACCAACTCCATTGAGTAACAATCTCAAATCTTCGGATGTCAAACCGTCCAGCGCACCATCGGGTAAAACATCAAAGACTCCTTCGCGCAAAGCCTCGAGTGCCTTTTCTTGTACTTTGACCATTCTAACTTCAGCGTATTTGCGTACATAGTCGTAAACGTTGCTCGCATTCACTACAATGTCGCGCCCATTGGGAACGAGCTCGATCGAGCCTCCACCTTCTTCCAGGCACAAATCGATGCTGTAGAAGTAAATTTTACATTATTATACTGATATGATACTTGAAAAGAATGCAAAATTTAGAGCTATAAATCGCTGATCATTTACTACATTTCAATTAAATAGCTTACCTGAATGTGAGTTCCAGTTGAATTAAGTTTGAGCTCGAACTTTCGGCATCGATAACGAGTTGTCTGAGGCTCTCGTAGATCACTGAATCGAAAAACGCGAGATCGTGGAACCGAATGGGTCTGCCCAGAATGTATTTAAGAACGTGTCTGTTCAAAAATATCGGGCATAGTTCATTTTGCAGCAGGCATAAGCCGATGAGCCGGCCAACATTTCTGAATACATTCAAACGTTCGTAGCTCGCCTTGCCTTGGCGGGGCGTGTAAAAACCTCGTTTACCCGGCGTGTAGAACAAAGGTGCATTATCCTCTGAGTCATCCATCATAGCTGTATCTAAAACAATTATATAAAAATAAATGGAGATGAAGAATTTATTCACATTTATAATGGACATGGGTCAAATTTTAAATTACCCTTACCCATCGTTAATTTTCTTTTGTTATTAGACCGAGTCTCGGTGATGGTGAAAACGTCCAAGTCGAGTAAGGCTTCGCTTGCCATATCCTGTGAGTGACTGTTTATGAGATCGAAGGCCTCGTCGACCTTTTGTCTGAGCGCCTCCTCCGAGGCGAGCAGCATCAGCAGTTGCGCGGGATTCATCTCGAGCAGCATACCGGTGATCTTGTCCGCGTGGCCCGGCTTTATGTTGTGAACCTTTGGGTGTAGTCGCTCGCCGAGCTGCTGCTGGTGCACCGTCAGGTGGTCGTTGGTGCTATGGCCGAACTGGCCTTGATGGGCGCCCTGATTGTTGGCCGACGAGCCGCTGTCCAGCGGTGGATTCGTGGGATGGAACGAGCGCGCTGCGCATGAGAGCGTACGTCTCGATTCTCGACCCTTACCCGAGGTGCGCGAGCTCTGTCGGCGGAAATCGCGGTCGCGATCCTTGGCTTTGTTCTTCTGCATCACGTTGTACGGCGTGTATTTTGCTATCTGCGCCGCTTCGAGATTCGGCAATTTTTCGTTTGCCAAAATTGCCTGTAAAGTGAAGTTTCGAAGTTCATTAGTTATCGTTCGCTAATTAATAAAGAAAACTTACGGGTAATCGAACTTACTTCTGCAATTGCTGTGTAAAAACTTCTTGCTACACCGGAACCCTCTCCCGGTTCGTCCTTGAAAGTGACTTTGACACGACTTACTGCTAATGGTGGAGTATTCGATGCTCGTCTATTATATAAATTATACTGTGTATTGAGCTCTTTCATCGTTTGCACGAGAAGTAGCGTCCTGTCGCGTTCCACCTTAGACAAGGTGATGTCTTTCTGCTGAGAATTTCTCAGCTTCTCCATGTCTCGTCTGAATTTGGCTTCTTTCACGGGGAATCCGCCGAGTTCAGAAACGATGCTGCCCGCTTCGAGGCCAACGTCCTCCATGAACACGCGACCGAAGAGATCGAGCGACAATCGCCAGCGGCCCAAGAGTACATTGTGCGATATCTTATTACCGATATTTGAAACCTGAGCTCGCGACGGCAGCAACGAAGCGGCCTGATCTTGCGCGTGCGTTGTCTCGATCGACACTTCTTGTGCGGGCAGCGCCAAGTCCACGGCTTCCTCGTTAATCGGCTCTGTCTCGACTATCGAGGCTTGCTGCCTCGTCACGTTCTGGGCCGATTCCGAGGCGCAGACATTGCTGCTGCTACCAGCACGAACGATAACGCTACGCTCGACTTTGCCGCTGCTACCACTGCTATTGCTGTTTTCGGTGTCTATCGGTTGACCGTTGGGAGCTACGATTATCGGTGCTCGATCGGTTTGTTGTTGCATCGGCTGTTGCGGTGGCTGCTGATGCTCGGAGGACGAGCTGGATGTCTGCATTGGCTCCGAAGTATCGAAATTTCGCGATTTTTCTTGACTTCTGTTGGCGTCGGAGTCACCTGCTCCGGGATGTTTTCTATCGCCGCGGGCCATTTGTTCGATGGTCTGGCCGATACCCAAGGCTGATGTGCTGATTTGACTCTCGCCATTTCTGGACGACAAGCCTAATCTCGTGGGTAGGCCTTCCAATGGATTGCTACTGGATGAGCTACTACTTTGTCGTGGAACACCAAACAAGTCCTCGCGACGCGCGTGAGGCTGAAGCAAGTGGGGTTGGTCTGCCAGCGGTAGAGCTTCAGACATGGGAGTCTCGAACGGATCCAAAGGTGGGCATCCCAGGCACAAAGTAGAATCCGACCTTTGTAAAAATGGATGCTTGCGACCTTTGCCGGGCGCAGCATTCGACGCCGGAGCGCACTGCTGCAAGTTCAACAGGTCTGGAAACGCGTCGACCGTCTCGGTCTCCATCGACACGTTAGATTGCAGTGGATCGTCGTCGTTCTCCTCGTTGTCGTTCTCATCTTGGTCGTTCCAAGCGCTGTCGTTGCTGTCCTTCGGAGCCTCTCCTCGCGGTGACATTGGCTCGGACAACGAGCGCATGTAATACACCAGAGCGTCGAAAACGTAAGCCACATGTCGCAATGCAGACACGTCGAGTACCGGCAGACTGTCACGATGTTCTCCGTTGTGCGCTCTCATCAGGGACAGGCAATAGGATAAAAATTCACGACGAGCTGAATGACCGCCATCGACACCTATTCGAAACATTAAGGACGATCAGATATTATGTCAAAAACGAAAAGAAAAAAGAAAAAAAACAGAATTATTGATGGAAATAATTCAGGGCTCTCGAGGTGAAAAAAAAATGTAACGAATGAGCCTTTGAAAGTAAATACCCTCACGTTCTCTATTGTTTCTTGTGTGATCGCCAACGCCACTGAATCCAACAGTCAAACGATTCGATCCGGATCCACCTCCAACGTTCGCTGACGCGCTAATACCACCTCCTCGGGCACTGCGACTCTCCGCGTTCAAGCCATGATACGACGAGTTAAACGGCATAGCAGCCGAATTTAACAAACCAGTGAAATTTCCAGCCGCCAACGACGGTGCATTGTTCAAGGGATGCCCCGGGTGAGTGGGGTCGGCGCTACGCGTGAGCGAGACGCCGAAACGTAGTTGAGCCTCGGTCGCGTCCATGACGGTGAGAAGCCAGTCCCAAGTCGGCTTCAAATGCGACTCCAAATAGGCCTGCATAAAATCAATCATTTATTCACTGTGACTAACTGATCGAGCGTTAAAAAAAAATGGAAGAGTCACGTACCTGTAAATTGATGGCGTCCATGTAAGTGACGTCCAGTTGTCTCGTCAATCTCGGTTCTGGTGCTACCGCTTTGTAAAAGTGCATCATCGTCAACAGATCGGCAATCTGCCTGATGACGATTCCAAACGCCCTGGCCAGACAACTCGCAGTTGTACCCATGGTTATTGGCTCTTGGGCCGTCGCAGCAACCGCGGACGTGGCGGCCGATCTGCGCAGCGACGACGGATCTATGAACACCAAATTGCTGCTGCCCGTGACTCTGAGTCCGGTAGCTCTAGTACTCGGCTCGCGATTACGTATGGCCCACTGCATGGAGACGGGTGCCAAATTGTTGCGATGCGACTGACCGGACGTGCCACTAAAAAATGAGGACAAAGGAAATTAGTTACTTTCCGATCTGCGTGTCCGTGGTCTTTCAAAGTCGAGCATGACGGTGAAAACCATAGGGTAACGAAAAAAATATAAAAAACAAAATCGGTTCACATACACTGGCATTGGCACATAAACTGACCTCCTTCTCTCCAACTGTTCGTCACCTATCTGGAGGAATTCTTCGGCGTCTTGCTCGTCGGTCTCGCCGGCGTCACTCTCGTCGTCATCTTGCTGACTACTGTCGCCCGACTCGTCCTCGGGATACAGTAATATCGAGTTCATACCACCGTCAGAGCCGGCTGTGGCTCCCGTCTGTACGCTGCGTTGAGCAGAGGCCGCGTCCTGGTTGCTGTGATTGTCATCCGAGTCGGATTCAGTTTCTGCCTCGACGAGAAGGTCCAGCTCACCGTCGGACTCGCCGTCCGCGGCTGCGTTCGCGTCGGCGGCGGCGGGTTCGTCACCGATGGGCTGAGTCGACACGGCGACAGAGGCTGTCTCCTCGTGCTCGCTTATGTCGCCGTCGAGATCCATGGGTACGTCTGCAAAAGTACATAAGTTTTCATTGAAGCTCATTCGTTTTAGAAAAAAAACTTGTAAGTAACAATATTTATTCGAGAAATTACCTTCACCTTGCTCGGTATCGTCCAAGGTTGAATTGTCGCGCACTAGATTGTTGTTTCCTACTTGTCCTGATAAGTTGACATCCAAATTGTGCGCATTCAGACCGCTATGCGGTATCAACGGCTCGATGGAGAATAATTCCTCGGAGCCCGTTATGACTTCGATGGCGGAGCTGGTCAGGGTGAAGGGAGCGGTCGGTCTGGCTACCCCCAAACGAACGGGCGCTATCAAGGAGTTGGCGGTTTCGCACAGCTCCTCGACGGCCAGTTTGATCAGAGCCTGGAACACTCTGCGGCACTTCATCAGAGGCGGAGACGTCAAGCTGGTGCTCCTCTTTTTGTTCGTCGTGGGAGCCATCTCGATCGTGAATATGACGAAAATTCTCGCCACGGATCGGACGAATCGTCGCGCCACTATGGCCGCCTCCTCCTGTCTTCCGGGCACGGCGCTGTTCTGCAGCTCTCTAATGAGCGTGTTCAGCAGATTGTCGAGCATCTCTCCGCTGCACTTGACCAGCAGCGAGTGGGTGAACTTGTCGAGCAGGGCGGTACCGCTCTGCCGGCTGGCCTGGGCTGGATCGCCGAACAGCTGCTCGCCGCCCTCGTGAACGCCGGACATGATGGTGCACTGCACGGCTGGCCAGTCGGTCAGTAGACGCTCGAGGGCACGCCTCGAGAAGCGCGGCGGTTCCAGGTCGTGGTCCGGCATGTCCGAGTCCGGGCCCAGACTGTCGGACGAGACGGGATTCTTGCGATTGGCCGAGGTGGAGCGCTGTCTCGGCGCCGAGCGAAACTGTCGCTGCTCCACCGATTGACGGCCTACCGTCTGCACCAAGAACAGAAGGATGGATTCGCCCCGAGAATTGATCTTCGTCGCCAGATCGGTGCTGGTGACCAGACGGCACAGCAGATTGTAGCGGGCCGTCTGTTTACCGACGATCAGAGCCTTGCACTTGCACTTCTCCCAGCAGTCGCAGTAGGCCGTGGGCGAGGTGTGCTTCAGCTTGCAGTCGTGTCCGCGATGGCAGACGCGCGCGCACTCCGTGCAGCAGCACAGCGAGCCGGTCAGGCCGCAGGTGCGACACTCGAATATGTCCTGGTCAATGTGTTTGGCACCGGTCCACGTGAAGCTGCATGTGTCGTTGCAACACGTCACGAAGAGCGGCGACAAATCCGCACTCACGTCGGACGGCAGTATCATGGACGCGCAATCCTTGGCATCCTTGCCGATGCGCTGAATCGTGTCCAGGATGATGAGTGCCGCGTGATAGGCCCTGACCGACACGGCCAGCATGAGCGGCGTCTGGCCCTGGGCGTCTCGGGCCGAGAGCAGGTCCTTCATGTGGGGAGCCAGCACGGGATGCTCGCACATGTACTTCAGTATGAGCAGGGCGTTGCTTCGGCGTTCAGCCGGGTCCACGATGTAATTGGTGGCTTGGGGGCCGGACTTGTTCATAAGCGAGAGGCTGGTGGCGCCGATGCTGAGCAGCGAGTCCTCCTCACCGGACGTATTGTCAAAGTTGTCCGGGGGCCAGTTCAGGCTTGGTATGGGCTCCTCGATGGCGGTCGAGTTGTTGTCTACGGTATTGTTGACCAGCTCGTTCTCGATGCCCTGATCCGGGTCTTTGTTCGAGTGTGGCGCGCACATGCTGATGCAGGCGTGCAATATGTTGCGATTCCCGTCGCAGCGTTCGTTGAAAATCATAGATATTTGATTGGTCAGTGTTTTTGGGTCCAAATCGAGACCGTTGAAGACTTGCTTGACGCCCTCGAAATCGCAACGCAGTACGCGTGGCATCAGCGCGAGATTGTCGAACACCAGCGCGATCACGGCTACCTGATTCTTCAGATTCATCGAGGGAATGCTGGGAATGGGCACGGTGGATGCACTCAGGCACAGCAAGGGCATGAGGTCGAGCCAGTGCGGATCTCTGATGGCGTCGGCGCAGTCCTTGGCGATCGGGTAGATAGTGCTGTTGCCGTCGCGCAAAATCATCGAGCACTCGTTGTTCTCGCCGGCACTGGTGAGGCTTATGTTTTGCGATTGCAAGCCCAGGAACGAGGATATTTCGGATGGAATGTAGCAGTCCTGCACGTAGCGCCCGGTGCTCAAATTGTAGATAACGTAGCTGAGCTTGTTGCCGTTACGCAGGATGGCGTGGATACCCTGGCCGTCGGTCGCTATGGTCAGCAGATTCTCGTTGGCGCCTTCCATGATATTTACGCGCCTGGGCGTTCGCTGGAAGCAGTCGGGTGCTCGCGAGCTCATCGACGACTTGATGACTACCAGCTCGTCTTTGCGCAACAATCGACAGTCGGCCAAGAGTTTGGCGAAGTCCTCGGTACTGTCCATGGCGTCCTTGTCCTTGCTGTCCTTCTCCTTGTCCTTGGAGTAGAAATTGACCATGACGTAGGCGCCGTCTACCTTGATGACTTTTCCGATCGGCAAAGTCTTGACGTCCTCGACGAACACCACATCTCTCAGGTGCCAATCCTCCTCGTCCTTGCGATCGGCGTCGTTGTCGCTCTTGGGCGCTGGACGTTTCTGGCGCTTTTGACTGGTGGTGATGCTGCCGGTGTCACTGCAGGTGCTGGACGCCGGAGAAGGCGGTGGTGGCATGTCGATCCTGTCGGCGGTCTCTTTGTGGGTGGACTTGTTGCCACTGCTGGTCGTGGTATTGCCGTTGGACTCTCTTTTGTCGGTCGCCACGATAGACGGCAGCACACCGGCCGGTAAAATTTTGAATCGGCACATGGCGTCCAGATTCCACACGGCGGACAGAAGTTGACCGACTTTGGGTACCCCGTTGGTGACGGTGAAGCCGATGGCTCCGGCTTGATAGATCGGGCTGTTCTTCATGCAAACATTACTGCCGTAGCCGATTTCTTGAGTGGTAGCGGCCGATGGTTTGTGCTTTCGAGCCTTGGATTTGTACTTTTCCCACAACTTCATGCGTTGGGCAAAGGGTAGCACACCCCACCAGTAGAGAGCTCCGCTTTCCAATCTTGCGACGGTGTACAGAGAGCAAGTGTGAAGGGAGACAATTTTGTCCATGGTAAATTCTGTAAACGCTTGAGCTGGATGCTCTAATCTGGATGATACATGACCCAATGTTTCGTCTAACCAAGTAGCAACTTTGCCGGTTTCCGTATTCACGGTGCAACGGATTGAAGTGGCTGATATGAGGACAATCTTTTCGTTGATCAAATTTAGAGAAACAGTCTTGGGATGGTGTATATTGGGATTCTGAAAGCAAATTATTTCATAATTTAACATGCTTTTTTTTTTTAATACTGATGAAAATAAAACATACCTCAAGATTCTTGTATGGTTCAGCATCTGACCAACGCCACTGGTACAGTTGTCCAACTGATGATACGGCTATCAATTCGCTATGAAGACAAGCAATATTTACGAATCTTGGCGCTGAATCGATGCGATCGTTCCACCATTCAAGCTCCTCCGAAATCCAAAGAGGACTTTGTGAGGCTAATTCTTTCTTTTTGATATCGGGGTCTTTTTCCCATGAGTCTTTTAATGCTGTCTCCAGCCAACGCTTTGGGCCGTAATATTGGCGGTCTCTCCAACGACTGAAGCTGTCCCTGTCGCGATCTCGCTCGGTGCTTCGTTCATTTTCTCGTTCGGAACCGAGTCTGCGAGACGAACTGCTACGACTGTTTGAGAAAAACCATTAATATAATTTGATCATTATAGAATATTCAAAAATGAAAAATTCATAACTTACTTTCTCATTCCAGGATATCCAAATACATCTTCAGAAAACATCGAATCTGCATCAATAATAACTGAATGTTCATTGCTAAATCCACCATCGAGGAGACTAATCAAATCTTCTGGTACATAACTGTCAGCTGCATCATCAGCATCGTCACCTTCTTCATCGTCTCTTGACAGTAAATTGTTCACGGCCAGATTTACATCGAGATTGGTCCTTTGCAACTCACGCATGATGAGATTGCGGCTTTTACCTTGTAGTACAACTTGAGCTTGTGCGATAAGGTCCTCAGGAACAAAAGGTGCAGCTACAGAAACTATTGGTCTGCCACTCGACCCACTTGCTCCCATAATAACACCTGGTGGTCCAATTCGACTGGTGCTATTATTTGCTGCTGCTGAATTACCTGTACCACTCCCAGTACCATTTCCACTAGCGCTACCACCACCAGTTCCGGTGCCAGAACCTGCTCCACCACCTGTTCCTCCACGTATAGCTGAACTGCTGCGCATTATTCGGGCTCTGGAACGCGATAGGGTGGCCCTGTTGCTGCTGGTACCAGTAGGGCCACTGTTGCTGTTGCTGTTTGCAGCAGTGCTACTGCTGGAGTTGGTACTGGCATTATTTCCACCAACATGTCCTTTGCCGGAGCTGTTTAAAAACCAATATTTTAATTACCTAATCCATCGAAATACAGAATTCATAAGAAAACTGACAACTTACTTTCTATTGGGCTCGCTTTTACGCAAGTCAAGTCTTTCAAATAAAACAGTATAACTAACTCTGCAAACTTTGTTATCATCTGTAAGAAATGCAACATGTGATGGCCCAACGACACATTTTTTGAGTGGTCCTTTGAGCCCATTTAAGGCAGGAATGGAATTATACCCATATCTGTTAACTTTATCTGAGACTTCTTTTAACCTACAAAATATAATAACAGCATGAATACAAAAGTTTCGCTAAGTTGCCTGTTAACAATAATAATTCCTTAACAATAATATTCCATATAGTTGCAGAAAGGCTCGTTTTTATCATTTTTATTAGTTACTGTTCTCTACATTTAATAAATCGAACAATGATTTCTATAAATGTTGAAAGTTAATAGTTAACAACAACGTTGTTCATAAATTTTCTAGTTTTATCGGTCATCCATAATAAATCCCCGTTATCAGGCGCGCAATGGCAATCGTCATTGTTGAAAAAAATCATAATCATCATCATCATCATCATCATCATCATCATCATCGTCGTCGTCGTCGTCGTTGTCGTCGCGATCACGCGTGTACCTAGAGGCGCATGACCGCATTGACAAACTCGACGGCGAAAAACGGTACAGTCATTAGTTATAACCTAATTAGAGAGAACCGCGAGAGGAGAGAAAAATTTCTCAATGAATGCGTGCAAAGAGCACAACTGTATTGTACCAGTAGGCCCACACACACTTTCGACGGATCTTTCTCCTAATACCCAAGGTGATCCCGTGGTACGTGCATTAACGAGTTTTCCGTTGGGTGCGAGCGGGCCCAATCACATATACACACACACCCGTAGCAGTTTTGCAAATGCGCGACCGCCGTCGACGATCGACGACGACGAGATAACGTCATCTACGAGTATTACGAATATAGAGGAGAAAACGCGTAACGGACACGAGACACGCATCGCAGCAGCTGCAAAAGAGATTATTATTTTATACCTGTCGTTCAGCTGCTCGTCCGTCCCTGGCAAGGGATGAACGACGAAGTGTACGTTGCTGCCGCTCATGTTGATGACGACGATGATCGACTCATGGAAAATCGCCGTCTACGAGGACAACACGCGCGCTTTTTATGTACGTTGTCGTCGCGGGTAGTCTCACCCGCTTTTTTTCGCTCTCTTTTTCTCTCTCTCTCTAATTCCTTCTTCCTCTGCCAAGTGTAGCAACTGACGCCTGTGGTTCTGCGCCGCGATGTGATTCCAGAGCACGACTGCCGTGGTGATACACACAGCTCATGCCCGCGGCAGCAGCACAGCACGCACGGACACACACACACACTGCTAATACGCACACACGAACGTAGCACGCAGAGCCGCCTGCTCCGAGCACAGCACGACGGATGTGGGTTATGTTGTTGATAAATATAATAGGAGCGCGGATTATTATTAAATTTTAATTTATTTAAACGCACTCGAGTCTCGAGATCTTTCTATGATGTATTCGGTCGTACGTTACGAAGGAATTCGGCAAAAAAAACAACGAAGAGAAGTGTAGCGATGCACTGAAAAAAAACAACAACAGAAAACGTATAAAATCGTCTTCGAGGTGCACCTTCTCTCTCTATCAGTCCCAACAACGGCACTCGCGCCGCCGCGCTACTGTACTTCGATAAAAATATAATTTTGTTTCGCGCACACCACACACGGTATTATCGCGTGAATCGCGAGGTTCGATTCTTAGTCCCACTCAATCTGCTGTAATAAGTCCAACGATCGATTCTCTCTGTCTAACTCTCTCGTCGACTTTGCGCGTGTGTGTGTGCAAAACTGGCTCCTTGGCACAACACAGCACAGCTATAACGATGACTATAACACACACTGCAAAAATCTCTCCCGACCAGGGGCGCCTCTCTCTTTCCGCCTCTGACTAATGTACTATAGGTGGTGTACAAGTTACGACCTGTGCTGGCTGTAGCTGTTATCGCTGAGTTTCAAGTTCCTTTGGCATGCACGACTCTCACGAGGAATTCACATCCTCATCATCGGCCATGTTTCTATCGTACCAACAAACACACTGCTGCTGTTGCTGCTTCGATGCGAAAACTCAAAGTGCATGTAAAAGAGAGAGAGAGAGACCATTCGTTCCGTCGTCCTCCCTCTGTGGCTCTGTATGCTCTCTTTTTCGCTCTTTGCTCGGACTAGCTGCGTCTCTCTCTTTCTCGCGTCTAGTGTAGTGTGTCTATCTTGTGCTAATACTCGCGTGGTTATTCCAACTGTGCTCCCTCTCCCCTCCACCAGCCGCAGCACTCGACGTGCTGTCTCGCTCGCGCACACGTGCTTGTGCCGCCGCGAAACACACAACATAGAATTCCAATTCCAAATGTGTATATGTGCAGGCGAATTTGCGCACTGGCAAAAGTCTATATTATCGAGTGAGTGAGAAAGAGACAGCCGACTGGTCTGATGCTAGCTGCAGATTTTGAGCGGAATGGAACGAGGCGCCATTTCGAACTGTGCTTCCCCGAGGGCGCTCGGTTAATATCAAAATAGTCAAAATGTTATAAAATAATCAGTTGACACATCGTGATAATAATATTTTCTAGAAAATTCCACAAAATAATATCGACGAACGAGTTGTGTTTTCATGAATTTGAATGGGACTTTAACTGGCCCGTAGTCATGGTGAAAGCTTTTTTAATGACCAGGATCGAATTTCCTTTTAGAAATAGTGATCATCGTGTGTCATTACGAAGCAATTTAACTTTGACATATCTCGGAAAACTCAAGTCATTGGATTTGGGTATTCACGCGTTCGACCAACTGCTGGCAACGCTGCTTTGACATTAAGAAAGAATCTTCCGAGTTCGGAGCAGCCGCTCGATCGAGGCCAACTTCGTCGCGCCAAAAACACATCTCTCTCTCTCTCTTTCTCTGCTGTATAAAACTGAATATTGACACGGAACGGAAGCTCGACACGGCGGTGGCGCGCGCACGCATCAAGAGAGAGAAAGAGAAAGACAGTGCAGACAATCTCGTCGTGTCGTTGCTTTTCTCCCATGCGCCTTGCCTGCGGTCGCTGCTGCTGCTACATCACTCGGAGGACTCTGTACCAACGACGGACCACGCGCTCCTCGCACACGCATTTATTTACCCACCGTAAAAACATATATACAGGATATCTGTATATACTAGTCCATATTACTTAGGCGGCACCTATATACGTAATCTCGATTTGTGTAAAGAGCGAGCCGTCTGCTGCTCGAGCGCACGCACGCACACAGTTCAGCTTTCGACCATAAGCAACCAACACAGCAGCAGTTTGGAGTTTTGTGGGTCTCTTGTAGAGAGAGAACGAATTTTCCTATAACTCGCGATATCGTATAAGAGGTAAGGCTTCTAACGGTTTTCTCTCTCTTTATCTCCGTGACTTATGCATTAGCTTTCTATTATAATTATGCGCGTTGATCTTTGATGGCTCGGCGTTCGCTCTTTTTTTTTCTTCTTCCGTCTGTAGTTATTTTTCACTTTGAATGTGTAACTTGAAAATTATCATGTCCCCGTTTACGTGTATTGTAGGCCGAGATGCACGATTGTCGCACGTGTAGTATCGCGTGTCCGTATTTAGTAGTATATACGGATGGTAACATGTGTATACGTTGAGAGCCCCCCGCGCGATCGAATGTTAACCTAATATAATCGTTCGTACCATCGGCTGTGTAGAAGAAATTTTTTTCACTCAGATATTGTGCTTGAAATTTTTTTTTGTTATTTTATCTAAACAAATTACTCTCTGTTGAAGATGGCCCGTGGACAACAGAAATTGCAATCCCAAGCCAAGGCTGCCGAGAAGGCCGCGAAAGCCAAGAAGCAGCAGGGCCACAGCGCCAACGAACAGAAGAAGGCAGCTCAGAAGGCCCTGGTCCATGTCTGCGCTGTCTGCAAGGTAGGGTGTTTTGGAACAAACAAGTCAAGCACCAAGTGTTGTTTATTCTTTTATTCAAAAAATGAATGTCTATAAAATATACTCGTTGTTCATTTCAGGCACAAATGCCAGACCCAAAGACTTACAAACAGCATTTTGAGAATAAGCATCCCAAAAACGACTTACCAGAGGATCTGAAGAATCTATGAAGCTAGCATTTCCAACACCAGTTCTTCGCAGAAGACAGCTGATGAGTGCTCCAACAATGTGACTAAGTGATTTTAGATTAAGGATTAAGAAAAATAGCTCATTGACTCTTTAAAAAGGAAATAATTATCAGAATCTTGTTATCGCACTTATAAAAAAAAGAGACACTTGTAAGCCAAAAAAAAACGATTAACTTTTTTTCATTATAAAAATGATCATGATCAACTCTTGTCCTCAATGCCTCAAACTATGTCTCTTTTTTTTTTAAATATAATAATTATTATATTATGGTGAGTACGTAGACAATTTGGTCACACTCTGAAATGAGAACTTTTCATTATTCATGTAGATAGTTAAATAGTAAATACATTTAATGTATGAAATTTTATATATTTGGTACGATATACACATTGATAGAAAGAAAATTCATTACTGTAAAATATCATCGATTTATATTGAGGGAACTGTAATTCTTTTTAAAAGTTTTTGTACAGACCAAGTTGTTGAGCTGATAGTAAATATATTACTTATTACGGATAATACATTAGTGTAAAGATAACAGCACAATACTGAACTAGATGTTGCTAGATTTATTGAAGCTTAAATTGTTGAAAATTTTTACCAGAGTTCTCATTTCAGAGTACGTAAAGACTTGAACTTTGCTTAATATATATATATACAACTTCAATCTCCTGTAATATTATTGCTACATTGATACTTATTACTCAATTGAGAATTTTCTGATGTAACGATATACATTTCTTGAAACTTTCACTCAAATAATGCACAAAATACTATCAATGTCAATAACTATACTTCAAGAGTTGTTTAGCATGAAAGATTAATAATAAAAAAAAAGAAAAAAATTGTGATACCGAATGATGCGCAGATGTATGTATCAATTATTGTACTGCCAAAATGTCGTTCAATCTGTGATTACTCACACGTCCTCTTCAACGAAATAATCGATATGTCACGAACGTTTTTTCTTTTTAAATATACCATCCACGAAGAAGAGCAGTACTTAAACGTTGAATTATATACTGTATATTCATTTTCTACTTCTGATGAATTGTCGTATTTCTTATTTTGTTGATGTAAATGGTAGAAGCGTAGAAAAAAAAAATTGAGAGAGAGACTTAAATCGACATGAGAATTATTTGTTAAACTGCAACTCGTCGAGTACACCCGATTACTCATTTGTTATAACCGAAGGTTTAGATGAAGTGTAAGCGATTTACATTGAAAAAAAAAACCATAACATGAAAAATTGTGTATCTTGTGCTACTTATATTAATAATTACAGTATTTTACACCGTAAAACGAACCAAAACGAGTGTGTGTCAATCTTCCCTTTTATTCAGATCTTCCCACTCTCCGCTCCCTTTCAGCTGCTCGGCTCGAATGCGACTAATCAATTTTTTTTTTTTGGGAATCTATATATCTCACGCGAGCTTATCAGATCTTCCGATACACAATACAATAACTCTATATCTCCAGAAATGTCACAATGTATTCGAGGTGCTCGACCTCTGATTATTATTGATTAAGAAATTTCAGCTGCAGCCAAAATATACGAGAGCCCTATTGTGTGTCGCAACCCGGAGAGTATATAAAGATCGGCATCGCGAACCATTGGACGTCAGTCGAATTTTGAAAATCGTTCGTGCACCATCGAAGAGTCAAAATGTACAAGTTCATCCTTCTCCTCGTCGCCCTCTGCGCCGTATACTCGGTAAGTTTATTATAACGATAATTAATTCTTTTTCTCTCTCTACGAAATCTTTTAACGATCGATCTGTGCACTTACTCATAGGCCACAGCAGTTCCCAGAGACGTGGAAAACGTCGTCAGCAGCAGCGACGCCTCCACTCAAACGGAAAGCGAGACCGAGGAGCCTGCCGATGCGTCGCTGGTGCTCCAACCGGCTCCGCTGAGTCTCGGCCAGAGGATCGACCGTCTGCGCAAGGGCGCCAAGTATACCAAGCAGGAGCAGATGGCCATGCTGAAGGAGGCCCTCCTGTCGGTGGTCGACGCCAACAAGAAGAAGATCGCCGCCACCATGGCCGCGGCCAAGACCGGCGTCGACATCGTTCTCATGCTGCCCAAGTTCGGCAAGAACATCCTCGCCCAGACCCAGAATCATACCGCTAGTCTGCTGTAAAAATTATCGTGTATAGTTCTTTCGTCGTTTAAGCCATATAGTTGTACTTTTGTAAAAAAAGAAAAAAGAAAAAAGAAATGTTCACTGTTGAATAAAAATATAGTAAAGAATTGACAAAAAGAAACAACGATTTTAATTCTTATTACTCATCAAGAATAGTCACGCTAAGACGTTATTGCGTGAGATTAATATAATATATTCTTCGATTTTCCAATAGAGGCACAGGAAAAAAAAAACCTGTATAATAAATAAATTTTGAATAATCAGCTGTTCGTGTGTGAATCGCGCGCGGAGAACCGGCTTACCGGCCGCGTCGATCGCGCTCGACTCTTCTTTAAACGCACACGTGCCGCAAAATCCGGATGACGCCGGTCGCTGCATGAGATTTCATCATTCCGAACGTTGCACTTGATACAAGAAAGTATATAAAAAGTTCGATCGCAATTGAAGTATGGAAAAAAGACGTAGACGTTTGTAAATAATGAAAAAATCTATTAACGTACACAAAGTATTTGAAACTGTTGACAAAAGTTACGTCATTTTTTATATACATTATATTTGTACATATAATTGTCGATCGACGTGGGGTCTATCTTTCTCTCTCTCTCTCTCTTCATTCAGACGTTATATCATCTTCGATATACAGTAAATAGGATGACGGAGCGAGAAAAAAAAAGTCATTTTCACGCGCGATATCGAGTACAACAATACGTGAGCTCCAGCTCGCGCACTTCGCAATAGCTCAATAGTTAATAATCGCGCATGTAGTACGTACGTGCAATTACATGTCGCGAGCGAATTACGATCTGGCCCGTTTAACGTCACATATAGACTATTTTTTTTTTTTTTTCGATTCGATGCTGAAAAATCGCGTCCGTTATTGTACTCTCGTCGCTCGTTGCCGCTTGTGCCGTCGAGAGACTAACGCAGCACAGCATAGCAGACTCGATCTGCACGAGGCCGCGTGTGTGGCTTTTTAATACACATATTAGTGCGCGCGGATATTATTGTGTGCGTGTGGGGACCGCGACGTTCGCTATAAAACTGTTCGATCTTCCGAAACTTGCGTCAGTTTCGTCTCTGAACTCTGAGATCTCAGCAGCAGCAGCAGCACCACCACCAGTAGTAGTACCCAACAGTAGCGCAGCTGTTGTTTTGTATAGATACCCAGAGCTGTTTTTTTCCATTTGGAGGTAGACACACACACGGTTTACATTTAAATTAAACAGTGAGTACCAAGCCACGATTCTTTAACTCCGTCAATTCCTTTTTTATGTGAAATCTATGTATTGTACTCGATCTGTCTAGAAAAAAAAGTTTACATCTATTATTGTACGGCCCATTGTTATACGTGTCATCGAATGCGATTTGTTATTTTCGGCCTCGAAATACATCGATAAGATATTATTGTCATGTATTGTATGGTAGTGCAATGGTGTCGATTTAAACTGTCTTATCGATATACATCGTTGTTTTTTTCAAAACTACCGTGTGTGCACCGTTACGAAATGTGAATTTCGTACGGGTTCATCGATCGGGATTAACCTTTTTTTGATCTTCCTAATAAAGAATATTCCATGGATTCAGATAAGTAAAAAAAACAGTAAAAAGTAAAAATGTAAAAAATCCCACGTGCTGGAAATTTTCTTGCGCGCGTCGATCGTTGTGTATCCCCCAAAAACAAACTTAAAAAATGATGCAACGTGCGATCTCTGTTAAAGCATCATCGTAATCTGTTTAAAATATGCTCATCTCGTGTAAAATTCATGATTTTTCATAAAAAAAGCATCATCATGGAAACGACGGCGAACTCGACGACGCGCGAGGTGTTCCACACTCGTTCGCTGGGCACGGCGGCGGCCGGCGTCAAGGACCAGTACGCCGACGGGATCGCCGCCAAGGTCTGGGAGGTCTTCATCGGCGATCGCAAGCAGCGCAAGCAGAACTACAAGGACTTCCTCGTGAGTCTGCTGCGTAACAAGGGGGTGCGTCGCGTGCTCGACGTGGCCTGCGGCACCGGGGTCGACTCCATCATGCTGCTCGAGGAGGGCTTCGAGGTGGTGAGCGTCGACGCCTCGGACAAGATGCTGAAGCACGCCCTGAAGACCAGGTGGGAGAGGCGCAAGGAGAAGTCCTTCGACGAGTGGAGTAAGTGCATCGCTGTTTCTTGTCCGCGTTGTGGGAAAATCCGCATCGAACTCGATAAAATAATATAATATCTCACTCTCGTTAACTGGTAAACGCCGATTCGGTTGCGCAATTGCCCCCTTCGCGCGTGCATATTAAGTACAATAATAATAATGATATCGATATAACGATGCGTCGAACGGTCCACACGAGCCGATGATAAGGCGCTTCTCGCTCGCGCGCGCAATGTTGCACGATTAATCGTGAATCGCTCTTATTTTTTCATTTTTTTTCAAGTTCTTTTTTCCTTCAAAACCTTTCCTCGCTATATTATGTACTGTCAAGAGTTTATCTCATGCACGACGCTCGCGAGAGAATATTAAGACACATGCGCGAAAACACACTCGTCTCTTATCGAATGCGCGATATTACATGGACTCGAGCAATCGTACATATAATAACGTAATTATAGATTGGGGCCGATAAACGACAAAAATTGTGCATTTCCTCGTTTCGTTTACAATTGTACGTTTATAAATCAATCTTGAGATATTCGTATTCGAGTGCGCTCGAACTTCATCGAGTCGAGCCTCGTAGTTTTCCGGATCCGACCAGTGCGATCCAAACGTATCGTTTAATGTAATTACATTTCACTCTCTTGGAAAAAAAAAGAATCGATAAACTACGCGCGATTATAAATTACGAATCCGAGATAACAGCTCGATCTCCGAAAACACGTGCGTTGACAAAAGCATGTAATAATAATGTACAATGCAAAATTGAATGAATCCGGAATGTAATATTACGATATCATCGAGTTTTCTGCGGATCGTTCTAGATATGTATTCCCAGCTCTTGAGTTTATAATGAATTAGCCGAAGCTCGTCCGGTTCGAGTGCAACGAGATAAATCTAATTATACGCGCTCGAGCTCGTTAATTCGACGCGCACGATAATATTTATGTTTTTTGTTTTTTAACCCTCCTCTCGTTTGTTGTTGCAGTTATCGAGGAGGCCAATTGGCTGACGCTGTCGGACGACATAAGCGGCTTGATCGGCGACGGCTTCGACGCCGTGATATGTCTAGGCAACAGTTTCGCCCACATGCTGGACTCTTACGGCGATCAGCGCGAGCAGAGGTGCGTTTGTTTATTCGGGGAGTTTTTCTAGTCAGGGTTGTAAAATTCAATTGTAAAAAAATCCACAAATTTGATATCTCTGGTATTGCAAGTAGCTTAAAGTGGACTTCAACACTTATAGCTTCTTTTGAGCTCTTTGTGCTGTAAGTCAATTAAATTTTTACAACCCTGTTTTCTATTAATGGCGAAAGAATATTAAAAAAATAAATGAATGTAAAACTATGTAATCTTTTTTTTTACACAGACAAGCTCTGTCGAATTTCGAGCGCTGCGTCAAGCCCGGCGGTCTCTTGCTGATAGACCACCGAAATTACGACTACGTTATTGAGACTGGTCAATGCCCCACACAGTGCATTTATTACAACGTAAGTATATCGGCGTGTTTTATCTCTATCTCTCGCGTGATTGCAACAATCGCGCAAGCTATAAACAATTTTATCAATCGACTTTTTATCGAAAATTTTTTTTAATCATCGTCGTTTCTCTCTGCACACAGAGTAAACACCTCCAGAGCATCGTGACGTCGGTCCTGTACACGGCGGGCGCCCCGGCCCTCGTCACCCTCGACTACAAGATCAGCCTGAACGGCGTCGACAGGCGCGACAGCCCCAAGAAGCATCAGCAGCAGGACCAAGTGAGCCAGTTCAGGCTGTCGTATTATCCGCACAAGCTCGAGGTGTTCTCGGCCTTCCTCAAGGCCGCCTTTCACAATCGCGCCAAGCACACGATCTTCGCCGACTTCAAGCCCCTGGAGCAGGCCAAGGACCCGGGCTTCTACATACACGTGCTGGAGAAGGCCAAGACGAAATGATAATTTTTTTTAAGACGTTGATAATTTTAAGCGACAAAACAAAAATTAGTTTATTTATAAATACTTCGTAATTTACTCGCACTATGGATTACGTCGTTCGCATACGTAATATAATATATATTTCTCTCTCTTATCGTGCGGATCCTTGAACCGAGTTATTGTTATTTGTTGCGCTGTACAGGATTCGGGTTGTGAGATGCAAACATATTTTGTACGATATATTTTATATAGATATATACAAATAAAACAAAGCAAAAAACTAGTTTTTCAATAATTACCGATGTCTTGTGTGTGTGTGTATTATAGAACTTTTAGCCTGACATTTCCCGCTATTTTCCGGTTTCGAGTCTGCCCTGCGGCAGATTGACGTGTGTGCGTGGTGGAGATAACATCGCGACGAGGATGAGATTTATTTTCTCGATAAAAAAAAAAAAACTCTACCAGCGATAGAGAGGGAGGAAAAAAAGCCCCCGAGATATGAATAATTGAGATTCATCGCGAGTGGGGTCACGTGCCGCGCGGAGCTCCGAATCGATCGAATTTTTCAGTGAATTTAATATATATTTTTTTGTCTTCGTTATCAGACGCGAGCTGAAAAACGATGAAAAGTCGTTGTGGTGCTTTACGCGGGTCTGTGTGTGTGTTTATTGTTGGAAAAAATATTGCCTCATTTTGCATGATTTACTTCGTTTCGCGCAAATAAACGCGATTCGTAAATATATAAAATTTCACGTTAATCGCGCCGATAAAAGCTGCGCGTCGAAGGATGATTAGCGATAAAGATTTTCACGGAAAATAAATATGAGAGAGCCCCGCGATCGCAACTTAATGGATTGACTGCACTTTTTTCCCCTCTCCCTCTTTCTCTATCACTATTTCGCTAATGAGATGTTGTAAAAACAATAATTCTCGCTTTTATGAAAATTTTTTGAGTCTGCGTGATCCCGAAAGATCACGCATTATATATATGAAGCTGGACTCGAGGTTAGGGCAATTGACTTCTTTTGTATTGTGCGTTATTCAAAAATTTAAAACTTTATGTGCAGCAGCTTATTAAAGTTGCTGGTTGTGTCAAAAAATCGTCGGGCCAAAATTGTGTGATGATGCCTGTGCCTTGTTCTTACTGTGTTTTGCTCTATTTGGTTTTATGTTATGTTATTATGCCTACTTTATGTTATCATTTTTTGTTATATTTGGTTATACACTGTTGTACTGAGAAAGTGACAGTATCTCTAGGACAATACGGCATCATGATAATAGTTGTTTCAGCCGTATGAAATTAATAATAGTAGCTTCAATGAGTATCATAATAAATCAATGTTACAATGAGTTTTTTGTGTCAGCTAATTTGGTAAAGCCGTTAAGATTATTATTGGTATAATTGGAAGTAGAACACAAAAATAAGGCGTATTTTTTTGTTTGATGTTCCCTGCATGTACATTAGTATAGGTATATATGAATACAGGTTTTCGTAATTCGCACGTACGAAATAGATTTCACTTATCGATGTTTTGTGCTCAGCGTGTATTGACAACGTTGCGACCAAAGGAATTTGCATATGGCATGCCAACACATATAGAGCTGTATGTACGCGTTAAGCTGGCCCGGTGTGCCCACGTGACAAATTATATAGATATGGCCAAAAAATTTTTTTTTCTGCAAATATGAAAAACTTGCTGTTTCCGATGTCAGAAATGTCCCCAAATTTTATTAGAATTTTTGGGACCATCTATCACTCTTTTTCAGGGGCCCGAAGTTGGCCATTTTAGGGTTTTTTTGAAATTCATGAAAAATCACAAATATTAAAATAATTCCTGGATTAAAGTAGAATGATTCAAAAGTAAAAGTGCCCAGCAACTTTTTTGTTGGAAATTGTCCAAATTTTCAGAAAAAAAATATGCCAAAGTGATTGGAACAATCTAGGTAAATGTAAAGCAAAAAAACTAAAAAAAAAACATAAAACAAGAAATCTACTCGAGTTCGAACCGGACTTTCATTTCCTAAACTATGTAAAAAGCTTCCCAAAGATGTCAACTAATGCCTGATAAAGTTTTGTAATGGGTCTTAAAGTTTAACGCAATGTAGACAACAATGTATGGCGAAAAACATGCAAAAAAGGGCTGAAAATGGCTGTTTTTGGTGATTTTAGGCATTTTGGGCCTATTTTTGACCTTTTTTGCATGTTTTTCGCCACACATTGTTGTCTACATTGCGTTAAACTTTAAGACCCATTACAAAACTTTATCAGGCAGTAGTTGACATCTTTGGGAAGCTTTTTACATAGTTTAGGAAATGAAAGTCCGGTTCGAACTCGATTAGATTTCATCATTTATGTCCCTTTGGCAGTTTTTTTGCTTTACACTTACCTAGATTGTTCCAATCACTTTGGCATATTTTTTTTCTGAAAATTTGGACAATTTCCAACAAAAAAGTTGCTGGGCACTTTTACTTTTGAATCATTCTACTTTAATCCAGGAATTATTTGAATATTTGTGATTTTTCATGAATTTTAAAAAAACCCTAAAATGGCCAACTTCGGGCCCCTGAAAAAGAGTGATAGATGGTCCCAAAAATTCTAATAAAATTTGGGGACATTTCTGACATCGGAAACAGCAAGTTTTTCATATTTGCAGAAAAAAAAATTTTTTGGCCATTCGATTTCACAGAGAATCGGCCATATATATATTTGACTACATGAATAATCATGCATATTTATCACACATAGATTACATAGATTTACGATATTCGCTCGTTGTGTAAAAATGGTAAATGATATAGATGCGTTAACTTTGTTTCATATTTTGCGCGTCGAAAAAAATTATGCGAAAAGAAGTATAGGACACATCATAAGCTCGATTCATGAAGTGTTCAATAATTTATAATTTCTTTGTAATAAGATAAAATTCAAAGAAAATAGCTAATTGTTTATTACGAGATCGATAGAATAATTTCTCCAATAATAAATGATAAGTTTAGAGTGTCTCTGTTGACATAAATTTTCTCAAACTTTCATTTAACGATTTGTAAATATTATTATACTTATGTTACCTAGCTCGATGTGTAACATCATTACAAAACAATTAGTCGTTGATCAAGTTTCGAGTGATAAACATGGACTTCAGTGATGTATATAACTCTGATGTCAGGTAATTTTTGTTTCGTGAGAATAAAATTTAAAAAAAAATGGCATAATACTTTATATTATTGGGAATATTGCAGAGTGAAGATGGAACCAGATGATGTTTCTCCAATTAAAAATGAAGATTATAAGATAATTGACAATGCATGCGATGCTAAAAACGACGAATTCTCGAGTTTTTGTCGAGAAAATTTAGTAAGTGTTGATGTGGGACTGTTTAGTCAATATTTTGATCAAGTATATTTACTAATCTCATTTCCAGATTTATGGACTTCGTGAAAATGATAAAAATTCTGGACCTAATAACGATTTGGAAATAGAATTCGAATGTAAGGACGAAAAGCTCGGCATTCACTTATTAGTAGTCAAGAAAATCGAGGACGATTATCCAGATCAATGGCAGTCTAAGAAAAATAGTTGCGATTATCAGACTCAAAAGAAAATTAAAGAAGAAATGGTCGACGAAGTAAAAGAGGAATTGAATTTGGATGGTGAACTCAGTGATGCATTTGATGCAAATGAAAAAACATTTGCTCAAAATAGTCAACGCAAAACCCAAACTGATAAGGCACGCAATCGTACCAAATATCCATGTAATATATGCGGTAAAAAATTTGCACGAAAAGGTTATCTCAAGGTCCACATCGATTCAGTACATAATGGTGTTAAACATGAGTGTGGTGTATGTGGAAAGATATTCGCACACAAAGGACATCTCAAAATTCACATCGATGCGATGCATAATGGTATGGCACCTACTTGCGAAGTATGCGGGAAGAAATTCGTAACTGAAGCTGCACTCAAGACTCACATCGAAGCACACAATGGTGTTGAACATCCATGTAATATATGCGGTAAAAAATTTGCACGAAAAGGTTATCTCAAGGTCCACATCGATTCAGTACATAATGGTGTTAAACATGCGTGTGGTGTATGTGGAAAGTCTTTCCCACAAAAATGTTATCTCAAAATTCACATCGATGCGATGCATAATGGTATGGCACCTAAATGCAAAATATGTGAAAAGACATTCACACGAAAAGGAGATCTAAAGAGGCATATCGAGGGGCATAATGGTGTTAGACATGCGTGTGGTATATGTGAAAAGACATTCGCACATAAAGGACATCTCAAAAGTCACATCGATGCGATGCATAAAGGTATGGCCCCTACTTGCGAAGTATGCGGAAAGAAATTTCAAACGAAGGATACACTCAAGATCCATATCGATGGAGTACATAATGGTGTTAAACATCCATGTAATATATGCGGTCAAAAATTTTCACGAAAAGGTAATCTCAAGGTCCACATCGATGGAGTTCATAATGGTGTTAAGCATACGTGTGTTACATGTGGAAAAACATTCACACAAAAAGGAATACTCAAAATTCATATCAATGCGATGCATAATGGTATGGCACCTACTTGCGAAATATGCGGAAAGACATTCACACAAAAATGTTCCCTCAAAATTCACATCGATGCGATGCATAATGGCACCAACATGCGCAGTGTGCAGAAAGAAATTTCAAACGAAGGCTAAACTCAAGATTCACATCAATTCAGTACATAATGGTGTTAAACATGCGTGTAGTATATGTGGAAAGACATTCACACAAAAATTTTATCTCAAGTTTCACATCGATGCGATGCATAAAGGTATGACACCTACTTGCGAAGTGTACGGAAAGACATTCACACTAAAGGGTAATCTTAAAAAACACATGAATTTGATGCATAATAAGACCACTTATTGTAATAAGTGCGGCAAGACATTTTCTCAAAAGGATCGTCTTATAAGTCACATTAAAGCGCAGCACGAAGACATTGATCACGCTTGTGTTTTATGAGGAAAAAAATTTAAACATAGAAAATATTTATGCAGACACGTCAAAAGTGTGCATGAAGGCAATACCCAAGCACGAGAACAATACAAATGATCTTAAAACGTACCTATCAATACCGCGCCAAATGATGAAATATCGAGACAAATAAATAAATTAACAAATCATAAATTAACATATACTTATTTATTATCATATAATAAATAAACATATCATAAATTTTTACTCAGTAGTGATACTCAAAACACGACATATATTATAATTGTCATCGGTACAATGTTAACTGAAACACGACATATAATATACTTATCATAAGTACAATGTTAAATACCGATACACAAGTAAGACTGATCGCAAACAAAAATAACGTTTTTTCGAAGTGGAGATGTGCCGCGAGGTGCAAAACTCAAAATTGCATAAAAAGGCATTTTTTGTATATTAGGATATACGGATGTCGCTAAAAAAGTATACAGCACTCCATCAGCACCAAAACAATGCTATGTAAAATTTTCAGATTGATTGGTTTATCCCTGCATGAGTTATCGCAGTTAGAGTAAAACATCGAAAATTAGCAATATCGAATGTGTACGACTTTGCTGCGCTCAGCATCAATTATTAAATCAAATCAAACTGAACTCCAAGAGAAAAAATTTCTAGTCTTACTTGCGCAATTATGCTTCTTGTATCATTATTTGTATCATTATTTTTACGTTGCCACTTGCAGATTTGCAGTTTAAGATATTCGCCACCTTAAGGTAGAAACTGACTTTAATTACAATTGAATTTTTATACATTTTTTGTAAAATTCATGCAAAAACAAATCAGTATTGGAAAAATAATTTTGAACCAAAATTTCTATATCCGAGCATGAATTTAAATATCTTCCTTTCATTTTGTGTTAAAAATAATGCATGCGTGATTGCATTATCATGAATTTTTTATGCAGTTTCTGCTGTGTGAAAAATAAATCTGTTCTGATAAATGGATTATCAACAAATGTATTATAAAAAAGTTTATCATTAATAACATTCAATAATTTTAATCTGCATTTAATTAACGGTTTTTTTAACGGTGCGTTCTATACTAACCGGTACATAGCCGGATTTTGTATTACTTACAAGGAGAGCCTTTCATCTGCGGGTCACAGACCCTTACCTAACTTGTTGAGGGATCTTCTTGTACATAATAATGAAGCCTCCGATGGTTATTTTATTCCAATAGGCCCTGGAAACTACTATAAAGCACCATAAAGTACATAATATAATATAATGTTTAAAATACTATATGTTAGCGTATAATAATATCAAGTTTACACAGTCAAGTCTAACTTATTGAGAAGTATTTATACTTTGAGTTTTTAATGTCCAAAGCACCTTTTCAATCAACAATCAATTTAACTCAATTGGTTTACTGAAATTCTCAAAGAGCGAATCAATTCCAGCTAAAATGTATCAACTAATATTTATATTAAATCATGTAAAAATGTTTTCATTTATAAAACTTACTGTTCTTTCTTTATCACCTATTTCTGGCTCTCAAAACATACGTAAATTCACTCCAGGTGAGTGTCAGGAATAGGTGAAGAGAAGGGATATATGAGTTATACAAATAAAAAACATTTTCATATAATTTACATCAATATTTATTGTTTGGTACGTTAATTTTAGCTCAAATTGGTGCGCTCTTTAAAACTTACACAACAAACCAATTGAGTTCAATTGTTTATTGTTTGAAAAAGTGTTTAGAATCCATAAAAGTTCATGTACAAATATTTTTGAGACAGTTAGACTTGACCGTACAAGGCCTGATACCAATAAGTGGTATTTTATACATTATATTATATTATATTATATATACTTTATGGTGCTTTATAATGGTTTCCAGGGCCCATTGGAATAAAGTAACCATAGGGGGCTTCATTATTATGTACAAGAAGACCCCCAAACAAGTTTGGCAAGGATCTGTGACCCGCAGATGAAAGGCTCTCCTTGTTAGAAATACTTACGGAATTTCGATTTATGACAAAATCCATTAGAATTTTTATTCTATAAAATTTTTGGTGCTCTTTGAGGCCAGATATAATTTAAAAATTGTATAACTTTGATCGGTAAAATTTAAATGTATCAATGAGGTTTATAACAATATAATAATCATTCCAATCAGCGTATTAAAGGGATACAAAAAACAGTCCTATTCGGATTCAAGTGTCAATGACCGATTAGAAATATAATTTGACTCTCGTCGCGACGTGACCTTGTGCCTACTTATTACTGCAACCGATTACACCTGAAGATCTTATTGAATGATTTTGTATGTGTTTGAATGTAAACATAGATAACGTCATCGAACATGCTACTAGAATTTTCGTTACGATGGTTTTTCCCTCGTCGTTTCATTCTCGAAACAATTATGTTTGTTCAAGGTGTAATAGGATTTTGTCATCGACCGGTTATCGCGTTTCTATTAGAAAAACAAAAATAAGCCACTCGGGAATCGATCGATGCACCTGCGCCGCAGATGTATGTGTCAATTCCAATTATATTTACGCCTTGTGTTAGATCATAATCTAGAAAACATAGAAATTTCGAAAATAATAGAAACGATGTTATAGAAAGCGAGCGAAGAAATTATTATGTCAACGTATAGACCATCACTGGGACTGGTATAAAAAGTCCGGGCAGAAAGTTCAAAGCCATCAGTTCGATCATAGATACGCGCGCTACTACACACCATATCAAAATGCTGAAGCACATCTTCGTCCTACTGGCCGTGGCCGCTCTCTCCATGGTAGGACAATCAAAAAAATTACTCTCAAATTTAGTTAATAATTGAATATTAACGTTTATTTAAACTCAGTTTTTGTTATAAGAATTATAAAGTTAGCCTTTGCGTTTAGCCCAGTCATCGGTATGTCGTCCTAGTGGTCGAAACACCCTGACGAAAATAAAACGTCCTAAAGAATTAAATTGTTTTATATTCAATTCAATCAGAATTCAGATTTAATTAATAATTGATTTTTTATTTCTTAATTAAATATTAGTTGGATTTAATTGAACAATTGGATCAAACTTTTAATGAAATTTAGCTCAATTATTAATTAAACTTTGTTTAATAGAGAATTAAAAATTAACATTATATTACATTTATATCTCTGCCGACGATTGTTTTACTAAAATATAATTTTTTCGTTTTGCAGAGCGTGATCGCCGCTCCACCCCAAGCATCCAGCAGCAGCAGCACGACCCAGGCGAGCACCACCGGTGCCGCCGCCGCCGACGAGACGACGATCGTCCCAACGGAAACGTCGTCCACCGAAGGTCCGGAGTCCGTCGAATCCGAGATCCTCGGCCTGGCCGAGATCCTGTCCGGGGCCGCGAGCGTGACCTTGCAGCAGGAGCGCGAGTCCATCCAGCGGGCCATCAAGTACCTGCAGGACGCGCTGCGCTCGAGCATGAAGGCCACGAGGAACGTCATCCGCGCGGGTGGCAATTTTCTCGTCATCGTGCCCAAGTGGGGCTACAACACCATCCTCAACAAGGAGCCGATCCACAAGCGTCCCTGGTATGAGCGTCTCTCGGAGTCGGACTCGGGACCCAATCCCATTACCGTAGCCGCTATCACAGCCGCCGCCGCCGAAGCCGAGAGACTAGAGGCCCAACTCGCTGCTGCCGCTGCAGCCACTGCCGCTGCCGCCGGAAACGCGTCGGCTTCGGCCGCTGTCGATGTCTCCGTTGCAGGATCCGTTGAAGGATCCGCTGGTGCCGCCGCTGGTGGCAGTGCTTCCGTCGGTGTCGGTTCCGTCGGCGTGTCCGTCGGTGGCTCGGCTGCCGTCAGACCGACCGGCTCGAGCACCAGGAAGTACGACTTTCTGTACCACGACTGAAACTTAAGCCTGTAATCTCGTATTTTTAAGTGCACACAGTATATGTTAATTAATTTTGTAAGTTCGTTTTTGTAAATAAATTATTTTTTGCCACATGCAAAATCTTTGGTATTTCGTTATTTTATATCCAGGGTTGCGAATTGAAAAAATTATTTAATTAACCTAGTGATTAAAAATAGATGTTCATTTATCAATTCAAGTAATTTGAATCGATGAGGTAAATTTAAATCAATTTTAAAACGCAAATAATTTTAGTTATTCAATATTAACTAAACATTGAGAATAAATTAAGATGTGAAAATTAATTCAATTGATTTCAATTGATATTTGAACATCAATTAAAAGTATTTACCATTTAAAATGTATTTAGTTGATTCTCAAGTAACAATTAATAGTATTAATTATTGAAATTCATTCAAATGTTTTTCAAGTTTTAATAATCCTTGATAAAAAAAAACTAAAATTTTCAATTCTATTTATCAATTCAAATCGATTTCACTTGATGAATACTTAATATTTATTATTTAAAAATAAATTGAAAAAAAAATTAAAAACACAAATTAATTGTTTAATTATTTTTTTATTCAAACTCTGATTAATAATGTATAGAAGAAAAATCAATAAACCATGATTTTTTTTTTAATATTTCTTTATTTTTTAAATACTCCTTTCATTTTTCTGGTAGCATATGAAAATTATCGACATATTAACGATCAGTGTTGTGAACAGAGAATTATAGAAGAAAGTTTCATTTATAATCTCCCCCTGCACGAGAGGATGATGATAATCGCAAACACCACTTTGACGCACGTACATTACTTTTTTTTCATCATTTATTTACCTATTTTTAGTTTTTTTGTCGTTTTGTTTACTCGAAGAGATGTTTTACACATTCGAAATTTTTTTTCTCATTGTAAAGATGCCGTGTATGATTTATTTGAAATAAATTTAAGTATTTACACATGTTCACGAGTTTATGCGATTGCTTTTTTATTGCCTCCAACCATCATCGGTATCTATTTTAATTATTTTTTTTTGTTTAATGTTTCTCCTCTGTCTCAGAAAATACGGTAAAATTTTTTTTCACAATAGTATAGAGCTTAGAAATAGACGTGTTCTTTGTTTATTTTTTTTATCATACACAATAAAAATAGATGGTTTGAATGCCTCGAGGCTCTCTTATGTCAATTTGCGATTCAGTGCCAAGCATTTGTTTTAATTATTTTTTTTTGTTCGATAGCCTTTTTTTTGGGGAGAAAAAAATTTTCAGCAGAAGTTGGCTCGTTATAGTTCAAACGTTTCGTCGTCCGTTTTATCATTATCATTATTATTTTTTTTTTCAATATATTTATATTTATATGTATAATTAGTTCCTACGATAGAGCCTGCTATATCGTATTTGGCTATACTAAAATCTTACTCGATCTGTAACACTTTTTTTTCTTTATTTAAATTGCGTCGCGTACTTTCCAAGATAAATCAATTCTTCTATTCGCCCCTCCCGAGAAATTCCAAAAAGAAAATCATATCGTTACATCGTTACACTCTTGCGCTCTGATTTATTTTAGAAGCTGAGCTATTCATTTCGTATGTTGTGCATTAGGCAATTCCGTGAGAGAAATTTGACAAAAATTTTCTTTTTTTTTCAATGATTTGGTCTTGCGAACTCAAAATGGCAAGTATATTTTTAATTAAGTGATTTCAGGCGATTGTACGTAGTTTTTTTTGTAAGTGCTTTTTTACTTCAACGATTCAACTTTCTTCCTTAAGAAAAACAAAAAACTTAAATAATACGACTATGGTACGGGTACGATTCGAAAATTAATATTTCTAACGAAGAGCATAATTCGGTATTAAGATTTTTTTTATTTGTCGAACTATATTGCTTGATATACTTTCGATCGTTTTAACCAGCGAGTAATAGATTTCAATATAACCAACATTTGACGATCGTACACCAGACGATCCTTACTTATTTTCTCTCTCGACGACAAAAAAAAACCCTGTCGGTGTAAATATTACATCTAATGAACAGTGGTTTTTGTTTTTTTTTTTTTTTTGCTTTTCGTTAGGTACACCAATGTATAACAGCAGATAAAATTTTCTCAGACGATCGCTTCGAGCTAACAATTGTGAAACATAACAAAGCGGATTAATTAAAAACACAAGTATTTTAAAATTCAACGAAATTATCCGACTATATAGCTTTTATTTTTTTGTAATACGCATCGCACGTTACAACTCACACTCGCACACATCGTATAATCGCAATCGCACTTCTAAACAATTCATTTTTTTTCTTATAATTCGTCGTATGCATTTTAGTGAATAATATATACATCTTTTTCTTCATTTCCTTTTTTATTTTTGGTTTAATTACAATATTATGTACATCTAGTATTGCTGCTTTGGCAACCCCCGTTAATTTGTTTCGGCGCCGCGCGACTGGTCGGCGGGGGTTCGTTTTAAATATTTTTTTTTGTATTTTATCATTTTCTCCTATTCGTGTGTTTTTATAGCATGATTTTTCTTCGGCTTAGGTCCTGTATATCAAATAAACTTTGTCGAATGTGGATCAAATCATATAAATTCGAGAAGTGTTAAGGACAATCGGTCTCTATTCGAAACGTATACTCAAACATCGAAAAAAAAATATTACAGAATTTTCCTCTTTCGCTGTAATGGTGCTGAATAAACCATACGAACGCTCATACAAACATCGGGAAGATTGCAAGTACTTTATAAACATGTTTTTTTTTCAAGCAGGTCTATTCGTCAAAAAGTGTTTAATATTTACAATTATGCCTATTGACGATTGAATTGTTTTTTATTACGTTCACTGGCTTGGCAGTATTTATTATAATAGATGATATATTTTCATGAAACAACTTATGCCATTTATAATAAGAGACAAGCGTATTCAAACGAAACTGTTTTTTTACTTGTTTTCTTTTTTGATTGATTGAATCGTTTTGATCGCTCGTAAATATAAATTATGGTCGATTGATAAAATGTCTTTTTCTTTTGTTAATTAGGCCTACTTAAAAATTACAAAAAGATATAGCAACGATTTGCTTCATGAGCGAGTTGTGCTGAATTATTGAAACTTAACAAAAATTCAAAAAGCGTATAATCGTACGCGCTCGCACTATTTTTCTTACTTTATTTAATTATGTTATTTTTTGTTTTGTTTAATGATAGTATAGAAACTTTATCTATAGAAATTTACAAATTTGTTTTTTGTCGTATATCATTCCACGCTTGTACCATTGAAAATTTTTCGTATCGATCTACGTGTATGGTGAATTTTTTTTTTGGTTTCCATCCACTCGTCTCAACGCAAGTCGATTTGGTTTTCGTCGGTGATTTTTTTATTTGACTTTTGCCTATCGAACACATACAGAATTATGCGAAGCACGATACGCGTTTTTGAATATAATTTTTCACCTATTAATCTATGCTTTTAACTTTTTTTATATCTGTCAAGTCCCAACATACTTTATTATACATTTTGTTGTTCGTGTGGTTGTTGTTCTTTTTTTTTTTCATATATTCCTACATCTTGTAATATTCACCTCGTCTTAAATTATCATTACAATTATTATTATTCAAGTGTAAAAAATGAACGAGAATACTTTCTTCATTATTTTTTTTGTTCATACAGTTATATAGCTTTTTACATCAGTCGCTCGACAGTAACGAGACTTTTACAATAATTTTTCGAATCTTACAAGCAATCCTCTGTAAAGACAGTATAATATACGTATTAATAATTGTTTTTCTAACTATAATTATTTTAACGTCTTCATTGGACGACTTAGTTTTACATATCGCATTCTTACTTCTTTTTGGTTTTTTTTTAATAATATGTTGTCTGTTTTTATACTCGTACATCGAGTGGCAACGATTTCAATATGCAGGAAATTATGATACAAAAAAGAAAATGTCAACGCTCCGGCGCCAATTCCTTAAACGTTACGCGTTATTCAAGGCTTAAACGTAATTAAAATTAATCAATTCATTTTTTCATCAAATAATTGCACGATATCTATACGTATCACATGAGATTCTTATGTTAATCGTTTTAACAACGCGTTGGTGATTTTTTTTCTGCCGATTCTCACGAGTTATTATTGTAATATATAAAAAAAGGGAAATATAGGGGGGAGAAACAAAAAATCTCGAAACTGTCGTATCCTGTCTATGTGTGAGTGTATGTGGGTGGTATGTTGTATGCTCATGGCAGGCACCCGCAAGCTTTATATCCTCTAAAGATATTTATCGCTTTACTATAACTTTCTCATAAATATCTCACCCTTGCCCTCGATTAATGTTCTGCGCTCGGCTCTAACGATATTTTTTTTTGTTCGGTTACTATACATTATATCTCGAAAGCTAAGAAAAAGCTTCGTGCAAGCGTGCCTCTATTTTTCCTCGTTGGTAAATCGACTTGGCCACACGTTATATTTCGTCAAATTTCTCAAACTCGAAGCTTTAATATACAACGGATGAACAGTCGCGTTTGTGTTTTTTATTGTAAACTAGTAAAGTCTGACGTTTTGTTTCACGTTTTGTACGACGTGTATTAACAATAATAATAATTCACATCACGAATTTCGTAACCCTGTTAGAAATGCTCAAAAGTAAATGACTAATAATAAGAATTCTTTGTACTTTTACGCCAAATCATGCTATGACTTATACTATTATTTTTACTTTGCCACTTGCAAGTTCACAGATACAAGGTACTCGCCATCTAGTGGCAATGGCTTAAAGTAATACATGTATTACCGTATTTTAAGTGGTTGAAAATTTGTCTAAAATTGTTCAATCAAATAATAAATTGACATTTAAAGATTATTTAAAATGCGCTTAATTGTTGTAACATAATTGTAATGAAAAAATTTACTGAAACTGAGTAAATTAATGGTACTGTATTTTGAAACATTTCAAATGGTAACTTTTTGGTCTTTAAGTCATCATCAATGATGAACATTTCTACCAGGATTAATGAGCGATTCACGGGCTGACAATCGTGACATAATTTTTGTAAAAACTCGTACGTTTAAAGAAAACGAGACAATCCATATTTTACATTGTATACATTGTAATATATAATTTGTGAAAATGAGTCCGTGTGTGTGTATAGGATTATACAAGTTAGGAGTTTAGCGCGAGAAAACGGGACACGTACCCGATTCTCTTCATTTTTTGTCTGTAGCATACTCAATCGCTTGTGTCGTGTATCATATATAATATTACATGTGTGTGTGTGTGTGTGTGTGTGTGTGTGTGTCGCGTCGTGTTCTCGAGGCGAAAAGTATACAAAGTCCGGCAAAACTCAATATGTGTTGGGTACAATAGCCCCGCGATCGAAAATCGAAAATGAACGATGAAGTCGTAATTGTATAGTCGTAGTTTTAAGATAGTTAATAGTTAGTAGTTTAGTTAGTTATCCGCAAGGCCACTTCATATATATAATGTATACAAATGGGTTTTTGTTGAGAGATAATTTCTCGATTTTTGTTTCTGTCTTTTAATTTATTTTTTGACCCGATCTCGTAAAACGACCGCGAAGGCATAAGTTTCTTTGTTTTTTTTCTATTTTTGTATATAGTTCGATCGGCTTATAATTTTTTTTGCTTATTTTCACAGATGTGTATTTTTTTTTCATGTATACTATATTTCGAGGAGAAAACGAAGAAACCCCGCAAAGAAGTCGGTATGTAGAAAGAACACATTTTTGTCATTTTCCCTTTTTTGATGCATATTATTATTATTAAAGACACAGGCGCTTCATATGGCGTTTCAATATACGGTACATAACAAAAACTCGCATTCAACCCCCCTTGTTTGTTGTTCTCAGTTAAATTTTTTTTTTGCACATGTACATCTTGGTAATTGTATAATATATATATCAGTGTATTAATGTAAAAATGTTTTCTCGGCAATTAAGGCGCGTAAACTCGCATACGTGCTTTTGGATCTATATATGTATCAATATAGTGGAAAATCACAGCTGCAATTAGATCGCCGTATTTCAATTGTTTTCTTTTTACTTCGCATACACTCTCGCGGGCACACGCACACGCTCTCGCACTAGCCTTTCTTGTGTACACGTAACAATATAATCGTCGTCTTTCATTTATTTGTTTATTTTTTTTCATACGAAAAAAGAGAAAAATCAGCAGATGCAGTTAATTATTTTTTTTTTTCATCATGTATAAGAGTATATCAGTATAATTATGTATAATAATTATTTATATATGTATAATATTAGTAGCAGTAGGCAATGGCTAATCCGTCGTTAATTAATTTGTTTTATAATATTATTCATCTATATTTGCTTTGTTTTCATTTTTTATTTTAAACCTACGTATGTATATAATTATAGGCACCAGCGCGCACCGAGTCGGGCGAACTTTCACAAATACTCGCGATTGGGTCTTGGTGCTTGTCTCTTTTTCGGCGGTTCTTCACTCGCACTAGTACCGGTAGGAGTCCTTGTCGCACTCGACGACGACGGCCTCAGCATCGGCTCGTCGCCACCAGCACCACCTGCACCGGTGCCGTCGTCACCGCTGGGCCCACTTGGCTCCGGCGGCAGCATCTGCGTTGTCTCCGTGGGCTCGGTCGGGCTCACGGGCTGCGAGGCCAACGGGGCCAGGGGCGCCGCGCCCTTGCTGCGCGACTTGCTGCGCCGCTTGCGCAACAGCAGGGGACCGAGCGCCCCCGAGCTCGACGTCGACGACGTAGCACCGAGTGTCGCTTGACCATCGCCCCCGCCGCCGTAAGATGTGCTCGGCTGCTGATCGGCAGCCGTTTCCTGTTGCTGCTGCTGCTGCTGCTGACGATGATGGCTCAGTAGACGCTCCAGCAGAGGCTCCCTGACGCCGCCACCACCACCTGCCCCCGAGCTACTACTGCTGGTGGTGGTAGTGGTGGTGGTGATCGGCTGCTGCTGCTGCTGCTGCTGCGTCGATCCACCGTACTGATGATACTGATGATGGTGATGATGATGGTGCGCGTGGTGCGGATGATGGGGCGGTGGTGTGGGCGCCTTGGAGCCGGGCGACCTCGTGATAGACGGCGACGACATCGCCGAGCTCGCCGAGATCTGCAGGTGTTGCTGAGCTCGACTGGGTGACGATGCCGCGATCACCGAGATCTGCTGCGAGGCAGTCAGGGCGGGCGACGAGGTGGACGACGACGAAGCCGTTGTAGCGAACGACGAGCAGCCCGGGGTGGACGGCGTGGGCTGCTGCTGCTGATGATGATGCTGAGGCTCCTTTTCCTTGGGCGTTGTGGAAGGCGACGGCTCGCTATGGATGAACCAATAGGTTTTACTGAGCTTGGACTAGTATTGTTTTTTTTTCTTTTGGAGGATAACAACGGACACGCGAGTGTGGATTGTATTCAAAACTTACACGTGCACATATGATCGGACGTATATATGAACAATTTAAAAAAAAATCTGAAGGTAAAAATAATTGAAAGAAAATTCATTTTTAAGCAGATACGGACGATTGGAACTTTCTTGTAAGAGTCTTTGGAGTAAGAAAAAATGGTAGCACGTCCAACGATCTAATAGATACTGGAGTTGTAAAGACTCAAACTCCACAAAAACCAAAATCATCATGAAAAATTCTGAAAAAATTGAAGCATGTTCCTCGATCTAAGACATTTTTGTTCTATGAAAGTTTTTTTCTAAACTCAACAGTGGTCAAGAAAAAAGCCAATTAGTTTAAAAGAAAAGTTTATATATAACCAAAATATCTTAATATTGATAATTTAGGTCGTCAAGGGGTTCAAGTCTTATGTGTATTCTGCCTTACTCCTTAGGCTCTTAAAAGCAATTTTTAATTTTTGGTATCTGCCTACAAACCAATTTTTTTCATTTCTTTTACCTCCCTAATTGAAGATAGTTTTTTGGAATTGCTCATAATTTTCACACTCGGAGAGATGGATATCAATGATAATTGGGATGTTACAATTGCTCTAAGTTCGTAGATATGACTCTGTTTTTTTTTCTTCAAGTTTTAGAATTGATATGGACTTAGGATTGTATAGAGGTATGTGGGCTATACCTACCACTTGTGTCTGTAAAGCACACCAGCACGAACCCAGTTTCTGATCAAGACCCAATTCCTAAATGACACACAAATGTTTTTTTTGCATGATTCATGAATTCATAAGTACAGATTTAACGAGACTTTTTTGTTTTTAAAAACAATAGACGACGAGAACAACGATTATTGCACAAAAACAAGGTGTCTTTCCCGATATTCGCTCAACTCTGCATTAATTTTTTATAGAGGCACAGAACTTGAGTACTATTAAACCGTCAGTATAAATTGTTGAACGAAAATTGAGATAGATCCCTGAAATGGAACATCAAAACCAGAATAAAAATAACAATTCGCATCGCCGTTTCTCGAAATATTTACTTTTCTAAACGTTTACGTTGATTTTTAAGCTAGTAAGCGCTGATAAACCGCTTGATTTACCATCTGGCTTCTGTTAACAATGACTACTTTTCATGTTTAAAAATTATTTTTACCTTGCGACGAATGAATAAAAATCAAGTGGAAATTAAGACTACTTTACACCGATTAAAATGAAAACAAAATTTCAATTCGATCGATTGTGCATATTACGTGGATTATTTACGTGTGACATTATACATTTACTCGGTCATTAAAATCTACAAAAGCTCGGGGATACTTCAATCTCTTTGATGGGATAATTAATAATATACACATCAAACGATTATTAGGTACACTACATTCATTTGCCAAGTATGCCATCTATATATCACATGCGCACATACAGAGATAGAGATAGAGAGAGAAAGATATAGAGAAACAGAGATAGAGAGAGGGAGAGAGTAGAAATTACAGTCGTACCACGTTATATAGGACTTTCAAATTGCCAAGTTGAAAGTACCTTCCGAATTAATTAAAACGATATTTTCAACTTGCCAATTACATGTGGCAAACTTGCAAGAGAGATAGAGGGTCATGGCCGATTTTCCTTTCGCCGAAGTAGGCATTCAAACTAACCACACTTATACACACACATTTAGACATATAGATGTATACATACATATATAGTAAAGGAAGCGGCAAAGGGGGATTATTACATTGAAAATTGATGATTACATGATAGTCAATCAGGGAATTCGTGCCAGTTGGTGCAGTAAAATGGTATACAATATATATATCGGTATAGTAAATACATGTAATATTTAGTAATAATAATATATTCTGTAAGTCATCTGTTGCAGAATATTCAAAACCAAATTAACAATAAATCATACGTAAGATACATCTACTAACTTAGAGCAAGAGGTTCATACATATAGATATTATAAATATAGAACATATAGAGAGTGAGATAGAAAGAGAGAGAGAGAGAGAGAGAGAGAGAGAGAGAGAGAGAGATACATGGAATAGGTCAGTGATTTACATCTTCGTGCTTCAGCTCTTCAAAAGGAGGTAACGATGATAACAATCATGTAAGTGCACAAGTCGTTAAAATATATATATCTATATATATCATAGTAGTATGTGATACGTATCCATTATAAAGTTGACATATTAAAGCAAATGATTCAATCCATTAGAGCTACTAATACTGCTGCTACTTCTACTACTACTAGTATATGTGCTACATCGAAGGGTTTTCTAATGTGCAGAGATTCTCTATAGCTACTTTATATTATATAGCTTTGAAAGTTTCAACTATTATGTAAGGGGGACTAAGTGAAAAGTATACACACATATAAGACGATCGCGACCCTCGCGGGGCAATTATCGTTCGTCGCCGCACGCGGGTTTGTAATGATAATTTTCAATTCTCTCTGTGTGAGATCGATGAGGATCGAAGGTGTTTCTTTTTTGTTTATTTTAAAATTACACTTGGAAAAACCTTCAGGGTAGATCCATCAAAAGTGGACATCTGGATAGGAAAAAAGATATTTTGCGGCCATAATAAAATTATTTGCAATTTTCTTTTTCTGGTCCAACTGTCTACTTTTGATGGATCTATCCTAAAGATTTTTTTAAGTGTAATAGACTCTCTCAAAACCGAATCTCGCCGCAAACAAGAAAGAAAGCCTTCTTTGAGCTGGAATTGTCAATCATGCCCCGATCTATTAAGTTTCACACAGAGTATTTTATTCTCCACTATTGTTTATACATAATAATAAACACAATTTGCTCACGTGGTCACCGGAAAATTGAAAGTATATAATCAAGTTTTTTTTTGTCAATGACTCACTGTGCCAAAGCTATTTTTTCTAAAATTATAGTTAGAAAATAAAAGTAAAAAAAGTTGAAAATAAAGTTTAAATCCGTTTCATTTTATCAAATAAATCGAAAAGTCAAAAATCTGCTTAAAGAAAACTTTTAAGATAAATTCTCCTCAACTCAGCGAACTCTTTGATTCGACTTCGAGAGAGTTTACTTTCCACTATAAGTCGAAAACATACCATTTCGAAGGAAACCCCTTAATCGACCAATTTTATAGACAGGGTTAAAAATTTGATTCGTCGATAATTCGATCTCACAGAGGGAGAGTCAAAAAAGTATATCCGCGCGACTCTTCTTATTATACCGTACGTCCCAGCGAACAGACTCACCTCTCGCGCGCCGTGGTCTGCGTGGTGGCCGACACCGAGGGCGGTCTACTGTCGGGACTGCTGCTGCTCGCCTGTGCACTGGTCGGCGTCTGGGGGCTCGTCGGCCCTTGACCACCACCGCCACCACTACACGTCGGCTGCTGCTGCTGCTGCTGCGGGGATCCAGCCCCCGAGGAAGACGACATGCCGGAGGGGCCGGCCACAGCTGCAGCCTGGCTCCTCGCCAGGGCCAGCGCGAACGGACTGCCGCCGGTGGTCATCAGCAGGTTGGCAGGCGGCGGCGCGGGAGGTGGCACGGGCGACGGAGTCGGCGTGGGAGTCGGCGACGGGGTGGCCGGTGTCGTCGGCGCCGGCAGCCTCGTCACTATCTGCGCCAGCAGGTCCTCGATCTTCGCCAGGCGCTGATTCACCCGCTGCACCTCGAGCTTCAGATCGACCTTGACCTGCGTATACGTCAAATATAATAAGATGCGCTTCGAGTTAACGCTAATTACTTTTCGATCGAGCGATATTAATTTAATCATACGTTTCGCTACAGATTTGTAAAAATTATTCGATAATCATGGTCTAAAAAGTATACAACACGAAAGGAATAATGAAATTGAATATGACAATATTCAAAAAAATTCAATAGCATAAATTCTAATTTTGATATAAACGATTTTGATATTTCATTCATTTAATTTGAAATATATTTTTCAATCAATTTTAAATAAATCTGATAAAGCTTATACCGGTAGAAATGTAGTTACGAAATTATACAAAAATGTTTTTTTGACATGTAGGATTATTATTAAAACTGGGCATAAATATGATAAAAGTTTAACGTTTTTTTTATCACATTTTATGGTCATATAATGCTTCAAGTTTTTTTGTTATTAAACGGCTATTTAATACCTGCATGAAATTCATGCAAATTAATAAATAACATTATCATTGACTGTGCTCGAAAACTTTTACTTATGATACAAATGAACTTATCTCATAGACAAAATATTTCAAAACCGCGATTTGACTTATACAATTATCTTTGTATGTATAATATGTATTTTCGATAAATTTTTAAATGGTATAATTTTTGATCATTCGGTCGAATCATTAATATCTCGAGACATACCTCGAGCACCGCCGCGAGTATCTCCCTGTCGTGGCCGCTTTGTCCGATCAGTCCACCGTCGTAGCTCTCGAGGCGGCGCATCTGCAGAGCCGACTGCTTCGAGCTGTCGTGCAGCGCCAGGGCTGTGCTGCTCCCACCGCCGCCGCTCGACATCTCCTTGGACTCGACGTCCTCCTCGATGGTCACCCCGGTGAGCTTGCCGAGCTTCGGGAAGACCTTGTTCGAGCCGACGCCGCCGCTGCTCAAACCCACTCCGAGGCCGCCGACCATCATGGAGCTGGGTCCGCCGCCGCCGCCACCGAAGCGACTGCCGCTACCACCACCGCCACCGCCCCCCGAGTCGCCCCGGTGGCTGAGGCTGCGCTTGAACGTCTCGGGGCCGCTTCCGCCGTCGCTGCCCGAGTCCAAGCTTGAGCTTCCTGCGTGCGAGGAAAATTTACGAATCGATATGAAGAAAAATTGCGTTATTTCGTTGGCTCAAGGTTATACGATACGCTACGATCAAGAGACGTGTAATTTATTTATTCCTTTTGTCGATCTCTGTTTATCAAAAATTGTATAATTTTGTTAAAAGCATATTTACACCTGCCTGTGTCAGAGAGATTGTGTGGATAGCGGTTCCAACGAGTGTTACCTGTCGTAATTAAATGTTTCTCTTCCTACTAGTTACTATCTTGATTAACAGTTTTTACATTATTTACATTGTTGGTAATGAATTGCAAAGCGAAAGTAGACCGCGGCTCCATCCGGCCGAGTATAGCAATTATTTATGTATACGCTGGAAATATGTTTTCACAACTACTCTGAATCAAATATAGAAAGGGGGTTGGTTGGTTGGTTTCAAGCAATTTTACTTGGTATGTAGCAATCGTGAGCGATTTTTTATGCCTTCAATCGTAATAATATATATTATAAATATTTTGAATGAGCAATTCTATTAAAAATTCTTAAAATTCAAGGCGATTGAACTTTTTGTCATTAATAGCATATAATAGATGTTGATAATTGTTCATTGAGGTCCTAGAAACATAATAAAAATTCGGAACCAATGAAAATTAGGTAAATCTATGGTTCGGAACTATTCTCTGACGCTCTTTTTGGCTTTAAGACATATGAATATCTAAAGAAAAATTGACCAGGATTCGAAAAGATGAAATTTACATGTTATAATTTTTGATAATTGTTAACCCGATAATTTTGTGCAATCGTTCAAAGATTACGAGTGAGTTTTTCGAAATTTTATTTTAAATTTTTGGATTTTTCAAGTGATGCGAAAAATTTTGATAAAACTTTTTGAATTAAACGCATTTTAAAATTTAAACACAGTTTACTGTGTAACTTTTGATTTGTTAGGTTGGTTATCGAATTGAGAAAAAATTTCATTTGCGTATTAATACAGCCAGAAAATACCTTCCAAAATTGCTTCATTTACAGCAACTGAGGAAAATTCTCACGAAAAGTTTTATGTCATAGAAAACTTTATTTACGTTGCCTAATTTTACAGTTGTAGTAGTGGATTATGAAGCACTTCAACCATGTTATGATGGGGTTATTATAATTTTTTAGCTTTTATATTATATTATATTGTACAAGGATCTATTGACTCGATATTACAGAGAATTATTTTGAAATATTTAGTTTTAGAAAGCAAAAAAAATCGTCGCTAAGTTAAAATTTCAAACTGGTTCAAATTTAGAACGACAATGTATCAACAGATAAATCGGTAATTACTATATAAACAATAATATCATAAACCATCTTGACATCGTCCGTCAACACACTGATCATGTCTATAGTAAAAATTAATTAGTTTGAATGTTGTCTTGCCCGATGAAACAAGCCATAATACCAAAAGATTTTATAAGACCAGTATAGTTCAGACATTAAAATGGATAATAGTGAGAAAAAATCCGAGGAAGTTGTCTCGGAAAATAATTTAAATGGACACGACATTGTTCCAGACGACAAAAAACATATTTGCGATATTTGCCAGGAGGCATTCACACTAGAATCAAGTATGTTATCACATCGAAACACAATTCACAGTGAACGAAAAGATTACGCGTGTGACAAATGTGAAATGAAATTTGAGTTTCGAAGTCATTTGAGTAGACACCAAATATCAGAACACAAAAGCCACAAAAATTTTGCATGCAATAGATGTGAGAAGACATTTTTGAAAAAATCGAGTTTGTTTACGCACCAAAAATTAGCACACAAAGATCGCGATGATTTTTCATGCAGTAAGTGCGAAAAGAAATTTGAAAATAAATCAACTTTACTCAAACACAACAAAATATTCCACGAAGTCTTCAAAGACTACTTATGCGAAAAGTGCGCCAAGAGATTTGGAAATAAACGTAGTTTGCTTGTGCATATAAAGACAGTGCACAACAAGCGTGAGAAAAAAATTGGACAAAAATTAAAATTGATAAGACACCAAAAAGCAGTCCACGAGGATTGTAAAGATTTTGCATGCGACATGTGTGTGAAGAAATTCGGAAGAAAACTGATTTTGATCCACCACCAGAATACAGTACATGAAGGTCGGAAAGATTATCCATGCGACAAGTGCGAAAAAAAATTTGGACAAAAACAGGATTTGCTCAACCACCAAATAAAATTTCATGAAGGTCGCAGCGATTTTGCTTACAAAAAGTGCGAGAAAAAACATCAAAGAATAGTGCATGAAAACCGCAAAGATTTCGCTTGTGACAAGTGCGAAAAGAAATATGGGCAATCATTGCATTTGCTTCACTACCAAAAAACAGTACACCAATGTCTCAAAAATTATTCATGCGACAAGTGCAAGAAGAAATTTGGAAAAAAACAGCATCTACTTTTGCACCGAAGGACAATTCACGAAGGTCGCAAAGATTTCGCATGCGACAAGTGCGAGAAGAAATTTGGACAAAAAATGCAATTGATCAGACACCAAAAGACAGTCCATGAAAGTCGCAAAGATTTCGCATGCGAAGAGTGCAATAAAAAATTTGGACTTGAACATCATTTGCTCAGACACCAAAAAACAGTACACGAAGGTCGAAAAGACTACGCATGCACCAAGTGCGAGAAGAAGTTTGGACAAAAATCGGATTTGTTAAAGCACCAAAGGGTAATCCACGAAGGTCGTAAAGATTTCGCATGCAATAAGTGTAAAAGTAAATTTACGCGTAGCGTAAATTTGTTAAAGCACCAAAGGACAGTTCACGAGGGTCGCAAAGACTACGCATGCGAAGAGTGTGATAAGAAATTTGGACGCAAATGGACTTTGCTGTTGCACCAAAAGACAGTTCACGAAGGTCGAAAAGACTACGCATGCACCAAGTGCGAGAAGAAGTTTGGACAAAAACCGGATTTGTTAAAGCACCAAAGGGTAATCCACGAAGGTCGTAAAGATTTTGCGTGCGACAAATGCGAAAAAAAATTTGGACAAAAATGGACTTTACTTTTACACCAGAAGACAATCCACGAAGGTCGGAAAGATTATGCATGCGACAAGTGCGAGAAGAAATATGTACAAAAATCACTTTTGGTCACCCACATAAGGACAGTACATGAAGGTCGTAAAGATTTTGAATGTGACAAGTGCGAGCAAAAATTTGGAGAAAAAAGGCAATTGCTCAGACACCGGTGGGCGGTTCACAAAGACTATAATAATAACGTATTCGACAAGTGCGAGGAGAAAGGATGATTGTACACTTTTAAATATTGTATTGATACTTATTCAGATTTATACAAAAAATTTTACTGAAAAAAAACAACTAAACTATTTAATTATTTAATTTAAATCAGTTCATATTTTTTGCGTTCTTTAAAATTATAAGAAGCTCCCCCAATTCACATCTTCATTGATACAATTATTATCACTTAGTTGTGCTTCGTTCAAGTAGTTAACTTCGAAATGTCATAACATGACTTAAAAACATTCAATAATTAAATTCAAACTACACAGAAAAACCGCGGATAAGAGCATATCGGTGCTGTGCTGATTCTGATGTTTACGTAAATGCGTTGTATTCGTGAACTCACTGCGTACCTCCCGGCACGAGGTATTTTGCACGTGCATTCCATAAGCTCCGCACGACGCAATTAGCCATAATCGTCTTCGCCAGTCTTTTCGCGTGAGGTTAGCTTGATGTGTGAAATCGAAGTGCGGTGAATTGTTAAGGAAATTTCAAGTCACGAAGATGGAATCCACTTGTTTATTTAACAATGCCATCAGGTATTCTTCATTGTTCGAGAATGATATTGAAAAAATTATTAGAAATTAATACTTGACCTAATTGGGGTTATTTTTAGAGTGAAGGACGAGCCCAATGAGGCAGCCCTTATTGAAAATGATAGCGAAATGATGAATCAGAAACCCGATCTTAAGAACTTTCAAATCTTATCATTTCCGCAAGAAAATTCCGTAAGTTTTGATTATATGTAAACGGCTTTGTATTTGTTTCGTTGTAATAATGTTCACATATCTTTCATTCTTCGACAGACTCATACGCTTCAGCTATGCGAGGAAAATCATAAAATTAAACTTGAAAACGAAGTGCAAATAGTCGTTGAATGTGAAGACGTCAAGCCCAATGTAAAATACGGAACTCAAAAGATTATCAAAATGGAAACCACGGAAGAAGTGAAACAAGAAAGTATTGGCGACGTTGCAGAAGAATTGAATTTGAACCTCGATTGTGAACTAGTCGAACGAAGTAAAAAAAGAAAATTGACGAAAAAGTTTAAAAACGAACATAACCTTACAACACAGATCACAGCGCATAATGATAAAAGTCACGCATGTGATGTATGCAGAAAGAAATTCTCAACGAAAAATTATCTCAAAACTCACATCGATATTGTGCATAATAAAATCACTCATACATGTGGTATTTGCATAAAGAAATTCTCAACTAAGAGTAATCTCCAAAAACATATTAATGCAAAACACATCAAAATCAAACATTCATGCAGTATATGTGAAAAGACGTTCGCACATCAGAAGTCTCTTAAGGTCCACATTGATGAGATGCATAATGGCATCAAATATACATGTGATACTTGCGAAAAGACATTCGCAACAAAGCAAAGTCTTAAAATCCACATTGATTCGACGCATGATAAAATCAGACATGCATGCAATATATGCCAAAAGACGTTCTCACAAAAAAATAGTCTCAAAATCCACATAGATAGAACGCATAAAGGTTTCACTCTCTCGTGCGACACATGCGGAAAGACGTTCGCACATAAGGGGTCTCTTAAGATCCACATTGATGAGATGCATAATGGCATCAAATATACATGTGATAAATGCGGAAAGTCATTTTCACAAAAGGCTTATGTGAAAACCCACATCGATGCAGTTCATAATAAAATCGCATATTCATGTGATGTATGCAGAAAGAAATTCTCAACAAAAAATTATCTCAAAACTCACATCGATATTGTGCATAATAAAAGCACTCATACATGTGATATATGCGAAAAAAGATTCGCATCTAAGAGTAATTTCCAAAAGCATATTAATGTACCGCACGTCGGAATCAAACATTCATGCAGTATATGTGAAAGGACATTCACACGAAAGGGTCATCTCAAAGACCACATCGATGAGGTGCATAGTGGTATTAAATATGCATGCGATAAATGCGGAAAGTCATTTTCACAAAAGCGTTATCTGAAAATCCACATTGATTCGACGCATGATAAAATCAGACATGCATGCAATATATGTCAAAAGACGTTCTCACACAAGAATAGTCTCAAAATCCACATAGATAGAACGCATAAAGGTTTCACTCTCTCGTGCGACACATGCGGAAAGACGTTCGCACATATGGGGTCTCTTAAGATCCACATTGATGAGATGCATAATGGCATCAAATATACATGTGAAAAATGAGGAAAGATATGTTCAAGTAATGGTTTTCTCAATAGACACTTTAATAAGGTGCATTGCGCACGCATTACAACTTGATGAATGTATTTAATTATGTTGAGATGTATATATTATCATGAGTTCTTCTAATGTTAACACACACCACATCAGGTAAAAAACAATGTCCTAGTTTTAAAGTAATCAATAAATGTTTTGAGAAATTAAAGCATATTCTTCATTGTTAGCAAATAAAATATCCACGTCAATGTTTTAATACAAGTCACTTTTCAGCATGCTTCGCTCGCTCTAGACAACGCAAGCTTTGTTTTACGGTTTAATTACGTTTATGGGAACGGAAACACTTGTAAACTGTTTACGCTATATTTTAGTCGTCAATTTTTTCAAGTACATCCTATGTTCACTATGAATACAGTATATTTTTCTAAGGAAATTTACTCGGTGGAATTCAACATTCACCAAAAACTACACCTTTTCAATACTATTTTTTAAAATCCTACAGGATTCTTCTTAGTTATTCGATGTCTCAAGGTCACCATAAAAAGAGTCAGAGAAAAGTAGTCATATTCACATGAAAACGCGATTTAATTGTCCTGTGTAACACAAAAATAGCTATGGATAAAATATTTAACAAAACTTATGTCATTCCCGTATTTTTCCATACTTTTCACGCGTTAAGTAACGAAAATTTCTATCGCAATCGCAGCCTCGAATATCAAGGATTTTTGTTTTGTAGAATCGCTCATAATTATAGCAAGCCTACGGGAATTTCAGTTTTGGCTGTGTTTTTAATTTTTGTCCGACATACTTTTTGCGTCCCACAGATCCTCGTCCGGTTCCGAAATCGGAATCTTCGTCGCTTCTCCATATTTTTTAAGCTCTATAATATCATGGATTTGTGATTTCCTCAATGTGAAAAGAGCTTTTAGACCTTGTTTAGCAAATTCGATTCAATAAAAATTTCAATGATTTTCGGGTTAACTTATTTGTTCTCAAAAAATTTTTTAATACAGTGAGAGAGAGGCAGTCCACTACGTTCCGAGGTAATTTTATTTTTATCTCCTTATTTTTTATTTTTATATAGTGAGTGTGTGTATATATATTTACATATTGTATACATTGTCATGTACATATACAACATATAGCTATATATAAAAAATGCAAAAAAATCTTTATAAAGATTTGGGGAATTAATGAGCAAGCTTGCAGCTAAAAAATTGAGGTTCTTCAAGTTGAAAAGTTTCTTCAATCGTATAAATGTATATATAATTATGCTCGCAATTATAAATAGAGTGATTTTTCGTATACTAGCTTATTTGAGTTTCATTAATTTTTACAAAGCAATGCAGCCTCGATTCTTTTTTAAATATAATAATCTTTCACTCGAATCTCGAGGTTACATTGGAAAATTTGAGAAAAACAATCATAATATGGCAAATGGGATAGGGGTAATAATAAAAAAATAATATTAAAAAAGTGTGCGCACTCACCTAAGAGACGGCCCCATTTGCTCGCCCTGGGCCTGCCGGGGCCGCTAGCCTCGGGCTCTGCGGGCGCCGCGACGACTTTGCGCACCAGCGAGCCGCTGCTGATCTTCTCCTCCTTCTCGTCGCCCTTCTCCACGTCCGCCGCGTGTCTCTCTCTCCTAAACCTGTATATCATGCGGTAGGTCCAGAGGATGGAAAAACAGAAGAAGAGGACAAAAATTATGTAGACAAGTAAGTGATGTTCCAGGCATTTTTTTGTTTTGTAATATAGTTTATTGCGAAAAATCGTAAAAAAGTTGTGGGTGATACAGCTACTAAGAGGAATTCGAAGCTTCGTCTATATAACGTTTTTATACTTGTGGTTTTATATAGTATATTTTTTTGTTGTTGTTGTTGGATTTATTCAATAAGTATATGATATAATAAAAAAAGAAGATACAAATAAGCTTCGACAATGCGCAGTAAGAAAACATTTCTGTTTGTCTCTTGTTTTTTGTCGTCTGAGGTAGTTAATAAATTCAGGCGAGCGGGCGATATTACAGTCGAATAATCGAAAGGTACCGGATGCTTTCGTCGGGGAGAGGGCGTCGATATAAGGTCATCCCCCTTTCGATGCATTCGTCCTCTCGATTGTCTTTTATTTATAGACTTTTTTTTCTTACAGCTCAAATATAAGTTGAAGTTTTTTACGTATAGCAATCTAAAAATAAGATACGTCTACGTTGGCGTCTATTTTGCCCAATATTTAAGAAACTTTCTGATAAAATGTTGAGATGTATAGAAAATAAACTACGAAGCTTGATTTCGATCGTGAGCTTGTCGTTTTGTTTTGCCAAAATTTTTACCAATGAATAAAATTATACGCGTGGATCGTCGAGCTTTATGGTAATACAAGGACAGCAGCTTCCATAATAATATATAATGTAAAATTTTGAGGTGTTCACGAGCAACCTACTTTGGTGTGCCTACGGGTTTTGGAGAAAAAATTGTAAAAAGTCATATATATATAATATGGTATATCAATGTGACGAAATTTGGCATTGATGCAAAAGTGACACCGTAATAATTGTAAATATTTTCCAGCGATCGATCGATGCCGCGCTGTACGGTATACACAGGGCGCCATCGACGAACGTCAACTTCTTCCTTTTTTTTTCGTCTGCATATCAAAATGTATACGATACATCGTCATATGCCACGAGTGTACAAAAAACTTTGAATACCGACGGATTGTATGTACGGCTAAAGAGTGATCATTTACAGCTTGTCACAGCTTGTGCAGTTGGTCTACGTACAAAAAAATAAATTAAAAGAAAGAAAGAAAAATAAAGGTCAAATGCGAATAAGCAGTATTCAAAGTTTTTTCATTTTCAAAATTCATCATTTATAATATGTATTACGTACAAAAATTAATTTGAATCCTAGAGTGTATTTTTTTATCACATGCAGAATATACATTACGCATATCGTAGAAATATATCTAATTTGCTAGCATTGAAATGAGAGGAAAAATTTGAGAAAGTTCGTATCAATATTACTTTACTTCAAAAGTCTAAGTCTCTAATGTAAGCTTCGTTTAAGTCGTGCTCAATTTTTACACAAGTCAGCAGCAGTTGCAATAATAATTAATAAAAAGGATTGTAAAAAAGACAATAATAATATTCAATGGTTAAGATATTCGTGAAAAACAATGTCAACTCCATTCAATACTTGCAAAAAATTATTACCTGATATATATTCTTACGTTACTTATAATGTATTACGAAAAATTACCCAAAATATCAATATTAGAGAGAGAAAAAATCTAAGTATTTAATTAGGCGATATTTTACAGCACTCTAGCATTCATGATTGTACATAAAAAATTGTCGCAACAAAGTTTATCTATTTTAATGGTTGTCGATCTAAAAATGAAAATTTAATGGTGAAGACTGGCACATGTTTAATTCAATGTATACAGACCAGTCTAAAAAAAACCCAAGTTACACGCACACATAACTTGATTAGATATATTCGATTGGGATATCATCTCATTTGTAAACATTGCGTGTTGCAATTGAAAATGCGTGTAATCTAAGGTTATTTTTGCTCTTTTTTTTTGTTTTTATCGAAATATTTCACTGTGGATTTCGTGTGAATAAATACAGGTGGATTTACCATTTTTGCATGTTATACTGATGCTTAATCTATTCGTAGAGAGTTGTCACAAGTGTTTTTTTTTTGTCATTTTTATAAAATTTTTACTCTTATTTTTGTTCGACATGAGAATGAAATGGATCACACGTTGGTTTGATTTTTGTTTTTATTTTTTAATGGATTTGCTGATGATAATTCGAGAGATGACAATGAGCGATTGGATAATCGACGATGAGCGAGAGAAACTGTAATGAGAGAAAAAAAGGTAAATGTAAGTGAAGAAATTATAACTAAAAGCAAATAAACATGTTTGAGTTCAAAACTTTGTATAACTGGCGTAGTTATAAATTTTCTAGCGATTTATGCATCGGATGCCAGCTATAATAATAATAATGGTGAACGTGAATGAGGATGATGCTAGTACCAGAGAAAAAAATTGTTAAGAAAGTAAAGTTCAACTTTATCTGTACAAAGAGTGAAGTTGGAAAAAATAAAGTACTTTTACATGTCTACTGCTGTAAAGAAGAATGAAATTACAGGACAGAATATATAGTCAAGTTATTTTAGAGATAGAATAGAGATATAATAATAAGACAAGATAGTTTTAATAATCAATATAATGAAATTCAGAATAATAGATAATAAAAAAGGAAACAATATAATAATGATAATAATAATAATGACGAGGAAGTTAATAAGTTTTTATATTAAAAAAGGGGGTAAAAAAAGTTGTTTTTTTTTTAATACGTAAGAAAAATGAAATAAAATTGCCTAAAGCTCGGCCAAGGTGGCAGTACGGAGACGGTGAGCTCCTCGTCCGAGTCCTGGTTAGATCGATTGCTCGCCCTCGCGATCTGCGATATACTGATCTGCGGCTCGCCGTCGGTCTTGAATCTTTTCTCGTTCGTGTGTGTGTTTGTGCGTTCGCCACCGCCGATTTTTCGTCATCCCCCGCATCGTCAATTTTTTTTTCGTTTTACAATAATACACACACATATAAGTACTTTGTTTTTTGTTGTTTTTATTTTTTTAAGAAGAAAAAACTTTCAATCTTACTGAGACATATATTCTATTTTTGTTATGATTTGTTTAAAAAAAAATTTCGTTCATTTATTCACGTAACGTAAATCTATTGAGGTTTAAAACATGACCAGCAACGATTCGATGTTTGTGGAAAGAAATTTTTTTTTTACTAAAATAGAACTTAATCGAGGTAAAAATTAATAATTTATGAAAATGTGTGTTAGTGAGTATCGAAGCGAAAGAAACAAAATAACGATAATTTGAATTTTCATATTTCATCATATTTTCTTTAAAAAAAAAAAACGACAATAAAACTTTTTTCTCTGTCGTAAAATATGAAAATTTTACCATCTCGTTTATTTTATTCAACCAGTGTTTTATTTTATTTGTTTATATTCATCGATTTCGAAACTAAATGTCTATATGTTATAATTCAAACTATTCGTATACGATTCGTCCTTACCGAGAAAAAATTTTGCGCACCAAGTGGTCCTGCGACTGATCGAGCTGCGGCTCATTTTTCCGCCTTTCGGCCAGCTCCTTTTCTCGCCTCACGTCGGCCACCTTGCGAAAGATCAGCTGCAAGAAAAAAAAATAATACGAGTGTGAAAAGTTAAGATCTAGAGTTTTCTCATACAGACAATTAATGAAAATTAAGGGCCTTTTTCATCGGAGTGACTCTGAAACATTGGTCAGTAATGTGTACCGCCAACTGTGTTCGAATCTTCTCTCTCTCTCTGATACTTTCCTTTCGCGCGACGCGCGCGCAGTAGTTGCTACAAAAAGTTGGAGCGTGAAATTAGAAAGTGAAAGTTCACTTAAACTCGGGGAAAGCAAGTTCGACGTGACTCAAACGCGTGTTTCAGTGCATCTTTCGGGAATAATCATGGGGTTATATTTCGCGGAGTTAACTTTCATAGACCTCTTGCGTATTTTACAGGCCGAAGAGGGACTCGACGAGATGGCGATAGCCTGCTCGAATACCGCATTCGAGAGCTGGAAATCTCCCGTGTATAATAAATTCGACGATTGCGCGTATCATTTCGTCTTGACAACGGATTCGGACTGCGCAAGTGCGCGCTTGGTTCTGAAGTGCAAGTGCAAGGAAGAGATAAAACGACGATTACGCTGCAAGTGTAAGGTAGTGATGATCAAGGGTATTAACGTAATCAAGATCGAAGAGAGTCATTACAATATTAAAGAGGGTGCTTCGGAGGAAGTGATTTCCAGTTTCATCGTTGACCAGAAAATACGTGGCTTCGCAATTTTGTCCGGATTGACTGAAATCACGGAAAGTATCGTTGAAGAAAAAGTAACGAACGAAGGATCAGGAACGAGATTGAGATTGGACGATGCATTCCTGGATAAGAAGTTCAGCGACGTCGTGCTGCGACCCAGGTCCGGCGAGGACGTGACCGCGCACAGGGTGCTGCTGGCCGCTGCCAGTCCGGTATTCGATCGCGCCTTCGGTTGCGAATCGCTCGAAGAAAAGACCGAACAAGATGTTGTCCTGGTCGACGCCAGTCGCGAGGCTGTGGTCGAGATGTTGCGATACATCTACACGGGCAGAGTCGGCGATTTCGTCCAGTCGTCGTTGTACGGAGAAGTTTTGACGATCGCCGAAAAGTACCAAGTCGTGGAGTTGAAGACCGAGTGCGAGAGGACATTGATATCGGCGATAAGCGCAGAAAATGCTATGCGAATTTTACAACTGGCCGATGTTTATAGTATGACACGCTTGAAGAAAAAAGCAGTTGATTTTATTACGAGTCAAATGAACGGGCCGAAGAGCGTCGATGAAAAACGCGATATACTTCTTAATCGATTTGTTTCAAAGTGTAATTAATTCATTAAGTAATTTTCTTACTCGTCGATGAAAAATGCGACATACTGCGCATTTTGTTGTTTAATTAAAACTTTGCTATTATTACTTTGTTATTTTTGCACTGAGAATAAAAATTCATTGTTAAAATTCTCCGTGTTCAACAATTTCATTGATTGAATTACAGCAATAGATATATTTTGCTTATTTGTATATTATTAGAATGTAAAAGGTCATAAATATGTATTTGAAGAAGAAGCGTGGACAAGCTTCTTCAAGATTGACAAAAACTTATAGTGATATTGCACTGAAGTCGACCTCCAATGCGTAGCGTTTGAAACAATACAGCTAACTGACTCAGGATTCTAAGTTATCGCATTACTTTATTAAATTGTTGTTGAATTCTATGAGGTTACATTTCATTTGAAGAAACTTTGCCATAATTGCTATACCTCACTGTTACTTTTACTGCTAGAACAAACAATTAAATAGAATCTATTATCAATTTTTTACCGTTTTTTATAATATTAGAAGTAAAGGCTCAAAAATATGTATTTGAAGAAGAAGCGTAGCTGTCCTTTTTCAAAATCTTATTGGGAAGTACTCTGTTTAGTTAAATACATGAAAATATAATTTAATGTTGTGATATTATTATTGCATTACTTTATTAAACTGTTGTTGAATTCTATGAAGTTACTTTTTATTTGGTGAAACTTTGTCATAATTGCTACCTCACTACAATTTTTACTGCTTGAACAAACAATGAAATAGATAATATCAATTTTTGATCATTTTTAGTAAAGCAATTGTACTTATGTGCTTAGCTTTTGGTAACAAAAGTAGGCGAAATTCTGTCTTACAAAATAAAACCTTTATTATAGAACTAGAATTAACAAACCCACCTTTCCATTCATCGCACAAGGTCTTACAACAGGTAGATTAAATGAATGGGATACTAAACATTGAAGGTTCTTAATCTTGCATCAATATTTTTAACTTTGTCTATTTATCAAACTGGGTAAAGAACTTAGAAATGTTGTAGGCATTGAAAAAGGCTCGTGTGCCTGCTTTTCTAAAAGAATGTTGCTTAGTTTTTAAAACCGGCTAATGCTGTAAATATATAAATTTAAAAAATTTTAGAATCTCTTTGAGCCCTGTAGAACAATATGAGTAAATATGTAATAATATTATAATGATCAACCATGTTAGAACTTGACTCATAGAATTTGACAGTGCGAATCAAATTTCACAATCAATAACTGCTACAGCTAGAAATTATTTTCTTCTATATAAAGTAAACATAACTCTGATTTCCATAGAAATAAATATATAAGAAAGTAAATTTAAAATACTATTTTATTGAAATCTTTATATAATTTGAATGTAAATTTATCAATCCCTGACATATTAACATCCATTCACTTCTACAACACTAAGTCGTCTATCTTATCTAATCCAATAATACTTGAATAATTATCTAATCAATAAAATTGAATAACTGAGATGATGAGGGCGATTATTATACGTTTACAGAAATGTCATTACAATGAATTCAGTCAAAAAGCGTTAATATCCAGCTACATGATTTAACATGAACGTATTTTATAGTTGTCATAATGTAAAGAACGCGACACTGACTGTAACTTACAATTTTGGCCAATTTTTTCTCACGCGCTGCCCGCTGGTCACTATTATGTTTTGATATCAGTTTTAGAACACCCACCACCAGGCACCAGTTTGCGTCACCGACATTTATATTTAGTCTCGACAGTTCCGTACGACCATACGCATCTCTGCTGCCCCACACGTTTTCTGTTTGTTTTGATTGAATTTAGTGAATTGTATTTCTCCAAGCTTTTTCTAGCTGTATAAAATGTCGATCTTGTTTCCAACCGGTGAATTGCGAAGCAACAAGGAGGACAACAGTCATACATGGGTGATAAGTCATTACAACGATTTCGCAGGATTCGACGTGGTGACGTCTCCCGCATTTCTCATTTCTGGAGACAATGAAAAAAAGTTTGAATTCCATATGGAGGGCACAGGCAGTAAATGCTTGAATCTACGCTGCGTACAACAGAACACGGAACAATTGCCGTGCAAGTACAGCATTGCAGTCGTAAAGGACAGCGAGATAATGGAGATCCGCATGGGACATTGCACATTTTCCAAGGATCGAACCGAGAAGGAAATATTCAAGTTCGACGTGTCGGATTTGGCCGAATACCTGTCCATCAGCCGAGGTCAATTTTCAACCATACACAGTCTGACTTTTCGTTGCGAATTGACGGATTCCACGATAGATCAAAAGCCCCTGAATTACAACATCAACCGAATGTCAGAGCCAAAACTGCAATTCAACAGTTTATTTCTGGATAAGAAGTTCAGCGACGTCGTACTGCGAACCTCAGCCAAAGAGGAGATCCCGGCGCATCGGATCGTGCTGGCTGCCGCGAGTCCGGTATTCAACGCGATGTTCAGCCACGAAATGTTGGAGAGCAAAACCCAAACCGTCGACATGATCGACGTCGATCACGACGCTGCGGTGGAGATGCTACGACACATCTACACGGGTCATATCGAGTCTGGCGTGTACTCGTTGACTGCTGAAGTTTTGTCGGCTGCAGACAAGTATCAACTGGAGGAATTGAAGTACGAGTGCGAGAAGAGAATGGTATCAGATTTGTCCACTGAAAATGCTATGGAGATTTTAAATAGAGCTGATGCACACTGTGCCAAATACCTAACAGAAGGGGTAATCAATTTTCTTACTCGTCAAATGAATGGGGAAATGAACATTGAAGAAAAAAGTAATATGCTTCTTGGCAAAGTGGCTTCAAAAGAATTCAAAAGTAAATAGAAATAATGTTTCAGTCGCATGTTTCAATTTCACTAAAATATGTTTGTTGTTTATATTAAACTTATGAATGCTGTGTGACACATGTAATTTATATTAAACTTATGAATGCTGTGTGACACATGTAATGTAAATAAAAATTTTTTATCAATAACCACTTGGTTTAACTGATTCACTGTTAAATTGATTGCATTACAAATTATTGGATTAAGGGCTTGAAAAAGGCTTACAATTTTTTTTAATTTTTATACATTTAGAACTAGAAATAGATTCATAAATTGTTTTAAGACTAAAACCTTGAATGTTTAGTATTATATACAATAAAGCTACCTGTAGCAGGTTTCCAAATCATCAGATGTGTCAATTGAGTTCTCTAAAGGTTTTATTATGAGAGATATATCTTTGAATATAGAAACTACCTTTTATGAAGTATAAAATCTGCTTTCACGGATTGTATGCACAGTGAAATACACCTAATTTCACATAATTTATTATCAACTTTTGGTCATTTTTATTAAACCAATTGCACGTATATTTAGCTTGAGGTAACAGAAGTGGGCAAAATCTATCTTAAAAAATAAACCCTTTACTATAGCACTATAATTAACTAATATAATGATTTAAAATACTACAATGGCACCTATGACAGGTATATTAAATGTATTAAATGCTAAGCATTGAAGGTTTATAATCTTGTTACAATTATTTTAACTGTGCCTATTTATGCAATGAGACAAAGAACTTAGAAATGTTGTACGTATTGGAGAAGGCCTAAATGACTGCTACTCTGAAAGAATGTTACTTAGTTTTTAGAACCAATTAATGCTATAATTATATGAAAATGAAAAAATTCAAAACTTCCTGAAGAACAAAGTGAGTATAAATTGGTAAATATGCAAGAATATAATAAACCATACAAAACTTGACTCACAGAATTGGACTATGTAAAATAATTTCAAAAACATTTACTTTTAATTTCAATCCATCATTCATTAATTATTTAGCTTTGATGGTAATTAAATCCAATATATTGCCAAAAGTATAATTCAGGCAAACTGAAATGTTTTTTTTCTAAACTATAATCACGCTGTAAAGTTTGTAATCAGGGTGCTTGAAAGATTTTTTTTCCATCTCGCTTTTGTGCGACCAACGTATGTAGACGCTGGGTATCAATCGAATTTTCGCTCCTCGCGACGCTACATTGCAAATCAATTACTCCGTCCTCGAGACTTCCTCCGAAGAGTTAGACACTGCACACACACACCTCTACATCGCACAAAATTCGAGAATACCTCTCGAATTAGCAATAGGCGCATCTATATACTTACTACGACAACCGTTAAACGCGGTACCTATACAGTTCGATCGCTGAGAGCCAGCATCATTATTATACATCTACAGCAGCTATGCACTTTTGAACGATTCAAAAGCTGCGCGGCCGTGTACGCGACGTCATATACTGGCTGCTGACTGCACGAGGCCGCGACGCACGCGCGGCACTATCGCTCGATAACGTCTGGCTTATAGCAGTGCAGACCGACTAAAATCTCCTCCCGTGGCATGCACAAATTGCATAGCAGCTCGTGACACAGTGGCCGAGACAGCAGCAGCAGCACACGCATATGCATGACCTGCAGTCTGCTCGTGCTGCTACTGCACTCCGTTTGGCGCGAATTTAGCAGACGATAATATAAATACTACATAGCTATGTGTGTGTGTTGTGCTCGTCACCGTATTCGTGCTGCTGCTGCGAAACTGTGAACATCTTTATATGTATAGAAACACAACAAAGAGAGAGGGAGAGACAGTCCATGAGTAACCTCAAAATTTTACCGAGCTCGTCTCTGTTGTTGTTGTTGTTGTTTTCTTTATTTTTGATTTCGTGATACATCATTACCCGATGTTGCGTCGCTGCTGCTGCTGTCATCGAAGAATAATAGCAGCTAGCTAGCAGACGACGCATCAGCTACGTGTTGGTGTCTTATCACGACCACCTGACACTCGAGTGACTAGTCTCGAGGAAGTCTCCGTTCGCATTCGACTCGTCGTTTTATGGATCGTTCGTGTCAAGGTAATCTCGCGCAATTAATTTTCCTAATTGACATCTTCGCGAGACTCAATGCACGTTCGTTTTGTTTTTTTTTTAACAACAGATGGGTCACGCATCGAGTCGCTCGGCCAGCTCCAACATTCTGTCGTCCGAGGAGCTCACCCTGGTCGAGAGCCTCTTCAAGACCATGTCGAGGAGCTCGGGCTCGATCAAGCGCGAGGACATATTCAAGCACTGGTCGGTGCATCTCGACGACGCACTCCTGCAGTTCGTCGTGCGCTTCCTGTGTCACGAGCCGGGCAAACGCTGCTCGGCGGTGAACGGCGAGAGCCTCGGCCGCCTGTACGTGTACGCGGTGCGCGGCAGCTCGGACGAGCGCACCAGCCTCGTGTTCACCGGCTTGGCCGAGGATGAGCCCAAGTACGAGATCGCGACGGCCACGTTTCTGCAGTATCTCCAGGCCACCATTAACTCGTATCTCACCCTGCAGAAGAACTGCGCGAATCCGCACTTTCACACCTGGAGCAGCATCGGCTGCACCGTGAACAAGCGCAGGATCAGCATGCGCTCGAGGACGCTGTGCGAGGAGCTGGTCAAGTACGGCGACACGCTCACCTGCGACCAGATCGAGGTCTGGTTCAGACAGGCGGCCACCTTCAAGGACATACAATCACACGTTTTTCAGTGCCTGTTTCTCGTCTCCCAGAAGAAGGGCGACAAAAACGCCTCCAGTAGATTGAATGAGCTCAACCTGTTGCCACTGTGCAAAGGGTTGGAAAATATTCCACACTTTCCCAGCATACTGGGACTGGGCGACGTACTGTTCTTGAATCTGAGCCTGCCGCACGAGTTGAGAAACGAGTGGCGTTTTTTGTTCTCTAGTCAAGTTCATGGAGAGTCTTTCTCCACGATGCTGGGAAGAATAACGATGCAGGGTGCCACTATCATCATATTGCAGGACAGTGACGATCATGTTTTTGGTGGCTTTGCCCCCAGTAACTGGGCTCTGTCGCCAAAGTTCACAGGAAATCAATCTTGCTTTCTGTTTCAATTAGAACCTCAAATTCTGACTTTTCCAGCTACCGGTTACAATACCCACTTTCAGTATCTAAATATTCATCAAAATACAATGCCCAACGGATTGCTAATGGGAGGCCAGTTGAATTATCCTGGCCTGTGGTTGGATTGCGAATACGGTACTGGAAAATCAAGCGTATCTTGCATGACGTTCAAAGATTACATTCAACTGAGCGGCAAGGAAAATTTCAAAGTGAAGCATTTGGAAGTATGGGGTGTTGGCCCACCTCCCGAGTTGGAAGAAGAACGAGATTCTATCCTGGATCAAGATCCCACTTCAAAAGTAATATTAGAACTGGCTGGCAAAACCATGCACAGTGATGGATTGAGAGAGAAGAAGCGCGAGAAATAAGCTATATATTTTCTGAATAATTAGTGTGCTGAAGTATGTGTCAAAACTTGTCTTTTTAAGATTTCTCTCTAAACTATGAATTTGTTGCAAGACATCTACAATTGCAAGTAAAAAAAAAAGGTACAATCAATTCAATCAAAAAAGAATTAAAATAGCTAAATCATATTTTTGATCCATTTTAGTACCTTATGTATACAAAGAAATCAATGAAAGAAAATAGTTGTAGGACAGCCATGGATACTTGGCTTCGAGTCTGTGCCATGTAACGAAATGTATTATACGAGACATTTACCAAAAAAAAAGAAGAAAAATGTAACACTAGAAAACGAATGTAATCGTGTTGAGAGATTATTCGGTCACAATTTTAAAGCATCGGGTCGATATTCCTAATGCGCGAAGTGAGATTTATATCCGACGAATGGTATATAGATATATAATTAGAGTGAGTGAGTGAGAGAGAGAGAGAGAGAAGTCGTTGCATGATGTATCAAGAGTTCAGAACGAACAGATTTATGACTGCTTTTGAATTCGCTGCGAGCTGCAGTGTGTGCGAAAACTTTTGGCGCTCTTCGCGGAGTTTTCCAATAACGAATCGTATATATATGTAAACTGGGTATATTTCTATATACACGTCTCTATATACACAATCTATACAAGCACGCACCGAACTATCGAATCACTGTGGAACGAATTTTTATTCGATGTAACTTTTTAAATGGAAAAGTATGTCCGTCAGATTGAAGTTCAATATTTTCGCGACGAATAACGACTAGGTGTACACGCGATGAATGTATAGTTATATATAAAATATAAAAAGCATATTGTACAAAGTTAATTTCTGATAAATCGTGTTTGAAACAAACTAACGTTAACGAGATATTTTCGACGAAACATAAATAGATGTGTTACGCATCATCGGTAAAACTGTATATGTGTTTTTTCATACTACTACTATTAATACTATTATACGATTGGCTTACTTTGGCGAATTATATATATTATATAAAATGAAGTCTTTTTACTATTTTTCGACGAACGCGAGAACTGGCCTTCTACTGGTTCACTTTTTAAATCGCTGTTATTTGTTTTATATTAATTATTGTCTATTTTCAATGTGTATATTTGTTATTGCTCTATACTTAAAGAAGAGAGAATTTTTCCGAATGCACCGAATTATTAAATACGAAGTCTCATTGTTAAAAATTATATCATTATATTATATTTACGCATATAGTAAGAAATAAAAAAAAGCAACAACATTTTTTCGAAACTTGAGAACTTTTGCTGTGTTATATATTATACTCACCCTGTGCCTAAGATTATAAGTGAGTATCAGATTGCGGGCAAACGAGTTGGCGAACGCCTGATAAAAGTCCAGCACCTCGAGCAGCTTGTCGCGCTTGATCGTGTGCAGATCGCAGTAGGTGAGGGCTCGCACGTTGGCGGCGCTCTGGCCGACGGCGCTGTCCTTCCAGAACGAGTCGCCGAACACGTCGCCCTTGCCGAGGATCGCCACCACCTCGTCGTCCTGTATGACCTCGAGGCTGCCCGTCACGATGAAGCAGAGCGAGTCGATGGACTCGCCCGTGTGATAGAGCAGATCGCCCGGGGCGCTGTGCGACATGGTGAAGTGCATCGCCAGGGCTCGCAGGCAGCCGTCCGAAGCCAATCTGTGCAGAGGGGGTAAATAATTATGAATAAAGAAACGATCTGGAGGTTTAGTCTTTTTAAAAGCTGGATTTCGAGTGAATTTCCACGTTGATTTAATGGAAATCTACAAAAATATGAACTCTCTCTTAACTAAAAGTCACTATGAATTTTTCGACCTGGAATTCCATATGGAAATCTACATAGAAATTCCTCTACTTCATGACGATTTTCATATGGATATACAAGTCAAAATACAAATAGCAGATTTTCATGAGTATTTTGACTATGAATTTATGTGAAAATCTACAAAGAGCTCCACAGGTAGTTTCATTTCAACTTAAGTTTCAGTTTCAGCTTTTTCATATGAAATATACACCACTCCGTGTCTGTTAACATATCGATTTCAAGATCCAAATGTACATGTAATTCCACTATTTTCATGTAAGTATTTGACTGCACAACAGTAGCTCGATTTTAAATTATCCGTAGCTGGATTTTTTTCAACTGAAAATCGAGCTCGATGAAAATCAAACTTTCCAAATGATCAATCTTTCCTGATATTCATTTGCTAATAGAGCTAAATTTTAAGGTAAAAATCACGTAAACTAGTTGTTCATATTAAACATCATAAAGTCGGGTAATTATGAAAAATCCAACGCACCGAAAAGCCGGATGCTCGTTGAAGACCTTGCGATTGAGATGCACGCATATGTCCGCCTTCATGTCCTTCGGACAGTAGTTCAGCACCTTGTCCGTGTCCAGGCCCTTGGTCATGGCCCAGGTACTGACCACGTAGTCCATGACGCGCTCGCTCAGGGCCTTCGGCACCTCGTGCAGCTTCATGAACTCGCGCACGTTGTTCAGCATGTCGTGATACTTGGCCGTGGCCGAGGTCATCTGCTGGATTATCGTCGTCACGTGACCGAATATCGTGGCGTAGAGTAGGGCGGCGATGATCATCATGCAGATGGTGAAGATCTTCTCGTTGTCGGTCTCGGCGGCGACGTTGCCGAAACCCACCGAGGTCATGCAGGTCATGGTGAAGTACAGGGCGGTGACGTACATGGTGCGACGCGGCGGGCCGGCGACGAGTTCGGGCGCGGTACTGGCGTTGGTCCAGAGATAGCTGTAGGGCGACTGGGTGACGTTGGCGAGCTTCCAGAGCCAGGAGTACTGGACACCGGCGTCGGCGTCCGATCGGCCGATCGAGTACCTGTGTAAAGAAAAAAAAAGAGTTAGAAAAACGATTAAGAGCTCGCGCGGTAAAGTTTTTTCATTGCCGAGTATAATGTAGTCGAGTAAAACTTTTGTTCTCCGTCGCTATACGTATATACTTTCTTTTGTACCGAGTCAATGAGATTTGCATGCCGAGAGAGCGAGAGAGAGAAAAGTTTTTTTATACTTTCATGCCTCGCGGACACGATGTCGTGCCACCCGCACGCATCGACGCCCCGCGCGTAACGCGAAAAGTTCAACACCGCGTCTATCGAGTATTATGAATCTTATTATCAAATATTATCAATATCATTGAATCAATATCAATATCGATATCAATAAATATTATCAAAAAAAGTCTGTCTCTCTGTTTTTTATTTTACCAAACGCAGGCGAGCCAGTGGGCGACGAGCATGTAGAAGCAGAGCAGGAGTATGAGCATCGCCGCGCCGTACTCGAGGTAGCGGTCGAGCTTGCGCACCACCCGGCCGAGCCTCAGCAGACGGACGACCTTGAGGGCCGAGAACAGGCTGCCGATGCCGTCCTCGTCGTGGTCGAAGGCGTTGAACACGTCGTAGGGCAGGCAGGACAGCAGATCGATGATGAACCACGACTTCAGATAGTTCATTCTTATCACCTGAGCGAAGAGAAAGGAACGATGAATGAACAATTATCAACTCATCTGCGTTGTTTGAAGAAAAGTCTTGAACTTGATGAAGATTTGAAGTACTTTTTTTTTACATAATGACTTCGTTAAAAATGAATTTATCAGTAAGGTATATGCCCCTATTTTCGATCATGTCCCCATAGTCGATCAATAATTAATATTTACAACTTAATTGTACGTAAGAAAATTTTTTTTTTTTTATTAATTGGCTGGATGAATCGAACATCTTCAACAGAAATACAGTATTCCAAATCAGATATCAAGTTTCAATCCTGTATAAAAAATTGATTTAAATTTGATCGAAATTAGGGCCTAACTGATCGAAAATAGGGGCGTATACCTTACTGATTTATTTATTTTATATAAACTGTAAAAAATGTCATGAAAATGCAATTTCCATATGTGGGTGACAGTACCAATACCCGGAAATTTACTTGTAAAATTATAAAACAATTGCAATTTTATCTTGACAATTAAAAACTTGAAGTTTAGCTTTGAAGTTGTCAAAATTTATAGATATTTTGGAAAAATGGTTTGAATCGTCGTAATTTTAAATTAAAAAGTGTCTGGTTTTTGGTTTTTGTAAGAATATTATATAGTTTGCACTAATGTCTGGCAAATTATTAATATGGTATATTTCCATTGATCCATAGTAATCAACTGAAAAAACAACTTGACTTAGCCATTTTAATCATTCTTAAATTTGTTTAAAAGTTCTTATGACTCGATTAAAAATTGTTGAATATTATGGAATAAAAATAATAAATAAAAAAAATTTCTATTTTCAAATTCAAATATTCTGAGGAAAAATCCAATGTTTTAATAATTATTTATTTTTTGCATTAGTTTCACAAGATACGTAAGAGAATTGAGTAGAAATTAAAATCATTTTTCTCCGCCAGATAGCGAGTACCTTTGTATCTGTTTAAGTAAGCGGAAAAATTTTGTTCCATGTTTTTTATGGGCACATTAATTATAATGGAAAATATTATTTTTATCACGGGTGCACAGCTCACCTTGGGATCGGACACGACCTCGCCGCCGGCGCCCACGAAAGTCGTGTGAAAGTTCAGCACGATGTCGATGAAGAAGATGACGTCGACGATCGTGTCGACGACCAGCAGAAACACGTCCTCGCTCGTCTTGTTCTTGAAGGCGACGTTGTAGGGCACCATGATGGCCGTGTAGAAGGTCAGGCAGAGTATGATCCAGTCCCAGATGGCCTTGAAGGCGCAGTAGTGCAGGAGGATGTGGGGCGGCGTCTTGGGCGCCTCCTGCCGATACTGCGGCATCACGTCGCCGCTCAGCGACATCATCTGCTGGTGGTGTGATCGAAGTCAGTCGGTGGGTGCAGAGGAAATCGCATGCGAAGGATGAAAGAAATATAGAGAAAATTTTGGTGGATCGTTCCCGACGGCTCGATTTAAAATATCGAGTGTAAAAAAAAAAAACAATTACATATCGCGTCATAACAGAAAAAAAAGAGAAACAATCCAATCAACGCACATTGAAATCTCGACAGCTAAAGTATATCATATATAATATTTATAATGTATATATACGAATGTAACTACTTACAGCTTATATATCGAACAATAATTAATTACAACGTAATTTTATGGTAATAATATGCATATAATTCATACACGGCTCTATGTGTACGTGTTGCTGTTTGATACGAGAAAATTTTTTTTTACAAATAACATCGTGGGCTCGTTTGATACATACCTCCCCCCTAATCTTATACATAATATGTACAAAATGGAATGCGCGCGAAAATGTAATCCGATGGGCCTCTAGGATTTGTGTGTCGGATAAAATATAACGCCACGATGTAAATAACAATTGGGCTATCGCGAGCTATTTATTATTGCAAATATATATCGCGCGTTTGTGTGCTGTAACGTCGCCAACAAGGAGAGATAAATTTATCGTAATCGCGACAGATGTATATATACATACAACAAAATACGAACATCTGTATCGTACACCAGAGTATTCGAGCTATAATATGTACATATACACATAATATAAAACGAGATTCGACGATCGTCGAGTCTATACCATATGCAAAAAACGTGTAATTTTACATTAATACAGCACGAAATCTGTCAACGTGTGTGCGCATCGAGAAGAACTAAATCGTTTTACCGTTTTTTGCATCATATATGCTTGTTTTGGAAATGCTCAACATTGGAACTGGATATTGTATTGACGCTATTGACCACAAGTGTAACGTTTTTTCTGATTGAAATGATTGAAATGATATTATTTTTACTTTATAAAGTTCGTGCAATTTACTATTTTTAAACACTCTTTCATTAGGTATTTTTAATTTTATATTTTTCAAATTTACCATAGACATACAATAACATAGTCACTACTTGTACTTAGAATAAGCTCCGAGTTCATAGATTTGTTTTTACTTTGCCACTTGCAGATTTGCAGGTAAAGAAACTCTCGCCATCTGTCGTTCAAGTATCATAACGAAACTAGTCTAAATGTTTGAACCAGTTGAATTTTCATTTTCAGGTCTTTTCAAATTGGCTTTATATAAACTTTAAACGGTCAACGGTTAATAGGCCATTGATAATGTTAAGCATTTACCAGGAACGTTGGCAGATTTCTCACGGTGTATTTTTTTTTTTTTTTTTATTATTATATACATTAACAAACCACAATTAATCAACGAATCATCATGCGGTTCTCAGAAATATACAGCCAAAATATGTCTTAAAAAAAAACAACTCAACAATTCCTTAATTATTATCTACCATATGTATAATCTTATGCTCATAATGACATTGATCAGGATTTGGGGTCACTGTTTGAAACCTCATGCTTCAATCTTCACAACAATAACAACAACAAAAATAACAAAATAAAATATAATTCCATAAAAAAATAACACACACGGCAAACAATATTATTATATTTTATCGTACGTCACACAGAGTCGTACGTTATGTAAACGTTAAATTGAATTTTACTTTAATTTAATTTTGGTTTACTCTCTGTTCATTAATGTGCGAACACACACACACATCAGGGAGGAGTCCTTACCGGTGTGCTCAGGACCATGAGTCCGCCGGCCGCGGCGGGCCCCGCGACAACGTCCCTGCCGCCCGTCGCAACTCCATAAATTTCTCGCCGGCGCTTTAATCATAACGAGACACAAAATTCGTTCTTTTTTAAAAGCTGTAAGTAGTTTGCGGGGCGATCTAATTTTTTTTTATCTTCTTATTTCAACAGTTTAATACGACGAATCCCATTAAATTGCCGATTTTTTAAATATATTTTGTGATACGTTAAGCAGAAGTATGTGGGCGAGTCACGAATGCATAATTAGCAAAATTTAAATTAATTTACGTTTATTAGTTTCGTTAACGAATTCCAAAGCCCGAGCTGTGTACGAATCTTTAATGACGAAATATTATTTATAAATAATAGGGCTTCGTAAGACCTAAAACTTTTCAAACTTCGTTTCTTCCAATCATTCGTTGAGCAGTTCTACCACTGGATGTTATCGACATAATCCACAAGTGAAAATCAAAATGACGAAAGTTAAATTCTAAGTAATCCGACGAATTTGTTCATTGAATTAATTTAATAAGCATCAATTTTTCAAGTTACTCAATTCGAAAGTAATCACAACGAGTGAAATATCGAAATATCACCGAAATTCGCCCGTAAAATTGATCATTTATTAAAATGGTAACAATTTCATAAAGTAAAGACACAAAATAACGTACTCGATATGAAAATACGAGAGCTTATATTTTTGGGGATAGCTTTTTTCCTCGGGCTTCATCCCAGATACGATCGGAAAATTTTCAAATTTTCTCTCCCTTGCGCTCGCGAGATGCTTTATCTTTATCGCCTCCATACATCACTATATATACGCTAAATAAAAAAAAAGCTCGAGGAAAGCAATCTCGCGATACGTAAAAAGTAGCCGAGATAACGTCGTTTTATATATAAATCGCGAGAATATCTCTGCATGTTTTTGCATATCAGACTTCTACGTGTTGTATATCGTATCGTCGTCCACACTTACGTGGCCCAGATGCGACTGCTTGGTGGCCACCGGCAGGGCGGAATCCTTCAGGGCGGGCAGATGCGAGCTGAACTGCGACACGAGGACGGACCTCGAGCGCGTCACCGAGCGGGCCAGCTTGGCGAACTTGGACAGGCCGCCCTTGACGTCGTCCGTCTCGATGGGCTGCTTGAGGGCGGTGATGTCGCGGAACGTGAGCAGGAACAGCACCACCAGGTCCCGCTCGTTCTTGATCGGCGCGATTTGCAGCAGCAGCCATAGCGGCGTCTCTGCGTTGAGGGTAGGAAAAAAAAGCAGAATTCGACGAACGTCACGCACGCGACGAACGTGCGGTATTAGATGCTGTATTTTTCGATGATTGGTATATAGAAGAATAAAATATATAGGAGGATCGAGATATAGTCGAGAAGTCTTATACAGTCGACGAATTACGCAATACAAAGTTTAATATTTAAATAAAATAATCTATGTTTTACGCATCGTATTTGTTTTTTTTTAACTATAAAAGCACAATGCAAAGACACATAAATGGACAATATCATGAGAGTATTAGTTGATATTTTATGGTCTATGAACTAAATAATAGCGATATCATGTTCTCTATATAATAATTATAGGCTTATTTATAGGCGCATCCACAGCATTGTATGAGGGATGTAACGAGTGTGTATATAAAGTCTTCTATATAATAATGTTTAATATAGCTGTGTAAATTTTTTTAACCAAGTTTTTTTTTACTCTGCTTCGGTACTTTAATAATAATGCACAGACACACACAAATCAAAGGATCATTATATGTACAAGAGAAAAGAAGGGGTAAACAATGGGTAGAGAGCCTAAGGGTTAATTAGAGATTATTATACAGCGTCTTAATCAATCCAGACGGTGGTGGTGGGTGGCGAGAGAGAGAGAGAGAGAGAGAGAGAGAGAGAAAGAGCGCGAAGATCGAGTGACAAAAAAAAGAAGAAGATGAAGAAAAAGAGGAGTGATTGTTGGTCTGTGGCGGAGATCTATCTTCGTGTGTATGTATGTGTGTGCGAATGAAAAGAGGAAGGAATTTGCGCAGCAGCCGTTGCCCCCTTTGAGTATAGTATAGTAGGGTACACTGGCCCTACGCGTGTAGTTGTAGTAGTAGTAGTAGTAGCAGTCGAATGAATAAAGAAAGAAAAAAAAAGACGAAGAGGAGGAGGTGGAGGAGGAGTATGTATGTGTGTAGGTATATACCCGACCTACTTCTATCCTCGAAAGCTGAACTTTTTGCTCACCCGCCCGCACCCGCGTCGTCTCCATATAATACATACACTCTCTGTGTGTATACATCTCGACTTGGCGAAAAAAAAGCAGAAGAAAAAAGAAAATTCACTTTGTCGAAAGTTTCATTGTTCGCCGCCGCCGCCGCCGCCGCACGCGTGAATCATTTATATTTAGCCAAGCGACTAATAAAGATCACTGGACGAAAGTTTATTTTTAAAGATCGTATTATATCAATCGATCGGAATTTTGGCGCACGAGTGAAGAGAGATGCGATTATATTAATCGACGCGCGCGGCGATATGACGACGGGTCAACGTTGATCGAGTGAAAAGTAAAAAACATTTTTCCGAAATTATCCCCGCGAATTAATCAAAATTCAGTCGATATTTGCGTAAATAATAATAATAATAATAATAATAATAATAACAATAATATGAATGCACATCGTGTGGTCGACAGTTAGCAGCGGCTCCGGTCCTCTCGACATACTGATACAAATTTTAATGCGCGCATAATATGTGTGTCATCCGAAACGTCCGATAGTCTATAAATCATTCAAAGATTATTTGAATAATATCGATTGTTTCGGCCGCTGCCGATGCCACGCTGCTGCGGTTCTGTGTGGACATTATATATTGGACGTGGCTCGCTCGCTCTCCCACCCTTGACGAGTGACTTTTGAATTTCCAATGGCATTCATTATTTCGAAATAGCAGCGGCAGCAGCAGTTATTTGTTCGTGCGCCGCAGTATCGATGTGATTTATTATATTGGTATGCATATGAGAGAGATGACGGATGTGTATTTACGACAAGAGGGAAAAAACACACACACACACACACACACTCACACGCGTCTACACTGGATTCAATATTAAAATACGATATATATGTTACGTAATATATATTATTGATACAACACACAAATTAATAATAAAAAAAAAGAAGGAGTTAATTAGATAAATTGCTATGAAGGGTTTTAAGAACAGTAGTAAGATAATACGAGACGAGAGCATAGAGATAAAAGAGAGATAGATATAGAGATAAAGAGAGAGAGAGAGATTAAAAGAGTTTTGCCGCTTCTGCGTACTACGGCACTATTTAGAGAGGAGGAATTTAAAATTTTCTTAATCTTTTATTGTTCATAAACTTTTCCCGTCGCTCGAGCCTGCAACGCATCCGAAGCAAGTTATTATTATATAATATATATACGCTACGATATAATAGTATTAGTAAAGGCAGTTGTAGCAGTTTTACTGGTTTGTACTCTACTATATATTGTATATTATACACAGTAGCAGATATAAAGTATAAAAGTAAAAGTAAGAAAAAAATAAAACAAGAGACAAGGAAAGAAAGAGTCAAGTTAATATAACGAGATATATCTTGGGTCGGTGCAGTGGCAGATCGCGCTTCGAGCTCGGGGACTCTCGCTCGCTTAAACCGCAGGAACTTACAGGATATAATTTTGCTCTCAGAGTTAGATATTTGTGCGCATTTACCTCGTGGGGTACCTTGAAACAAGACAAAAAGAAAGAAAACAACGATCAGCTGGTGATTTTTTTTTTTTTTTTTGATTTTCTTGCTTAGCTACTTTTTACACTCGCGAGTGTTATTTTTATCATTTATTTATTCATTTATTTATTAAATGCTTGTCTGTCTGTGTATTATGTATAAAAATGTTTTTTCACTCGACATGTGGATATGTGTGTGGAGTACGAGATAGAGAATTGATAATATGCATAATGTAACTGTGTGCGTAAATATATAGCAACATCGAACAACATAATAACAAACGTGCGGGCACACAGTATCGGTCGTCGTCGTTCATTATAATTTTCGCCAACGAGTTGAAACGTTACACCGCACACGCACACGCATTATTACGTGTGGCTTTGCACAAATTGTTCGTCTGTTTGTTCGTTTATTTGTTTGTGTTTGCGTTTGTGTGTGAGTGGAAAACATAATTTAGAAAGTGAAGCGCACCGTACTCAGGCTTATTAATTTGTATCATATATACGTGCGAAAATTAGCCGTGTCCGACCAAACGTGTGGTCGCACTACTTGGAACGTGTAATTGTCTGTGTGTGTGCGCGCGTGGAAAATTGTACACAATCGAGAGAGTCTCGTGTTTATACGTTTGTTTAGTTTCAAGCGACGGCGCGCGTTAAATTTGTCAACGCGTCGGTAAATATACACGAGTATAGGCGAGAAAAGGAAAGATAGTGAGAGAGATAAAAGATATAAAGTGTTTGAGAAATATCGATCGTTCGCGCGCGCGCGCAAATACATGTATATGTATAGATATATAGTAGCTCTCTCGGGCAATACTCACTGTTCTTTTTGTAAAGCAAAATCTCGAATTGGTCGCAAATCTGTCCCTCGAGGCACTCCTCGATGCGAGCTATGGTCTCCTTGTCGGTGAGCTCGCCGTACATGAAGCTGCATCGACATGATTTTTGCATTACCTGCGAGGACAGAAAAAAGTACACGAGCGTGTGAGCTACACAGAAGAAATTGTATCGTACGTGTTATTTCAAGTCGATGCATTTTGATCCGAATGAGAAAAATGAGAATGTATTTATTCGCGTCAACGTGTGTTTCAAAATGAAAGAGACAAATAAAAAAACTAAAGCAAACGAGCCAACGAACAAACAAATCCAAAAAAAAAGGATATTTAGAGCTAACGTTAATCTGCGAGCTAAATTGTCTCCGCTTTGCCGAGTTTGCCGAGGCGGTCCTATACAGTGTGCAGTTTGTATACTATACGCGCGCGGGCGGAAAAAAATTACTTAACGAGCAAAAAACGTAGAGAGGATCTCGTTTGTGTATGGCAGGGCACAAACACACGTTCGCAAACACACACACGTAACGCGAGAGATGGGGAAGAGAAATAGAGAGAGAGAGAGAGAGAAAGTTTGACCTCACTCCTCAACCGTGCTACGTGCCCGCAAACACCGCAGATAAATTGTTTTCGCGAGATATTGGCAGTAAAGTTACTCTCTCTCTCTAGTAAATCTAGACCCCAAGATCTAGGCGAATTTTGGCAGTAGTCTCGGTTCGCAGCGGCGGTTTTGCTTACGACGTTAAATATTATATACGTGTGTGTGTGTGTGTGTTCGCCGACGAGGGCGAATTTATATAAAGCGATATGACAAACCTCGGCGCGATTGTAGCCGGATATCTTGCAGAAGCTCTCGTTGCAGTAGACGATTGGAAAGTCGACGATCTGTGCATTGGCCAATAGAAAACTACTGTCGGCTGTAACAGAGAAGCAGAGAGAGAAGAAAAAGAATTAGTTTTGATTGTATACTCTTGACTTTTGGCGTATCGTTTCGAAAAGTTTCGAAAAACAATTTATCCTTTTAATCAAAGTAAATTCTTAGATATACGTATGCGCACTGCTCATAAGCCGAGGAAATATCAATCCTCATCTGGCGAAAGTTTAAAGTCCTATATATAATATTAATTCGGGATACCGAAATATCAAGATTATACCCGTCCCCGCGGGGCAGAGTAGCAGCAGCAGCAACTCGTGGCAAAAGTTATCTTATTTATCGTCTTTCCCTCGACGATACTCCCCAAAAAGCTCCCCTATACCTCCCGCGTGTATCTGTGTCTCTTTTTGTCTAGCTATATATATTTGTACGTCTGTATAAATCCTTGACTGCGGCGACTCCGAACGAAGTAATTTAATATATATATCCACTGATAAGGTAACCTTTTTACGTACGCGACGACGCAAAACTGTCGACAATGAGCCATTGTTTAGCTTTTCGACTCTTTCTCCTGGCGTCGTCGCAATTATTAATGCCAACGAGTTCGAACTTTTCCCGCGTCTCTCTGGTGGATGAGAAGGAGGAGGAGGATAGAGAAGGAAACCTTGCAAGTTTTCGGATTTGAGAAATCTTCCCTTTGGCTTGTGCACGGTTGCGCTAACAGCTAAAAGAGAGAGAGATTAAAAAGATCTTTTTAACGAGTTTATGTTGCTCACTCGAGCAATGATAATTAGGAAATAAGAAGATGGAGGAGGAGGAAAAGAAAATATTACGTACTCTACTACTTCTAAATATAAATTAAAACAAGCGAAGTGTGACATAGCAAAAATTAATATTGAAATTGAAGAATACATCGGAGAAAGAAAATTTTAGAAATTTTGAGGCCTATCGGACTGTTTTTGATGGATCTGCAGCGGTTAAAAGTTAGTCTTTATTTAATCTTTAATTTCATTTATGAAATTTATTTATAAAATCGATTTTATAAGGTAAAGATTCTTAAAAAATGAAAAAATTCTGGTCCGAATTAGTTCATATTGTTACATTCTAATATGGTCAATAGTTGCCTTTCGATATAGAATGCGAAGCATGAAACAAGTCGAAAACCCAAATAAATCACAAGTTTATATAATCTAGATAGTTAACTCATTGACTGTAGATGTCGCATTGCCACAACCCACAAACGGTCGAATCCGTCTTACTATATGAAAGCGATATGACATTTTATTAAAATTGTATTGTTTTTAATTTCATGCGCATAATTATTCATTTGGAGTTAATTTTCCTCAAAATTATAAATTCGCCAACAAAATCTTTCTTCTCTCCGGCAATACTTTAATACACAACTCGTTGTCGTGTGCCACCGAGTAGCAAAAAAAAAAAAAAAACCAGGCAAGCCGGAGAGCGGCACGTCGAAATTATTAAACGCTCCAATCTCCTCGAAATGTATTATTATATATACATGGACGAAGTGCCGAGTTTATAATACTTTCAATGCAGAGAGCCGAGCTTTAATCCAACGCGACACGCGCTTCGCCTTCGACCGTGACGAAAATAAATAAATCCGGAAATCCGCGCGCAGAGAGAGAGAGGCTCCCCCCATTAAACTAAGTAGATCGCACGCGCGCGCGACCAGAAATATCGATCCTTCTCCTTTGCGGCCTCTATAGGAGTTTCCGCATCTGACAATAAAAAAAATAGAAAAAGGAAACGAACGATGAATTACAATTGATCGGATCTTTAGTAGGTAATATAAATTTGCGCGCGATGGAAGTAGCTCACAAAGAGACTGCTGCAGCTCGAGCTGTAAGTACCTCACGGCTAATGCGAGAGAGCTTTCATTATATAAGACCAGCTCTTTTGACGATGCACTGCGCTACGTGTATAATAGTGGATCGCCTCGAGCGCAACAGCGGCTGCAGGTGACTCGCGCGTATCAAACGCGAGATATCAGCTGGTATATCCATCCTCTTTTTTGCGCGGTAGTTGAACGGGACTTTTTTTTCTCCCCTTTCGTTCCTATTTATACGTTTGTAAGCACGTAGGATTTTTAATCATAAAATATCGTTCGTCGCAGCGAGCACTTGGTCAATTAAACACGGCTACATATTATCATAGAGAATAAAAAGAACAAAAGTTGCATTTCCAATATAAGATTCGCTGTTTGTTATGCTGCACGCATCGTTTTTACATTCCACATTCGCCGCAGATCGAATAATCCTCGAGGCCGCAAAAACAACACACACATACACAAACACGAGCCGATGAATAACAAAAAAAAGCAGCAGCAGCGGATATTACACGCTGATCTACGTGCCTCGTCGTCGTCGTTGAATGAGAAAGGGTTTGGTTATGAAATTTCGTCCTCGGATCAGCTGCGGCAGTGATGCTGGGGTCACTGGCAGAGGGAAAGAGAGAGAGAGAGAGAGAGATAGGCATGTATAACAGTCGCAGAGCCTCACCCTCCCCCGCGCCAGCAAGCATACGTGTATAGCCGTGCGCGCGAGCAAGGATTGATGCTCGAGACTCGCGAGGCATCCCCTATATATATACCGCTCGTGTATATATGCATGTGCTACTACAACAACGCGGAGGCAGCTAGGCAGAGAGGCTGTACATCAATCTCTTTTGGCACGCTGCAGCGCGCGTCTCCTCCATATACGTGTATACGAGAGCTGCATCAGCTGTATATGTGCCGCTGCTACCTAGACTTGGCTTTTTTGCCTCTCACTCCCCTTTTTTTTCAACTCCTGCATACACGTGAATAGTTGTTTTTTGTTTTTGTTTTGGCTTCTTTGGCAGCTTGCGGCGCGGATGGGGACGACGACGACGAGAGCTTGATTATTGACATTTTTTTTTATTTTATTCTTTAGTTCCATGTACAGCAGCTTATTACGTACTACATATAGGACTCGCGCGCGCGAAATGAAATTGAACTTTTTGTTTTTTTCATTTGGGAAAGGTATAGGAAATCACTTTTTGTGTTGTTTGCGCGAGCGAGCGAGCGTGACCGTATACATAGATCGATATCAGCGAGCACAGAGAAAGACAGAGTGGTAGGGAAAAGAAAAAATCATCGAGATTATAGGTATCGCGATTGTATAGCAAAGGGCAAAACGGCGCACAGGCAATGTCAATGTTTTTTTGTTTCTTACTCTTTTCCATACCTACACACGTAGCTCTCTGCAAGCTCATTAAAGTGTCGAAGTAGATTACACGAACACTTTGTTTGCTCTCTTTTATAAACTGTTGCACCTTCACAAAGAAATTCGATCGCTCGTATAGCGCTCGAAGCTGTCGAGCACACACACAAACACACACACAAAGGGATAAATCCAATAGATTATGCATCTCCTCCCGATGTATATATTATATACATAATGCAGTAGTAGTAGCAGCGCGTGTGTACGTAAGGCACATAAGGACGCGCCGATATTAATTAACAATACCTGGAGGGGGTGTGCTCGAGATTTATCTCTCTCGTGCCTTGCTTGTATATAGATTGCTCGGAGAGAAGCACGAGGATCGTCTATGTGTGTGTGTGTGTGTGTGTAGCAATTTTGTTGTGTTTCGCGCAGCAGCAGCAGATCGAGTAGCCACTCGACTCGATAACGCTTATATAGGTACATGCTAGAATACACGTGCATCGCAGGTCTGTTTATGTATGGAGTAGCAGTAGGAAGAGGACACTTAACCCATTATAACGCGCCATTTCTATTCGACGCGCTCGTCGATATGCGCAAGTAGACGCAATATTGTATTACACGAGGCGAGATGATGCGTATACGATAAAATATATATCGCACGTTTATTTATACCTATGGAATAATTGTCGACGTACATATACTCGACGTTTATTTTCTCATTTTGCAGCAGCGTCTCTCTTTCTCTCTGCATCGTTCTGCATCGTAAAGTCGGGGGAAAGAGAAGGGCCCCGCTTTCGTAGTTGAAAAGATATAATACACACCGGAAAATTCGACGATCGCTAATTACGCGGATGCTCTCGAGAGAATATCGTTTTTCGTACGTGTGTGTACGTATAAAATAACGCGCGTGGAGCTCCATTGAAAATTGAACCGCCCGGGCCATTGCACATCGTCGCTTTATAAACGTGCACAAAAACAACCGTTTCGTATATGAAAGCTCCTCTCCCTATTTCTCTCGCCTCCTGTGCATTTTCGGATAGGCCTGCGCGCACACACACACGAGTATAATTACGGGCTATTTTACCCTGTATCTGGCATAATGTAGCGTTAAAGCGCCAGTAAAGAGAGTGAATGAGAGAGAGAGAGAGAGAGAGAGAGAGAGAGAGAGAGAGAGAGAAAGAGAGAAAAGTATATATGTATGCGCTGAGCGCTACCCGCGTACGTCTCGCTGTTTTTAATGGTATTTTCTACTTACGAGGCCAGTGAAGTGTGCTGCTGCTGCTGCTGCTGCGGGCAATGCAGCGCACCGGTCTATATATATATATATATGCATATAAGCGAGAGACAGAGGGAGATTATACGTTATATAGCCCTTTGTCGGCCAACTGTATATAGCCAGAAGCAAAGAAGCTCTTTAAGGGTTGATTGATCGTCGCAGTCGCTGCTGCTGCTGCTATACGCACGTATCGCACAAAAGTGACTGCATCATAATGCGCGTTGGGTGCATATTATATGCGTATAACGTCGTACCTGCGAATCGTGGTTTTTTCGGATTATCGCTAAATTTATCTATAAGCGATCGATTCTATTATGGGTTAAATCCTCGTGTGATTCGTAGCTGAAATGTCGAGGGGAATTTTTTCGTCGATGTAGTTTGCGCGTAAAATATTGGCATTGTTTTGTCTGAGATACTATTTTTGGTATACGAGAAGATATCCATAGAGAAACTTCTCTAAAATTAATTAACTAGAAAACATCATGATGCGAAAGTAGAAAAATCTTGAAAAATTTGCGAGAAAAGCATGAAATTATAAATCTAGGAACGCGCGCACGTGTACAT